TTTAATGAGAATATCTAACTGTTGTTTATATCAATATTTGAAATGCTTATGAAAAATGTGCCCATTGTAGAAGTGAAACTTCACATGACAAGCAATCAGAGTCAATATGGCCGTTTTGTATTCAGCACATAATTTACCTTGAAAAGTTACATTATTTACAATTTCAATCTTAAAAAATAAATCAATACTATTTCCATTCATTTAATTAAATGTTGTCTTGTGTAAAAAGTTGTATGAAACACTATATTAAAATTCAATAATATGTTTGCTAAGGTTATGAATTGTTTTTTTTTTTACCCAACATGATTGCTTACAGCGATGTATTTTCCTTGCTTTAAGCCAATAATGATTCCTTGGTCAAAATATAATCCTGTCTTTGGGTCTTATATGTAAATATTTTTCATAGCCTATATCAGATAATAATCGGCATGACATTACAGTCATTGACCTCTGGTGAAATAACTGCTTTAAGTTGCATTTGTGATGTTGTCAGTTATATAATGTAAAGCATAAAGTGCTGGACTGATACCAAAGACCCTAAAGTGGAAGGTGAAAAATTATTTATCTAATACTTTTTACTTCACAATCAAACAACATTTCCCGAGGGAGAAACAAGTACAGTGCATGAGTAAAGTCTTTCAAAAAAAGAAAGTAACTCTATTCTACACTCTGGCTTCACCCACAAAGTGACTTTGTCTTGCTACTGTACTGAACAGGGGACAATTTTTATCTGCTGTTGATAGTTTATATTCTAGTTAGATAAGACTTTGAGACAAACTTTGAATAAATCAGAATTTTTATAAAACACACATAACTGATGTTTTTAGCCAACTTTTTGCTTAGAAGTGAGCTTTTGTAATGTGTCCGTCGTGTTGTATATGTTCTCCAAAATTTCTTTTAAACATTTGCTCCCCTAAACCCCATCAGGAACCACAATGTTTAGAGCTTAGATCTTTGGCATGTAGCATCACTTTGAAGTCTTTAACAAAAGTTATATAAATCATGCACCATAACTTCAGAAATGGTTGCACCTTTGTTATTACATGGGTATATCTATACTGGTGGCAAGAATTAAAAATATGTGCTAGAATATTTGCACATTTGTTATCCCCCGCCGATGGAATCGGGAGGGGGATATAGTTTTGGCGTTGTCCGTCCATCCGTCCGTCCGAATTTTGTTTCCGGAGTAGATCTCTGCAACTAATGGCTGGAATTCAAGGAAACTTTATGGGAATGTTGATCAGCATGTGAAGTTGTGCACCTGGGTATTTTCGTCTGGATATTTTTAGCATTTTTAGAGTTATTGCCCTTGACTTAGTAAAATTTTGTAATTTTCAACTTGTGTCGCATGTAACTCAAAAAGTATTTGACCTAGAGTCATTAAACTTTACAGGAATGTTAATCAGTATGTGTAGTTGTGCACCTTGGTATTTTCGTCTGGATATTTTTAGTATTTTTAGAGTTATTGCCCTTGACTTAGTAAAATTTTGTAATTTTCAACTTGTGTCGCATGTAACTCAAAAAGTATTTGACCTAGAGTCATGAAACTTTACAGGAATGTTGATCAGTATGTGTAGTTGTGCACCTGGGTATTTTCATCTGGATATATTTAGTATTTTTAGAGTTATTGCCCTTGACTTTGCAATTTTCAACTTGTGTCGCATGTAACTCAAAATGTATTTGACACACAGCAACCAAACTTTACAGGAATGATCCTAGGGTGGTCCCCTGCCAAAGTTGATCAAATGGTTCTGGTCTGTTGCATAAATAGGTCACAGGGCCAGAAAAGGAGTTTCAAAAATGCAAAATTAAAAAATCTTGTCTGAAAGTACAAGGCCTAGAGCTTTGATATTTGGTATATGATATAACCTATAGGTCCTCTACCAAAATTGTTCAAATTTTAGCGCTGGGGTCAAAATTGGCCCCACTCCAGGGGGTCATAGATTTTCCTTATATGTATATAGTGAAAACTTAAAAATTCTTCTTGTTTGAAGGTACAAGGCTTCAAGTTCAAAGAATATTACAGTTTATGCCATGATTAATATATAAATAAAGCCTTATGTCTTCAGTTGTTGTGTTAATAATAACCAGTACTCGGCGGGGGATATAAATTCAACGAATTTGCTTGTTGGTCTGATTTTTGTACCCTCATAAAGGAGACTGGCCATGCTGTCTTTCTATACCATCTCATCATTTGTTAACAGTACTTACTTCTGTGTTGAACAATTGTGACATTTTAATATTTTTTTCACCCTACAACTCAATGAAACCATCATCAAATGTACAGAGTATCACTTACAGTTATAATTGTGTAGAAGACATTAAGTATAATTATTGCTTTAATATTACTTAAAGTAACATGTGTAAGAAGAAGAGCATGCAAGGTTTATTTTGGAGGGTGATATATTGCCACTGTCATTGTTACTCAGCTTGCGTATGAACAAGAACAAAAATATTGATACAAAAATAACAAAATCTAATTCTATGTCACTTAAGAATATAGAGGATATTCAAGTTCCTTCTATAAATACAGGATTTATTTTCATCAAGTGGTATGAAAATAAATATTTCACAAATGGCAATAGTCATGAGTGAAATATGATAATTTTCATACCACAAGATGATAATAAATCTAAATTAATAAAAGAAACTTTAAATTCCTGTTTATTATATACTTTTTCTCTTTTTTAACCTTATGAATTTTATTGGCTAATTTAAGAAGAGAGTAGTCCAGCAAGACACCAGTGAAAATACAGAAAATTTGTTTCACTACAGTGAAAAATAAATTTTTACAGTGAAAGTACGGAAAATAAAAATATGCATTTTATTTCAATATTTCTCAATATTTCATTTATAAGTATATAAAAAATGTAAATAAAAATAAGAAACTTCCAAAACTTTGTGCAAAGTAATTAATTTCTCATACAAGAGGGCAATCAGGTGGCCCCTAGATTGCACACCTGAGATTCATTGCTAGAAAATGGCATTTCCTCTTTAGCTTTTTAAAAGATTTTAAAGAAAGTCAGTCAGAATTTTCCCTGCTCCAGGCCTGTTACATTTCTGGTCTGTTATACAAGATGGCTGTTGGAGCTTGTCTCCTTGGTTAAACCAGTTTTTAGCTCACCTGTCACAAAGTGACAGGGTGAGCTTTTGTGATCGCTTTTCGTCCAGTGTCCGGCCAGCGTCCGTAAACTTTTACTTTAAATGACATCTCCTCATAAACCACTAAGCTAATTTCATCCAAACTTCACAGGAATGTTCCTTTGGTGGTCACCTTTGAAAATTGTTCAAAGAATTTAATTCCATGCAGAACTCTGGATGCCCTAACTCTTGTTGCCATGGCAACCAAAAGAAAAAAACTTTAAATATCTTCTTCTAAAACCCCAAAGAGCTAGAGCTTAGATATTTGGCATGAAACATCTTCTAGTGAGTGTCTACCAAGTTTGTTCAAATAAAAACCCTGGGGTCAAAATTGGCCCTGCCCCAGGGGGTCATTGATTTTCCCTATATGCATAAAGTAAAAACTTAAAAATCTTCTTTTAAAGAACCCAAAGAGCTAGTTCAAATAAAAGCCCTGGGGTCAAAATTGGCCCCGCCCCTGGCCTAATTGATTTTCCTTATATGTGTATATCGAAAACTTAAAATATCTTCTTTGAAAAAACTCAAATAGCTAGAGTTTAGATATTAAGCACGAAGCATCTTCTAGAGAGTGTCTACAAAGTTTGTTCAAATAAAAGCCCTGGGGTCAAAATTGGCCCGGCCCCAGGGGACATTGATTTTCCTTATATGTGTATAGCAAAAACTTAAAAAATTTTTTTTGAAAAAACCCAAATAGCTAGAGTTTAGATATTAAGCATGAAACATCTTCAAGTAAGTGTCTACAAAGTTTGTTCAAATAAAAGCCCTGGGGTCAAAATTGGCCCCACCCTGGGGGTCATTGATTTTCCTTATATGTGTATAGCAAAAACTTATAAATATTCTTCGAAAAATCCGAATAGCTAGAGTTCAGATATTAAGCATGAAACATTTTCTAGTAAGTGTCGACAAAGATTGTTCAAATAAAAGCCCTTGGGTCCAAACTGGCCCTGCCCCAGGTGTGTCATTGTTTTTAACTATATGTGTAAAGAAAAAACTTGACCAGCTAGACCTTAGATGTTAAGCATGAAACATTTTCTAATGGGTGTCTACCAAGTTAGTTCAAATAAAAGCCCTGGGGGTTTAAACTAGCCCCACTACGGGGCCTATATACAGGTGAGCGACTTCAGGGCCATCATGGCCCTCTTGTTTATAAAACTCAATAGAACTCACTTTTTGTAGTCCTGTATAAATCAACAAAAATTGTTCCTGTCTCTGCTCAAATAAGATGGCAGAGCAATAGCTGAAAATAGGAATTAGATTTGAATGCCATTTCTGGAATTTTGATGACTGTGACAATCTTACATTGTTTATCTTGGCACTCTTTTGTTTTCTTATAGGTTTTATTTTGCTCTTCAGCCACTTTTTGCAATTTTAACTTTATTATTGATGCTTGTTATATTGATATAATTATTTTACCTTCAAATTAACAGTACTTTCACCACTTACACATCTTTTATTTTTTGCTATAATTCTCTGTCAATATAATTATAGTAACACTATTAAGTTCTTTTATTATATATCTAACTACCTAATATAACTGCCTTTAGTTTTATCACTAGTCATTGTTAAAATGCTCTTTCTGCAAGGTGATTGTTTAGAGATGATAAAAGTTTTATTTTGCACTGTAAAAAGTAATAATTTTAGCTACCAATTATTTATTTTATCATTAATTATTAATAAATAAGAAATATTTTGTTATTTAGAAGTAAAAGTAAAGAATTAGAATTATTAAATACATGTTTATATTTTGACAAAGATTACCAAAACTGTATGTTATTATCTTGTATTTACCAGTTTACATCTGTATCTTGTTGATAATTTGTATGAATTAATAATTGACAAGTTTATATATGATGTTTTAGAAAGTCTACCTGTTCCTGATGTAGAAGAAAACGTTGATGATACTGACGAAGACACGGGTGGTGAAGAGAATAAAGAGAGGGAAAATTTTCCAGATACCTGGATCTGGGATCTCGTTTTGACAAAGTTTGCATAATGTTTATTAGTCCCCTAATCGTTTTTACCAGAGAGACTGTAGGTTTATCTTCTGTCCATCCATCTGTCTGTCTGTCATCAGTCCACACTACCGAATAGGGATAGAGGGCCATCTTACTGTAAACAGAACAAAAGAGAACAATAGAGTTCATTCAATAACAATAGAGTAAGGGGCCATAGACCCTCTATAATAGTTGTCAAAAGAAAATGAAAAAAATGGCCCCTTATTCCATTTTGGCCAGACATCCATTGGCAAACCTAGATCCTGTGATAACTCAAAATTACCTGAATATTTTTTTATGAAACTTTAAATATGGATAGATGGCAGTATGGAGATTATGCACATCTTTTTTCCTTTTCCTATGTTGAAAATTGTGGTGACAAATAAACATAAAATATGGTTAAAATATATACAATGTATTGCTATAACTCATAAAGTTCTGAAAATATTTTAAAATATGGATAGATGGCAGTATAATGAAAATTGTGTCGATAATTTTCAACGGAGCTTTGTGATTGTTAGGCATCGTTTGTTGTTGTTGTTATCATGTTACATCTTTAATGTATAACCATTACTAAACAATATGAAACTTGGAATGGTTGCTTATCATGAAAAGAAGCAGTTGTAAGGCAGTTGTATTTTACTGAAAGCTCTATCTCTGGAGTTATGCCTCAATTCATTAGATTTGTCAGAATTGCCTATTAAGTGGTAATTTCAAAACTATAAAAAATATCAACATGAAACTTCAGGAACACTTGAGAATCATGACAAGCTATACTTGTTAAAGAAAGGTCATTATGTTGAAAGCAATATATACATTATATTAGAGTTATGTCCCTTTTTAACCAAGTATTTATGTCAAAATTACCTATTAAGTGGAATGGTTCAAAAAATGAGTAATCAACATGAATTTTGGAAATCTTGTTTGTCATGGCAAGGTGCAACTGTTGAAAGATAAGGGACATTATTCTAAAAGCTATATTTTTGAAGTTGTGCCCCTTTTTAACTAATATTTTTTGTCAAAATTCCATATTATTAGTAGTATCATTAAGCTGTTAACTTGAAACTTGTAATACTTGATTATTATACCATAGTTGTAAGACAATTGACTTTATCCGATAGAATTTATGCCCCTTTTAAAGTTATAATATTTTTGAAAATTGGTTATTGATAGTGGATGCCCTTTAAAGACTAGCATTAACACTTCTTGCAGTTGTCTTGTTTTTTTCTTAATACATTGAAACATCTGGTTGCTATGACCCCAAATAGACTTCAAATATTTCAAAAACAGAAAATTATTTGGACCTATTTATAAGGGATGTTAAAATTGACAGACTTCTTGTGGGTTCTAACCAGTAGGGGACTTTTGTATTGCTTGCAATACTTTGTGATAATTGCTTGTTTGTAAATGCATGCATATATTAAGGTCTAGATTAAGATACTCCTGCCTTTTGAAAAATGATCAGTTATATTCAGTTGTTGTATTATTTTACTTAAAATTATTTGAACTTTTTCTGGTTAAATTTATTAACTTATATTGGTTAACAAACAAGTATATTCAACAAAATCTGCAACAAAAGAATTAGGTCAATAAAAGAAAATAAGAACATATCTTTCTTAAGCACTTCTGGTCAGTGTGATCAACATATTCTCCGGGTGATTCTTTTCAAAATCATTTTCTATGAAGAACTCTTGTTGCCATGTCAACCAAAAGGAAAACAACTTAAGAGGTCATCCTGTCAAAGACGTTTTTTCAGATTCTGGTATATTTTGATATATCGGTAATTATTTTCACATAAATGATGATAAGAAAAATTAGTGAAATATCAATTTTAATGTTAATGTTGGGAGGTGTGATTTATATGATGTCATGTATAATACATGTATAAATGTTTTACTTGATGCATTGTATAATACTTGGCTATACTTAAAATATACCTTTAGTTCTGATGGAATGTACAAGGAAGATGTGATAGTGCCTGATTCAATCACAAACTGGGAGGTGACAGCTTTTGGATTCAATAATGATCATGGATTATCTGTGTCGGACAAAAAAGAGGTATATACTGACATAGCTGAATGATGTCGTCTGCTTCTCTATGAATTACATGCAGATTAACTGCAATATGTGAAGATTATATTAAACATTACTGAATTAAATATCTTAAATGGACTTGTCCATTTTACAGTCTGGCCTAAAACATTTTTAGGGAAAATTTCATGATCAGATGTCATGGACATACAAGCACGGACATACAAGCTGATTTTTGTATGAGGACTGTATAACCTGTCAAAAAAGTTATATATATCTTTATAACTAATATTATAATACTGCACATTTGTAACGTCATTTTTCATTGGATAATCGTGACGGTTATAGAGTTTTATATACACGGCTGCTGTTGATTCATGAAGAAATCTTACTTGTTTCTCTAAAAATGATGTCTGCTGTATTATAAATTCGTTATAAAGATTATTGACAGGTGATATGGCCTGACGGCTCGGGTTATGTTTACAAATAGGGCCATATAACCTGTCAACGATCTTTATAACTAATGATATATGTATATCTCAAATATATTGTTTTTTCTCCATGGAATTTTGTGTTGTTTTTGCAGATAACAGTGTTCCAGGAGTTCTTTATATCTATGTATCTGCCATATTCTGTTGTACAGAGTGAAAGTGTCAACTTAGATATACTTGTGTTCAACTACAAGGATATACAATTAACTGTATGTTGTAGTTTTTACTATTATAACACCTGAATGAATTAGTTTGTTTTATTTATAACAAAAACAGATTCTGATTGTTTTAAATGCTTTAAATATTTCTCAAGTTTTACAGTTTGGTTATCACAAGATAAGCAGGAAAAAGTTAAAGTTAACTACAGTGTATTATGTCATTCCCTCATTTCATGTGTTATCAAATTCATTATTAAAGTTTTTCACCAATTATTTACAATTTTTAATGGTTTAATTTTATATGTGTTACAGGTAACCGTGGAACTTGTTGAATCAAGCAATTATACCATTAAAGACAAATCAGTTTTCAGCAAACCAATAACAGCAAGTATTTTTAAACCTGCATACTGTAAAATCATTATTATTCATGGGGCACAAATTTTCAAGATTTTCGTGGGTAGGTCAATCCACGAATTTAAGATCTGACAAAATTTTATCCCAACAAATACTTCTTGCCATGTCTCTATACTATATATTACAAACATGCATTTGCGCTTTTTTGCCGATTTTTGTGTCATGAATGCCCAGAGGCAAGGATTAAAATTATTGACAAGCCATGTGTGATATGCAAAAATATGTACATGGGGTAAGTAAAATGCGCAGCGAATAAGTGTAAGATTACTTTGCATTATGGTATTTATTTTATTTTTTTACAAGAAATTGAAAATCCACGAATTTAGGAACCCACGAAAATGCCCGTTTTTATAAAACCACGAAATTTCATGCCCACGAATATAAGTGAATTCACAGTACATCTTGTTACAAATAAATACAATATGAAATTGGAATGTTTGTTGTTACTTTGATTATTTTTAGCTCGACTTTTCTATGAAAAGGGGAGCTATCCTACTCGCCCCGGCGTCGGCGTCGGCGTCGGCGTCACACCTTGGTTAAGTTTTTCGTACCACCCCACTTTATTTCAGAAGTATTACAAGTATGGCTTTGAAACTTACCATACTTGTTCACCATCATAACCTCCATCTACAGACAAGAGTACATAACTCTGTCAAGGTTTTTGACAGAATTATGGCCCTTTTTTGACTTAGAAAGTGTATTGAGCTTGGTTAAGTTTTTTGTACCACCTCACTTTATTTCAAAACCATTGGAGGTATTGCTTTGAAACTGACCATACTTGTTTACCATCACGACCTTCATCAACAGACAAGAGGACATAACTCTGTCAAGGTTTTTGACAGAATTATGCCCCTTTTTGACTTAGAAAATACATTGAATTTGGGTAAAATCCACTTATTGCCTTAACCCTTTGAGATATTGCTTTGAAACTTTTAATGCTATTTCACATCATTACCCCCATCTGTACGCAAGAGAAGGTAACTCTGTCAAGGATTTGTTTTAAAAATTAAGGCCTTTTATCGACTTAGAATCTTGGTTAAGTTTTTAGTACCAGTCCACTTTTTGACTGAACTGTTTGAGATATTAATTTGAAAGTTGGAATACTTGTTTACAATCATGATTCCCAAACATGTCCAGGAGAAGGTAATTCTGTCAAAGATTTTATTTGAATTATGGCCCTTAACTGTCAATGTTTTGTATTATAGGCAAGCACTAAAAAACTTAAAAAATCTAAAAAAATTCATTCCTATCCACTTGTTCACTTTACCATAAATTATGTCATAATAAAATAATTCTTCACTAAATATCTTAATGCTCATGGCCATTGTTCACTTTAAAAATACAGAGATTCTTGTATTGCCTTTTACTGCAAAAACTTTTTTTATTGGCAAGCAATAAAAAAGTCGAGCGCGCTGTCTTACGGACAGCTCTTGTTATATTTTTATATTATGAAAATTAAGCTATTGTAAATAAAATGATTATTTTTGCAGTTTGTAAAGATGAAATATTGACCATTATATAATCGCTACCAGATACATATTAAACAAACTGAAGATGTCTTAATGCTATATACAACTTTGATTTTGGCAGTATTTTAGATATACTCTAAATATATGCTCCCACATAGGAGGGAACTCATTTCTGTTTACATAAAGAAGAATATTATTTCACATGAAGGTGTACTTTTTATTTTGAAAATCAATTTTATAATCACTTGTGTTTGAAACATATTTTGAGACAAGAAATATATGTAAATTATACAGATTGGTGCTGGAACATCTGGTGTACAGAGAGTCCTTGTCACGTTTGATAAAGTTGGAGATATTCCATTGAAAGCCATAGCTAAAGATGTAAATAACAACAAAAACCAGGATACTGTGATTAGACCTTTGATAGTGAAGGTGAGTTATATATAAATATATATATTTCTTTTCAAATGGTGCAAAATATGAGTTTAATATTTGTAGGGTTTCAATACAAATGACTCATGATGTACAACATTATGTTTTTATGGACAAGGAATTAATATATATATATATGTATTTATTAATTATTATGCCCCCCTTCAAAGAAGATAGGGTATACTGCTTTGCATTTGTCTGCCGGTTGTTCTATTGGTCTGTCGGTCAGTATACCAAATGGTTCCCGCATGATAACTAGAGAACTAAAGAACGCTTAGGCCTAGGAACTTCAAACTTGGTATGGTGATTGGTCATGACCAGTTGATGACCCCTATTGGTTTTGGGGTCAAGGGGTCAAAGGTCAAGGTCACATTGACCTTGTAAGTAAAAATGGTTTTCAATCAATAACTAGAGAACACTTAGGCCTAGGAACTTCAAACTTGGTTTGGTGATTGTTCATGACCAGCAAATGACCCCTATTGATTTTAGGGGCAAGGGGTCAAAGGTCAGATCACATTGACCTTGTAGGTAAAACGATTTATGATCAATAACTAAAGAACACTTAGGCCTAGGAACTTTAAACTTGGTACGGTGATTGTTCATGACCATCAGATAACCCTTTTGATTTTGGGGTCAAGGGGTCAAAGGTCAAGGTGACATTGACCTTGTAGGTAAAAACGGTTTCCAATTATTACTTTGACAACCCATAGGCTGTTGGCCTTCAAACTTTGTAGATGCATTATTCTTGACCAGTAGATGACCCCTTTGAATTTTTATGTCAAAGGGTCAAAGGTCAAGGTCAAATTGACTTTGTAAGAACAAATGGTTTCCGATCAATAACTTGACAAGCTATCGGCTGTTGGCCCTCAAACTTTGTAGGTGCATTGGTCTTGGCCAGAAAATGACCCCTATTGATTTGGGATCAGAGGGTCAAAGGTCAAGGTCACATTGACCTTGTATGCCAAAACGGTTTTCTATCAATAACTGGACAACCCATGGACCATTGACCTTCAAGCTTTACAGATGCATTTCTTTTTGTCAGAAGATGACCTAAATGGAGTATTTGGGTTAGATGCCATGGCCACTATGTTACCATTTTATGTCATTATCACTATTGTATCATTTCATGCCATGATCACTATCTTACCATTCAATGCCAAGATCAATATCTTACCATTTCATGCCATGATCACTATTTTACCATTTCATGCCATGATCACTATCTTACCATTTCATGCCATGATCACTATTTTATCATTTCATGCCATGGGCACTATCTTATCATTTCATACCATGATCACTATCTTACCATTTCATGCCATGGGCACTATCTTACCATTTCATGCCATGGCCACTATCTTACCATTTCATGCCATGGCTACTATCTTTTCATTTCATGCCACGATTACTATCTAACCATTTCATGCCATAACCATTATTTTACCATTTCATGCCATGGCCACTATCTTAACATTTCATGCCATGGCCACTATCTTACCATTTCATGCCATGATCACTATCTTATCATTTCATGCCATAAACATTATTTTACCATTTCATGACATGACCATTATTTTACTATTTCATGCCATGATCAATATCTTACCATTTCATGCCATGATCACTATTTTACCATTTCATGCCATGATCACTATCTTACCATTTCATGCCATGATCACTATCTTACCATTTCATGCCATAATCACTATCTTACCATTCCATGACATGATCACTATCTTACCATTTCTTGCCATGGCCATTATTTTACCATTTCATGCCATGCTCACTATTTAACCATTCAATGGCATGCTCACTATCTTACCATTTCATACCATAATCACTATCTTACCATTTCATGCCAAAACCATTATTTTACCATTTCATGCCATAGCCACTATCTTACCATTTCATGCCATGATCACTATCTTATCATTTCATGCCATGATCACTATCTTACCTATTCATGTCATGGCCACTATCTTATCATGCCATGACCACATGTCTCATATCACTGCCTGGTGGAATTTCAAATAATCTTGTACAAATGTTCAACATCATGAGATGAAGTGTAACATGCAAGAACTGTATGGCTAGGTCAAAGGTCAAGGCTATACTTAAGGTCAAATGCAAAAAGGTTGTCTCAATCAGCTTGTCCACAGCATAACTTGCTAGTTGAATTTCAAATAACCTGGCACAAATGTTCAATATTATGAGATGAGATCTGATAACTTTATGAGATTAAATTGTTCAAGAACCATTTGTCTTGTCAGATATGGCACAATAACTCATTGGTGGAAGAATTTGAAATTAACTTGGCCACAAAATGTTCACAATAAAATTAACATGTGCATGATACACTGTCTCACCTTGATGACTATAATAATTGGAAAGCCCCTAATAAATGATACTGTAACAGAACAGACAACATATTTTGTCCCTAATTTCACTTCATCCGCCCTGCCTATTCTCAGTTATTGGGCTCGACATGTTTCCTTTGGGCATTGAGTCTGCCAAGTTTACACAAACAGATCTTATCAGCTCAATTAAGGGATCACTGTCCCTTAAGTGTTTTCTTTTATGGATAAAAAAATGGGCCATACTGTAATCATGTATATAATATTTGTACTTTGAATGATTAATTAGATTTTTTTAAGGATACATGTCTCTTGTTTTGTCTCATTTCAGCCGAAAGGACGTGAAATGCGGGATGATACTAGCTTAGTGATTGACATGTCAAAGAACACAGGTCCTAAAGAAGTTTACTTCAACATGTCAAACTTTTTCAAAACACCAGGCTATGTACCTGATTCTTTGAGAATGTATCTATATACAACAGGTATGTCCTGTAGTTTGGACTTTACGAATTATTCTGTGCTGTAACATAATACATGTATTTTCCATTAGTTTATAATTCATTATGACATATTGACATATATATATGTCATATTGACTTGGAACCTTGCCTAGATTTCCAATGTTATACTTGCTAGGAAACAGAACAACTTAATGTTTTGATGGAATTATTTTTAAGACTATTTCATATACATTTCATGTGTCACACTTTGACCAGTGGAGCTCTACAAAATTTGATGAGTAATGCTTGGACACCCTAGAGTAACTTATCCAGCAGTGACGTCACATTTAGTGACTAAATATAAAGGAAACATAAACTTGAAAAATGTTTGATACTTGGCATGTGGTTTAATGTTTGATACTTGGCATGTGGCACTGCCTAGTGGACTTCTACAAAAGTCATGGTCCTTAAGGGTTAAATATGGCACTTCAAATAATTGATCTAATTACCTACCACAGTATTTAGGAATTCATAAACTTTTCTAGCAATGGATTTTAGATTAGCAATCTAGAACCATCATAGCCCCCCTTGTTTCACATAGATTGTTAAAATTAACATTAGATATTATAGTCAATGATTACAAACATAGTGTAAGAAAACTGCTATATTTTACAGGAGATATGATGGGGACATTTATTGGGCTTATTGTTACCAAGATCAAGATGCCTTTTGGATGTGGTGAACAAAATATAAAATCCTTAACACCCTCAGTTGTCATTGCACGTTACCTGACTAAACTTAATAGACTGGATGAGAAAACTAAAGGCCTACTTAAAAAAGTTTGTGGAGTAGGTAAGTAATAAAAAGGTTATTTACAAATATTACATCAAGAAAGCACATGTATAGTATTTGTAAAATGAACAACTTAAACAGTATCTTGCAATAACTGTTTGTTTGATTGTGTTATACATGTATATAAAGTGCATGACCAATTATTATAAACTATTATAAATATGATTTGATAGAATAACATGAAGTGTAAGACCAATTACTATAAATATAATTGTAAAGTGCATAAAGTATATAGTCATGCCATTAGTGTAAATATCATTTTCTAGTATATAAAGTGTAAGACCAGTAACTATAAATATGATTGTCTAGTATATAGAATATAAGACCAATTACTATAAATATGATTGTCTAGTATATAGAATATAAGACCAGTTACTATAAATATGATTTTCTAGTATATAGAATATAAGACCAGTTACTATAAATATGATTGTCTAGTATATAGAATATAAGACCAATTACTATAAATATGATTGTCTAGTATATAGAATATAAGACCAGTTACTATAAATATGATTTTCAAGTATATAGAATATAAGACCAATTACTATAAATATGATTGTCTAGTATATAAAGTGTAAGACCAGTTATAATAAATATGATTTAATAGAATAATATGAAGTGAAAGACCAATTACTATAAATATAATTGTAAAGTGCATAAAGTACACAGTAATGCCATTAGTGTAAATATGATTTCTAGTATATAAAGTGTAAGACCAGTTACTATAAATATGATTGTCTAGTATATAGAATATAAGACCAATTACTATAAATATGATTGTCTAGTATATAAAGTGTAAGACCAGTTACTATAAATATGATTGTCTAGTATATAAAGTATAAGACCAATTACTATAAATATGATTTTCTAGTATATAAAGTATAAGACCAATTACTATAAATATGATTGTCTAGTATATAAAGTATAAGACCAGTTACTATAAATATGATTGTCTAGTATATAAAGTATAAGACCAATTACTATAAATATGATTGTCTAGTATATAAAGTGTAAGACCAGTTACTATAAATATGATTGTCTAGTATATAAAGTATAAGACCAATTACTATAAATATGATTGTCTAGTATATAGAATATAAGACCAATTACTATAGATATGATTGTCTAGTATATAAAGTGTAAGACCAGTTATAATAAATATGATTTAATAGAATAATATGAAGTGAAAGACCAATTACTATAAATATAATTGTAAAGTGCATAACCTACATAGTAATGCCATTAGTGTAAATATGATTTTCTAGTATATAAAGTGTAAGACCAGTTACTATAAATATGATTGTCTAATTTATAAAGTGTAAGACCATTTCTGTCAAAATTATTGACAAGTAAATCAAGTGTAAAACCAATTACTATAAATGTAATTGAAAAGCATGTAAAGTACATAGAAATGCCATTAGTGTAAATATGATTTTCTAGTATATAAAGTGTAAGACCAGTTACTATAAATATGATTGTCTAGTATATAAAGTATAAGACCAATTACTAAATATGATCGTCTAGTTTATAAAGTGTAAGACCAGTAACTAAATATGATCGTCTAGTTTATAAAGTGTAAGACCAGTTACTAAATATGATCGTCTGATTTATAAAGTGTAAGACCAGTTACTAAATATATCATCTAGTTTATAAAGTGTAAGACCAGTTACTATCTATAAATATGATTGTCTAGTTTTATGTAGTGTACTGTCAATATGATTGTCTAATATATAAAGTGTAAGACCAATAACTATACATATAATTGAATAGTACACAACAGTACTTTTTATATGATTGTCCATAAACTGTAAAACCAATCATTTAGCAACATGAAAGTAAAGTTGACAAGACTTTTACTTACAGGGTAAGTGTTACATTTATGTGAATATTTTTATATTTAGGTGTAAGAAAGGAGTTTAACTATTTACATCGAGATGGTTCATACAGTGCATTTGGAGAACAAGCTAATTTATGTGTTTGTGGAAAACCTGGTACTAAATCTGGAAGTACATGGTAAATATTTTGAGTTACTCTTATTATTCAACACAAATTTTAAACAGTTGAACTTTTGTCTGAATTTATCTAGGTATATTTTCAAACATTTTACTCTGTTTGTAATGAAACTTTTAAGAGTTTTTTTTATCATACATGTGTGTTATACATCACAAAACAGTTTAACTGTCTATGTGAACTTTATGAAGTAAATAGAAACAATGTTCTTACCCGTGTGTCTCAGTCTCTGTCCAGATCTATGCTGAAAGTTTTTAGCAGTAACCTAATTCTGCTCATCTTAGCATTATCACAGGAGGTTTTATGATCAACCTTTGTCCATTGTCTGTCATCAGTCGTGTAATACTTGATTTAAATGATATTTCGTCTTGATTTGTTGGATGTTTTTGGGATATTTCCTTGTTTCCAAGGTGAGCACTATAGGACCCTCAGAGTACTCCTGCTGTAGTAAAACAACTTCATATTATATTGATTTTTAAAGATCTATTAGAAAATGTATTCAAAATACTTTTGAAAATGTTCATATAAAGGTGCATAATTGTTTCTAATGAATCATAAAACATGTTATTTGATTTTGACTGGACATTTTCGCTGAGTGACAATATTTTATGATTGTATTAATTATTTGTTTGCAGGTTAACAGCCTATGTATTGATGTCTTTCTCACTCTTATATTCTGATGATATCACATACATTGATCCTCAAACTCTGAAAAAATCATTTGATTACATCAAGAACAATGCTACTGTGAAAGATTGTGATTACCAATATTTCATTGAGAAAGGTGAATTAATTCATACTGAAATGAAGGTAAGTTCATATAATTATATACAATATAACAATTTAAAACTTATTTAGTATAGCAACATCATTATACACCATCTAAAACGAAGTTTCCACAGAATTAACCTTGAGTTATATACTACCTCACCAAAATATAGTTTGATAGAATCTGAAGTAAGCCTGAATGGAGTCATTGTTTTTATTAAGTTGACTATCTGAATATTTTAACTTTCCTTGCCTTGAACTGATAGCTAATTCAATGATTGATTCCTTTATACATGATTAATGACATATATTTTCTTTTAAAAATGAAGTTTTATGACATTTGTCTTGTATCATGTGATTTACCTTTGTGTCAATATCTTGTTATGTATCTGTTTGTATAACTATCAAATCTTACTGAATATTCTATATGACAGGGAATTTCTTCTAGTCGATTTGGTTTTACATCATTTATTACAATAGCTGTGATGGATTATAGATTGGCAGCTTTAAAAGCTGGTTTAACAGATTCAGCCCAGGTATGTGGTTTTATATCATTTAAGTTCTTAAGTCTCCTCTAAAATATTGAAATGTGAAACTTAATTATAAGAATTACAGTAAAATTGGTTTGTATTTTGTTACAACAAAATATTTTAATGTCTATTATAGGTCCATACTTGTATTTTAATTACATATTTTCATGAAATTCAATACAAGAAATTTATTTTAATGGTGTGTAAACTAATGAAATAATAAATTTATGAAACATTTTTGAAAAGATTATCACAAGATATAATAAATATCAAGGGAATTTCTCCATTGTAAATTATACAACTTGTTATGAAGGAAGCAAAAACGTTACAAGATGGAGCAGTTGGCTGGTTAAAAGGTCACCAGGAGGAATTAATTGCTAAGAAAGAACCGTATCAACTTGCAATTGTTGCCTATGCTTTAGCCAGAGCTAATACCATCACACCAGATGTAGACAGTGCAGCTCTTCTTGAAACACTGGAAAATGTACTTGCAGGTAGTAACTAAATTTTAGATGATTTCTGAACCCACTGAGCCAAATTCAATGGAACCCAACATAAATGATGCTTGGATGGTACTGAAAAAAACTACAACAAGCAAAGTTTTTGTTTACTGAACTAGAATATTTTTACATAGTATGGTTGAAGTAATGTGAGTGATTATTGGCTATTATAGCCTGCACCTATTTCTGTATCTTTCTGTTTATTTCAAGAAATAAATTGCTAAAAGGCTAGAAAGTAAATCTCAAGTTAGGAACAAAAGATGCCACCCAGTTTTTTGTTTAATATCTTAGCAATGTGGGCTTACAAGGTATTCAATCTGATCATTAATAAATACAATTTAATACTATTATAACTCATCTTAACAACAAATTTTACTCAACTTTTTAAGAAAAGCACATACTTGAAAAGTACTTGAAAGATGGTTTTGAAAAATCCTTCAGTTCTGTCTTGAAAATTACTTGATGATTGATTAGTGTGTAGCTTTCAGAAGTACATGTACTAGAATTTTAATATTTTTGCTTTATGATGACAAAGATTCATCAAAAATTGTCCCATTTTGTACAGGAAATGAACAAGTTTTGGAGGAGGAAGAAGCTTGTGTTTATAGTCCAACATCAGGAGAGTCTAAAAGATGCAAATCTGATACTGATTGTGGCAATAACTATATGGAATGTTGTATGGTACCATGTTCTAATGGCATGAAAAAATGTTCAAGGAAACCTTACCGTCCTGTCTTCAGGAACGGCCAAATGTCAGATGGTATAAAATGTTTGACTTTACTAATTATGCCCCAACTTCGAAGAAGATATTGCTTTGCACTTGTCAGTCCGTAGACCAAATGGTTTCCGAGTGATAACTAAAGAACCCTTAGGCCTAGGAACTTCAAACTTGGTATGGAGATTGGTCATGACCAGTAGATGACCCCTAATGATTTTGGTGTCAAGGGGTCAAAGGTCAAGGTCACATTGACCTTGTAAGCAAAAACAGTTTCCGATCAATAACTAAAGAACCCTTAGGCCTAGGAACTTCAAACTTGGTATGGTGATTGGTCATGATCAGTAGATGCTTCCTATTGATTTTGGGGTCAAAGGTCATGGTCACATTGACCTTGTAAGCAAAAACGGTGTACGATCAATAACTAAAGAACCCTTAGGCCTAAGAACTTCAAACTTGGTATGGTGATTGGTCATGATCAGTAGATGACCCCTATTGATTTTGGGCTCAAGGGGTCAAAGGTCAAGGTCACATTGACCTCTTAGGTAAAAACGGTTTCCGATCAATAACTTAAGAACCCTTAGGCCTAGGAACTTCAAACTTGCTATGGTGATTGGTCATGACCAGCAGATGATCCCTATTGATTTTGGGGTTAAGGGGTCAAAGGTCAAGGTCACATTGACCTTGTAGGTAAAAACATTTTCCGATCAATAACTTAAGAACCCCTAGGCCTTGGGACTTCAAACTTGATATGGTGATTGGTCATGATCAGTAGATGACCCCTAGTGATTTTTGGGTCAAGGGGTCAAAGGTCAAGGTCACATTGACCTCTTAGGTAAAAACGGTTTCTGATCAATAACTTAAGAACGCTTAGGCCTAGGAACTTCAAACTTAAGAACACTTAGGCCTAGGAACTTCAAACTTGGTACACATTGACCTTGTAGGTAAAAACGGTTTCCAATCAATAACTAAAGAATGCTTAGGCCTAGAAACTTCAAACTTTGTATGATGATTGGTCATGACCAGCAGATGAACCCTATTGATTTTGGGGTCAAAGGGTCTAAGGTCAAGGTCACATTGACCTTGTAGGTAAAAATGGTTTCTGATCAATAACTAAAGAAGGCTTAGGCCTAGGAACTTCAAACTTGGTAAGATGATTGGTCATGACCAGTAGATGACCCCTATTGATTTTGGGGTCAAGGGGTCAATGTCATATTGACCTTGTACTTAATGACGGTTTCTGACCAATAACTCAACAACTCAAGTTGCCTTGGTTGATATTTTTATGTTAAACTAAAAATGCTTTTGGTATACACATTTGAAGGTCTGATGTAATATAACAACTTTACTGTCATTAATGAGGACTACATGATTCATAAAATTTATGCATATATTATTTGGTAAGATTTGTAATAACTTAAATTGCTGCACACAACCTATGGGGTCACAATAATTATTACCTTGTGACTAGTCATGACCAGTAGATACTAGATAACCCTTATTAATTGTTTGTTCACTGGGTCAGAAGTCATGCATAATAACCTGATCACATGACTAATTGGCTGCCGATAGGGGGCATACATGTTTTACAAACATATCTTGTTTAATGTATAAAATAGGGATGCTTATTTTTATTATTAAATGTTATAATTATAGATGCACTTTTATCAATTCAGTACTGAAATTAGACATTCTACTTTACAGATTTTAATGGTTAAATTAGGGATGCTACTTTATTAATTAGATTGTTGAATTAGGAATGCTACTTTATTTATTAAATGCTTAAAAAATGAATGCTACTTTATTTATTGAATTGTTGAACTTGGGATCATGCTACTTTATTAATTAAATTGTTGAATTAGGAATGCTACTTTGTTAATTGAATGGTTGAATTAGGAATGCTACTTTATTAATTGAAGGGTTGAATTAGGAATGCTACTTTATTAGTTAAATTGTTGAATTATGAATGCTACTTTATTAATAAAATTGTTGAATTAGGAATGCTACTTTATTAATTGAATGGTTGAATTAGGAATGCTTCTTTATTAATTAAATGGTTGAGTTATAGATACTTCTATATTAATTAAGTGGTTGAATTAGGGAATCTTCTTTAAGTTTATTAAATAAATGGTTGAAGTAGGGATGTTACTTTTATATGATTTTGTAACGGTTTCTAGTCATTGAGGAGAGCCATTTTGTGAAGACAAATTTTTTAACTTAGTCATTTTTTCACTATTTTTTGTTTGTTTGTAAAATGAAGAAATTGGTAGAGTTTGAGCACCATATGAGTATGATATTTTGCTACAAGAAATTGGGAGGGTTCAATTATATTCAAACGGAATGCATATCTTTCACAGTGCTTTCTCTTACAACCTATAAAATATTTAACTCAACTTTTTGAAGGCAAAACAGAGCTATTGACATGATGCACTCATCATTTGATGGGTCATTTGCTTCAGTGTTAACAAAGTTATTTTGCATCGGAACTTATGTCAGTTGTCTTAACTCAGTAGGAAGAGCATGACATTTGTAATCCAGGGATCACTGAATCAATCCTTGGGAGAGGCAAAATTCCTATCTGACAATTGACTTTGAACATTTTGTCTAGTCTGATTCTAAATTATGTTGTATGATTTTATGTTTTCAGAACAGTCCCCATCAAAATCAATAGAGATGAATGGTTATAGAATGATGGCCTACCTGTATTTATATAATACAGAGACTAATAGTGAGAAAAAGGCTACACTGTTGAAGAAAATTGACACATTGAAGGAATGGTTACTATCTAAACGGAGAGGAAATGGTTTATTTGAGAGTACTCAGGTATTTCAAAAATTCAGTCCAATATGCTGTTTTATCTAAACATTAATAGCAAAACTTCATACAGTTGTATATATTTCTTGTAGATGATTGTCTTTTACTGAGGACTTATTCTTAAATGGAGAAAATCATTTGGTTTGTACAGATTGCTGTCAGTGCTTCATATTATACAAATTCATACTGAGTAGTTAACAAAACTTAATCAATGTAACAAGAGTTGCCCTTCATCCATTTATCTGTGAGTGAATAATTCTGCATCTATGAGTGTTTCATATCTTCTTACTATCATCATGATATTTATGTCACATTTTAACATGCAATAATATTAGAACACATAAAACTGCCACATTACCACATAAAACTTAATTTTATACCCTAACCACATGGCCCTGGTCCACCCAAATGTCACTCTGTCAGTTACTAGACCAGTTTGTGTTGTGTGTAACTCTCAAGGTATGACTGTTAGAGCCATGAAATAGTCTTAGAATAATTGTCAGCATGTGATCTTTTGCTTTGAGTAATTTAACATAAACTTAATCAAAATAAGTAGGGTTATGCCCCCTGATAAAGCAAAAAATAGGATAGCATTGTTAGCTCCACTTTTCAAAGAAAAAAGTGGAAGTATTGTCATGACCAACTTTTTTTGTCATCATTGGCGTAGTTTAACCTGGTTAAGTTTTCATTAATTTTATGGTCATTAATTTCAATGATAATAAAGCCATAACATTGAAACTTCATATGTGGATACACCTTGATGAGTTTTACTGTCATCAATGTCAGTGACTTAATAGGTTAAGGTAAGTTTTCTCAGAAACTACCAAAGTTATTCACTTTTAACTTGGTTTACTATATTTGATGCAAAATCAAGAGGGCAGAACATTTTGCAAAGTTATGCCCTTCTATGACTTAGCATTTTTGTCCTGATTAACCCTTTTGTTATGGTTAACTTCTCAAAAACTATGAAAAATATATGTTTTTAACTTGAAAAACTGGTTCAAAGCAAGTACAGATACCTTTTTTTAGGTAAATTATATCCATTTTATTTTTATTTTTTTTCCTAATTTTCTCAGAAACCATCACAAATATTCACTTTAAACTTTTACTTTTTGTCACTTGACACAAAGTGCCTAAGTGAGCCATCAAGACTGCTTTCTGTCTTATACCTTATTTTACTCTGATTATATTTGGTCAGTGTTGATGAAACTTTGCAAGAATGTTTCTTGTATGAGACCATTCCATAATTTTGTAAATACAGAACTTTTGCATTGGCAGATGAAAAAATATATAATCTTATTTTTTAATGAACTGCAAGTGTACAGGTAAGATATTTGGCATTTAGGATAAGCTTATAAACCTCAACCTTTAAATAATGACCAAGCTATTTAAAGATTATTTTTTATGTAATATAGTGATGAGCTTTTAAATGAAAGTAGACATCTATCATTGTAACAGCAATTGAAAACCAGGTACTTGTAATGAACATTACAGTAAAATGTAGATATTAAAGGTATTTTGTGTTACAGAATAATTTACATTTTTTTAGCTCATTAGAGTTTTGTAACAGCAGGTGTCTGTAAGCCAAACCACATGATATAGGTAAAACCTTTTCTAGAAATGGATCTTAGTTGAGTGATGTACCGATCTCATTCCCTTGTTGTTTGATTATAGGACACTGTGGTTGCCTTAAGAGCTTTAGCAACATATGCAATGACATTCCCCAACCAACAGGGAGCTGATTTCACAGTCACAGCTAAAGTTGATGACAAGACTGTAACTGACACAGTTGTTGTAAATGATGATACATACACTACTATCGCAGAGAAAAAAGTAAGTACATTATACAATATAAAATGTATGCACATACTATGTCAGGTAAATGTTTACAAATGTGACTTTTCTCATATATATATATTCTGAATTTTGACAGTACACCAATACAGAAGTACTATATCATTTAAGTTTATGGTTATTATACATAAAAACAAATTTGGTGTATATATTGTTATGCTGCTGGTTGTCCGTCTGTCTATCCATCAGTTAGTAATTTCGTGTCTGGTTTATACATGTATAATATTATGTGCATTTCAAAGATGTCACTTTGTAAAACATACTTTGGACATATCTAGATTTATTGTAAGACATTAAATGGGCACATTTTGAGAGTATCTTTTCTGAAATTGAAATGAAAGAATTATGAAAAAGATATTAATTTTACATGCATTGTTGTAGAGTAAAATGTATGGTTCAATGCGCAGAAATATAATAAATAAAAACCCTGATAGGCCTGAGTGATTGATTGCAATGTATTTAAAAGATAAAATGTTCTTTATTTTACTACAATGCAAAATAATTAATATGTGTTTCTGTTCTAACATGCTTCATAAAAATATTTATAACAACATTGAACGTAGATGTCAGTTGGTTTATTGACGTCAAATTTGGTATCATATGACAGGAATGCATTCTGATTTAATGATGTACATTATACAGTGTAATAATGTACGTGACTGTTCAGTAGAAGGATATCTTGAAGTGTGTTAAAATGTCAAACTGATAACTCAGTCAATATGTCTGCCATGATTGTCATGACTGTTTCTATTTCAGCTGGATGTTAGCAGCCCACCTAGCTGCCATGATTGTCATGACTGTTTTTCTATTTCAGCTGGATGTTAGCAGCCCACCCAGTGCTGTTTCAGCTGCTGTGACAGGGTTAAAAGGTGTAGCTTATTTAAATGTAAGTAGAACATTTTGTTGACCTTGCTTGTAGAAGTTGTAGGTTGTCATAATAACATGTTGTGTATGTGGGTGTATTAATGTGTTGGTAAGTCTAATTTTTAGCTCGACTTTTCTATGAAAAGGGGAGCTATCCTACTCGCCCCGGCGTCGGCGTTGGCGTCACACCTTGGTTAAGTTTTTCGTACCACCCCACTTTATTTCAGAAGTATTACAAGTATGGCTTTGAAACTTACCATACTTGTTCACCATCATAACCTCCATCTACAGACAAGAGTACATAACTCTGTCAAGGTTTTTGACAGAATTATGGCCCTTTTTTGACTTAGAAAGTGTATTGAGCTTGGTTAAGTTTTTTGTACCACCTCACTTTATTTCAAAACCATTGGAGGTATTGCTTTGAAACTGACCATACTTGTTTACCATCACGACCTTCATCAACAGACAAGAGGACATAACTCTGTCAAGGTTTTTGACAGAATTATGCCCCTTTTTGACTTAGAAAATACATTGAATATGGGTAAAATCCACTTATTGCCTTAACCCTTTGAGATATTGCTTTGAAACTTTTAATGCTATTTCACATCATTACCCCCATCTGTACGCAAGAGAAGGTAACTCTGTCAGGGATTTGTTTTAAAAATTAAGGCCTTTTATCGACTTAGAATCTTGGTTAAGTTTTTTGTACCAGTCAACTTTTTGACTGAACTGGTTGAGATATTAAATTGAAAGTTGGAATACTTGTTTACCATCATGGTCCCAAACATGGGCAGGAGAAGGTAATTCTGTTAAGGATTTTATTTGAATTATGGCCCTTTTTGACTTAGAAACTCAGTTAAAATTTTCATTCTTGTCCACTTGTTGACCTAACCATTTGAGATATTACTTTGGAAGTTGGAGTTCTTATGTGCCATCATGAGACCTATCTGTAAGCAAGAGAAGATAACTCTGTGAAAATGTTTCTTGATTTGTACTTAGAAATTCCTAGTTAAAGTCTTGTGTGCCCTTAACTGTCAAAGTTTTGTTTTATAGGCAAGCACTAAAAAAGTCGAGCGCGCTGTCCTTCTGACAGCTCTTGTTAATTATTTTTTCTTACTTTAACTTGGCAATAGATTCAAAGCTTCATAAGTAACTTAGAACAAAATTAATGTCAACTGTGTGTAGGGTTTAAAGGTATAAACATAGTGCACTTTTGCTTGTCTTTGCTGTAATTTTACCATTGATTGAGGAATTCCTAAATTACTTTCCTCAGAAAACTGCAATCTGAAAGATCAGTTATACTTCAAGGTTAAATGACAATCTTGGCTTGGTGTGACTGACTTATAAATGTGGTGTGATGTGGAACTTCGAAATACTTAATCACATGTTTGGCATCATGAGACCTGAGGAACCATATTTTAAGTTTAAAGGTCAAGTTCACAATTAAAGGTTAAAATTTCATTGTTGCTGTTAAAATTACACAAACATTTGATAGTGCTTTTAGAATATGAACTTTGAGAGCTATTCAAAGTATATTGATATGGTTAAATGTCATTTAAAGCACACAGCCTGTTTAACATGGGGGATGTAAGAGAGGTTTTTCTAGCACCAGAGTAAACAGGAGATAATCCTGTCTGATATACAAGGTCAAGGTCAGATATAAAAATTTGAAGTATATTTTGTCCAAGAAAATGGTATGTTTTCTAGGAATATTCTTGACTAAAATAATCTTCCTTTGATGTGTTTGATTTGAGAAATAAGAAAAAATTGAGCCTGGCCTTGTTTCAGATACAACAGAAGTAGAACCTTGTGTAAGCTAGCTTAAAAACTTCCTTACATGAACGAATCTCAAATCCTTCATGAGATTTAAACCTACCAGGGCAAGTGACTATAAGTCAGCTATCTTAACCTGTCAAAAGATGAAGGTCACACTTGGTTAAATTTAAAATATTGGTCTAAAATAATTTGTGCAAACAGTAACTGATAGTTAATGGCTGATGTGAAATAAGTTTTCAATGGCATCATGCATAAGATCAATCTGTGTAGTGTAATGGTCACTTAAAAGTTTGAGGTGTAAAACTGTTTGTCAAGACAATTATAGCTCTGTTATTTATGTGAGATTTTAAAATGACTGCACATGCATTACATGATTATTTAAATTTATTGTTTCTTTTTAATTGGTTAATGGAGCTATATAAAGATTAGTTAAGTAGTTTGAAAATTCATTTATCATAAATCTAGACTTCTTTTCCATTTTTTTTTTTTTTTTAAAATATAATGAGGAACCTTCTGTAGGTAATTTTATATAAACATGCATGTGAATTTAATATTAATTCATTTCAGTTGGTTGCCTTATACAATGTGGATAAAAATGTTACAACGAAGCCTTACTTGATTGACATCGAACCTCGTAAAAAGAATGACAAAGCTTTAATGAGAGTCTGTTTCAGCAGAAATCCGTGAGTAACTGACTTTTTGTTATTGTTATTTTTTATCTATTCTATTGTTCTCATCCTGGCGTCAATGTCACCCTAATTGGTTAAGTATTGTGTGCAAGTTGGTATGTTTAAAACTGCTAAAGGGAATGGGTTGAAAATTTACACACTTATTTGAGAGCATAATAGGATGTCAATATCTAAAGCACATTACTTTGATTTTGATGGAATTATGACCGTTTTTTTTTTAACAAAGAAAATTCTACATAATCCAAATTCTTGTTTTACTACTAGAACCAAGCACTGAGAATAGTTAAGCGTGCTATCATACCAAAAATTCTGTCCATTGATTATAGTGGCATAATTCATAAATGGAAAGGGTTTGTTTGTTTGTTTGTTTTTTCTTTTCTTTTGGATAAAAAGTGAACTATTGTTAAACCCATTAAATACATTACAGACTACTTCAATATGTTCAACAAAATGTTATCTTAGCAATTTTGCAAATATCCTATTCTTTGAAAGTTTTATATCTTTGGTTAAGTCTTGTGTTACAGACCTATACCTGATACATAAATTCTGTATTGCTAAGTAGATTTAAATCAATCAGTTTATGCTTGTATTACTGTACCCGATCAAGCTGTAATTTGCTCTAACGCATATATGCATGTATATCAATATATTCCACCTTTAAACTTGGAATTAATTAATATAAATGTTATATTTTGCTGAAAAAGATTGTGTTACAACAACAACAAACAAACAGAAGACATACAGTATTTGTACACCACTGTTCTTTCCTGATTATGTGGAAATAATTTATTTATATCTTTTTAAAGTCATAAACTTATACTGTATGATTGTAAAGTATGGAATTTTCCAGAAGTCTAGAATGCTGTGGTGTCTGACAACTGTCTGAGTTTTGTCACTTTTGTGTTGGTCCAGTTTGTATCACAAAGAACATTGTTGATGTATGAGAATACGTTCATATAGAGATTTTACTAAATATTTCAGGGAATTCACTGGTGACATAGGATCAATGATCACTGTTCAGATGGAAGCACAAACTGGCTCCAACATCTTGAATGTCCAACCAGAAAATAACGACAGTCCAGACTTCTCTCCTGAGAAATATGAATTTGATAAAGAAAGCAGCCTCCTGAATGTGTATTACATGGTAAATATACATGTATATCAAATTTAATTGATTGTGCGCTCGTTTGGAATATAATTATTATATATGAATAAAGCTGAAGACGTTCTAGAACCCCTAAGAAGGTGTCATAAGTTTGGTTATATTTCAGTGTAATATCTTGTTTTGTTGTTTTGTCTATTACCAGACAGGATTATCTGTTGTTTGCACTGGTGCTAGAAAAACCTGTGTAAGACAAGTTGCATGCTTTAAATGACATCATACCCGTGTGTCTTTTATGAATGGACTGTGTTCTTTGAATGATATCATTTTGCTGTAATGAATGAAGCTGTGAATTCATACATGCAAAATGAAAATACAATCTTCAAGTACTAGTTTTTGTGATTTCTTCCTAAAATACAATAATATGAAAGAAAAAGAATCATATACAGCTGTCGTTAAAGACGGGAATAATTAGCTCTCTGGTGAATGTTTAGTAGAAACAGGGCAGAGCTGTTAACAGTTACCTGAGAGCTAGATATTTGTGTCTGTACCAGCAGCCTATGTTAGACCCTCATAGTCTTAACAAACTAGTGCACCTATATTCCTAAAAAGCAGCTAAATTTTGGAGTTGTTTGTTTTTTTGGGGGGAATATATCATGTTTTAAATAATAGAAATCTCTAAAATACGTAAGTGCATTTCTATAATTATGCTAAGCCTTTGGAAGTGTGATTGTTCCTCAGTTATTTCATATCGCCTCTATATTTTTATCTATATAAGGCATATTGATGATGCTATTGTCAAACTTCATGGTCATGGTCACAGCTCAAAGTCTGTTGTTAGAATCAACAAACTCATGTCTGTTTGATACCTTTCATGCCCCTTGAGAAAACTTATGATATTTCGGTCAAGTGTTTATTTGATTGAGACAGTCTCAAATAATAAGATTAATGTCCAACTTCATGGGCCAGCTCTCTTAATTTTGGACAGATTGAAAGATGCTCATTATACTTGAGTCATTGTTTATATTCTTATAATCAATTTTCAGACCCATTCAGGCATCTTTGGTTAAGGTCAATGTCACAGTTGTATGTCACAACTGTGTGTAGACTATATATCTCTTGATCTGCTGGAGTGATATAGATGATACTTGGGTCAAATGTATATCTCATTGAGATAATATGTAGAGCCCCCACCCCTTGAGGTACCCAACTAATACTAGTAGTTCAAGGTCACAGTTAAAGGTATAATATTTGAGCAAGCAATCTTGTTTTCTGCTTGTTCTAAACTTCTTTGAAATATTAATGTCATTGTTACAGTTTAAAAACCCCATTTCAGGAACACTAAGTTTTGGATAATACATCTTAGCCTTGAGGATAGCCTCTTTTGACATTGAAATATCCTAGAGTCATTAGTTTTGACGCCCTTAAGCTGTTTAACTATTGCATTTTTTTATTTTTAATTTGATCATTAAATAAAATACAATATAAAGTTACTATGGCATGTTGTTTATCACTGCAAACCTTTTTTATGTTTGTAAACAGTTCAAAATCACTGAAGTTTTGTACTTAAGTAAACTGACACTGGAGGCATCCATTGTTGTTTACAGTCATATGAAATGACTCCTTTTCATTGGGTGGTTATTTTAAAAGGATATTTCACTGTAATGCAATATGTGCAGCAAAATAAGATTTTAAATGAGCTAACATTTAATGTAACAACATTGTGAAAACTTAAAATTATATTTTATTTCATATAAAACTGTCCATTATTTGGGAATGCCATACACCCTGGCAGTCGTCTTAATAGGTGCACCTGTCTCTTTAAGCTTGAACGTATTTACCAATAATCTTGATGAATAGCATCTGCTTTTGGCTTACAGAGCTGAAAAATATATCTAAAATGAAAGGTGTTGTAAAGATATGTATATGTTGATTTAAGAAATGATTTTTTTTCTTTCTTTTTTAAACTTTATATACAATAATCAACCCATTATGAATTTTACTCAGTATCAATTAAAAACCAATTAACGTTTTCAAACAATATAAGCTGTACACCTTTTGCAACAGTGAATATTAAGGGCACTTTGCAAAGTTTTGGTCACATGACACTCATTAGACATTTTAAAATGGAGGACAGAAACAGAAAAGGGCAGGTCAAGATTTTTCAAAGGCTGTATTTGCAAAATTAAGGCTTGCATAAACATTGATTGATTTTGCATTAGTAAAAAGATGAAAAAATACAGTAAATTTGATAAAGGTGAAGTATTTTTAGTGAAATGTCTCTGTCTTTCCAAATGTTTTAGTTATACGTTGTAAATACATGGTTGCAGTGCAGTCAGCAAATTATGACGTCATACGAGGTCGTTTTCACCAATTCTTAGGTCAAAACAAAAATGGCGTCAAAATAGATGAGCGTCAAAACACATGACCTGACGATAATAGTTTTGTTTCCTCAGTTTTTGTTTCCTCCAACAAATTTGCTTTTCATACATTGTATTTAAGTTACATAAACTTTTTTTTGTAAAATTTATCTTCAGAAACTATGAGATAAGGGCCTGTATGTTTGGGATATAGCATTACATAGAAGTTATATAGATAAATTGCCCATGTCTATAAAGTGTTATTGAAAGTGTTTCATTGACTTTTTGTAGCCTTTTATACTAAAGGACCTTACAAACTTGATGCCCTTTAACTGCACAGTCTATTGAGCCACTTTTATAGCTCACCTGTCACAAAGTGACATGGTGAGCTTTTGGGCCGTCCGGCATCCGTCCATAAACTTTTACTTCAAACGACATAACACCCCAGTTACACAGAACCATCGGTGATTGATCGGTAGTTTTTTTAGCCAAATTATGGAGTGAACCTATGACAACGTATTTAACACCGATATCACCTATTGGTCACCTGTTTTCCACCTATCAACTGCTATTGGGGAAAGATAAGTTTCATCGGTGAAAAATTACCGATTGGGATTTTTAAACATGTTTAAAATTTTCGAATGGTGAAAATATTTTACAAATAACCGACAGCAACCTATATCACGAGATATGCAAGCTCTTAATCATCGACATCGCCGATCGGACAAAGATAACCAAATATGAATCACTGGCCATATCTGATGGAAAGTGTTTAACCACTGATGACTAGCTATCAAACACCGATTAATCAGTGTTACGCCCGATTTAGTTCCGATTTACAAACAATAAAAACCAAAAGTATTTCAGCATTTAATCATCGACCCATTCCCGTTTGAGTTTGCTTTCTGTCACCAATGGCCGTTTACACAGAAAACCAGAAATAAAATCACACATGACAACCGAACATAACAGCGAGTAAATTTAAAATTAAATGACCGATTGGGGACTGACCATCTGTGTAACTGGGCCATATGCCGCAAAGCCAATTTCATCCAAACTTCACAGGAATGTTCCTTTGGTAGTCAACTTTAAAAATTGTAAGCAGAACTCTGGTTGCCATGGCAAAGAAAAAATGTAAAATATCTTCTTAATTATAGAAGACCGAAAGAGCTAGAGCTTAAATATTTGGCATGAAACATCATCTAGTCAGTGTCTACCAAGTTTGTTCAAATAAATGCCCTGGGGTCAAAATTGGCCCTGCCCCGGAAACTTAAAAAAAACTTCTTTTAAAAAACCCAAATAGCTAGAGCTTAAATATAAAGCATGGAACATCTTCTAGTGGGTGTCTACCAAGTTTGTTCAAATAAAAGCCGTGGAGTAAGAATTGGCCCTGCCCACGGGAGGTCATTGTTTTAGCCCTTATATGTGTATTGTAAAAACTTTAAAAAAATCTTCTAATAAAAACCCTTAGGGCTAGAGTTTAGATACTAAGCATGAAATATCTTCTTGTAAGTGTCTACCAACTTTGTTCAAATGAAAGCCCTGGGATCAAAATTTGCCCCTCTGAGGGGGGGGGGGGGGTGTCATTGTTTTTCCCTATATGTATATAGTAAAAACTTAAAAAATCTTCTTATAAAATCCCCTAGATATTTATCATGAAGCATCTTCTAATGGGTGTCTACCAAGTTTGCTCAAATAAAAGCACAGTACAGTTATTTAACATTGACCATCAATAATCACAATGATGACCCAGTGACCTACTTTTTGTGCCCCCACTATAGGGTGGGCATTTAGATTTACCCTTGTCCGTCCATCAGTTCCCTTTTTGAGTCGCAAATAGCTCAAAAAGTAAATGACCTAGTCATGAAACCTCACAGGAATGTTGATCAGCATGTGAAATTGTGCTCTAGGGGATTTTTATGTGGATATATTTAGTATTTTTAGAGTTATTGCCCTTGACATTGTAAAAATTTCCAATTTTCAACTTGTGTTGCACATAACTAAAAAAATATTTGACCTAGAGTCATATAACCTTACAGGAATCTTGATCAGCATGTGAAGCTATGCACCTGGGTATTTTCATGTGGATATATTTAGTATTTTTAGAGTTATTGCCCTTGACTTTGTAAAAAATTTCCAATTTTCAACTTGTGTTGCACATAATTAAAAAAGTGTTCGACTTTCAGTCTTGAAACCTTACAAGAATGTTACTCAGCATGTGTAGTTGTGCACCTGGGTATTTTCATGTGGATATTTTTAGTATTTTTAGAGTTATTGCCCTTGACTTAGTAAAAATTTACAATTTTCAACTTGTGTCGCATGTAACTCAAAAAATATTTGACCTAGAGTCATGAAACCTTACAGGAATGTTGATCAGCATGTGTAGTTGTGCACATGGGTATTTTCGTGTGGATATACTAAGTATTTTTAGAGTTATTGCCCTTGTCTTAGTAAAAATTTACAATATTTAACTTGTGTTGCACGTAACTCAAAACATTTATGACCTGTAGGCCTGAAAATTTACAAGACTGTTGGTCAGCATGTTTTCTTATGCACCTTGGGGTTTTCTTGTGGCTTTATTCAGTATTTGTAGTATTTACCCTTTACTTTATAAAAGATTATTAGTTTTCAAAGTGGGCACATGTAGCCAAAAAAAAAATTTGACCTAGAGACATAAGATTGACAAATCGGTGGAGTGTGGGGGCACCCATGTCCTATGGACACATTTCTATTTTTTATTTTCAAATTTTACTACCGTTTGTGTTTTAAATCAAAATGTGGCATTTTAAAACCCAACGAGCCTGTATCTGTGGTTAGCAATCTAGGGTAATCATTAACCCTTGTTTTATTTCAGGTGAACAGTAATCCATTAGATGAGGAAAGATGCCTGCACATATATTATGAAGTTGACTTTGTTGTGGAAAATGTACAGCCCAAGGAAATCCGAGTTTCAAACTATTATAGCCCAGGTATGCATTTATTAGAGCTAAAGTTATCAATCACTCTCAAAATAGCATAATAGTTGATATATCAATCATTTAAGTTAAGTGTCAATATTAATATATTTATATATTTTTGAATTATCATAAATGTTAATGTTATTTCATTCCTTTAAATGTGCAGAGTGCTTTGAAGTCAGTGCAAGTCAAAGTCAATTTGACAAACTTCTCCCTTAAAACAATTTCAGAAGTATTGTTCGTGTTATATCAGGGTTTTAAATTTAGAAAGTTGCAATGATGTGTGTTGAAATTTCAAATATTGACTTGTCTGAATGTACAAGAATGAATGCCTAGAGGTCCTTGACCAAAGTCAATGTTCAAATAACATTTTTTTAGGTCAAAATTGGCCCCACCCTGCGGTCATTAGTATTTCTGTTTATACTTTTCTCTTTTTACTTAAAATAAAACTTCTCCCCTTGTGAAAAACTTATAGACAGATAATTTGTTAGAAGACAACTAACAAAAACACTGTATGTTACTATTTAATTAAATGATAAAAGTTTATATGAAATAAGTTGACATTTAATTTTTGAGAAATTTGTGTCTATCAGACATATGTAAGTGAATGTAGTGCTGTAATAATCCTGCTCTAGTTAGACATTTTTGTTTGAATTTCAATGATACATTAAGATGATGAGTTTAACAATTGTACTTGGTTTATTATAGAGATAGCATCAAGTGTTCTATACAGTGTGAATCCCGCTGACGGTACAGAACTAGAGACAACAACAGTGACCATTGGTGCCAGTTCTGCCCAGATAAACATCCTCCTCCTATTTTGTACCATCCTGGTTGTGATGTTATCTTCTATGTTACAGTTGGAGTAAATTAAATCAGCCATCAACCTGTCAAACAAGAAAATCTTTACTAAATTTGGCAGTGTCAAACATTTTCATGCATTTGGTATAATAAAAACTCAATTAACAAGTGAATATTGAAAAAAAGAAGAACAAAATGGCGAAAATACAGCTTTGCTTTGTTTATTGTTTATGATAAAGAATTTAATCTGAAGTATAAGAAATTCAGACTTTTTTTCTAAGGGAAATGGCTATAATGTATATAGAAATATTACTTTACGTGTTTATTGTAGTTTACTTTTTGTTTTTATTGTGTATACTATATACTGGATGTATTGTATTGGAGCTAACCCTTACCCTGCTGAAGTTGTGTTATGGTTATAACCAGCTTGGAATGGTTTTAACCAGGTTGGAACAGTAGATTCAAAGGATTACCATATCAATACAAATGTAATCAGCTTAGATCAGTACACAGTCTGACCTGCATGGATTTGCAGCATGGCCTGGTTCTATACTGGTGGCAATGGGTAATCAATTTTGGTAGGAGCAGGGTGGAACTATTATATTTGATGCATAATAATGAAGTTAAAGGAACTCCACTGAGGTTCATAAACTTTGAATTTCTTACATTTATCAGCTATGGCACTTAAAACATAAAGGTTTACAACAGATTTTTAAGGAATATTCATGTATCCAGAAATATATTGAAACTCCTATTTTTTAGTTATGCTTAGTCTGATCTGAGTTGCAACCCTTTTCAGGTCATTTTTCACATTAAGAATGATTATTCTGACAAACAGCAAATGATTTGAAATTTTGCACGCAAGTTACTGATCAAGACCTACATCAAATGGAATATATATTCCGAAGAATTATTTTCAGTCCTGTCATGTCAAAAAACCTTAGTGGAGTCCCTTAAATACTTTAATGACAACTGGTTGTGGAGATAACTCTTGTATTTTCTGATACTGTCAAGGTTACAGAACAAGTTATTCTGTTGTTTAGTAGTAATTGTATACAATATATGTAGCAAAGCCTGTCAGTTAACATATTTTTGTGTTAATATTAGGTTGTTTATGTATTTTAGATGGTCAGTTAAGTCTTGGAATCAAGCATTTTGTAATCTCAATATTGATACATGTACTAAGATCAATATTTTTAATTTGAGTTATTTTTTGAATTCACTTTGAAATTTTTAGCTTTCATCCTTTGGTACAAAATGTTCCTTAATTAATGTAAGAATTTAACTTAACACATTATTAATCAAGATAAGATAAATTCTTGTTGTTCAGTTTGCTTAGAAAAGTTATATACATAGAGTGAATAATAAACAACAAAAAAGGCTTAACTTGACTATTGTGTAATGCTGTGTTTCCTTTATGAAATCCTTTCAAAATGTTTAATGTATATATAAACTCTGCAAGAATCTCCTTTTTACAGTCCCATACATTTTTTTATATATTTTATTTCTATATGTTTACCTTAACTCAATATATAGATCTGAATTTTTTAGTTTTCTGGATCTGTTGTTATCCCTGGTTAATTGTTATCTACAGTTGTTTAAGAAGGACATCTCATGTGAAACCATTGTACTAAAATGTGATGAAAATTGTTTGATGATCCTTATATAAAGCTCCACCAAGCTGGTATTTGGAAGGAGCTGAAATGGATTATAAAATCTTCAAAAATCTTTTTCTTTTAATAGTATTATTGAAATTTGACTTTTTATACTGTTCTTCATAAGTATCAACATTATAACTGATTTTAGTTGTAAGCTTCTTGCATGAATCTTTACCCTTTTGCTTCTTTTTATAAAAAATAAATAAATACTTTTGGTGACTTATTATGGCTAAAAAAATCATCAAAAGCCAATTTATTACATATAAAGCAAATGAAGACTGAATGACATACAAGTTTAAATCATGGTTTCAATTTAATTTATTAAAAAGTTATAAATTCAGTTTGGAAAAATCTTGTTCATTTAATGAAATTATTATGAAAGTCAGATAATTACACACAAGATTTTTTGTCAGGAATTTTTTCCAAGTCTATATACATAGTGTTAATTATTGTTTTGCACCACTGTATATTGTTTTGAAATTTTAAGGAAAAACAGAATGGTTTTGGTTTACTTAACCCTATAACTGCCATATACCAGTAATGTCATGGTCACAAAAAATAGAATTAAAATACGAATTTTAATAAATTTTTGTTTAAAGTTATCTATTTTTCCATGTTGTTAGGTACTTAAACAGAATTGCAAATTTCAAGAATTTCAATTATAAAAAAGTTGAAAGATTCCAGATTTCACAGGAATTGCTTGAAATTAATTTTGCACTTGGAATAACATTATACATAAAAAATGGCATTGATAGGGTTAATTTATTAAGAAATATGTATGAAGTGCTAAATTTGGTTGTGTATTTCATATATCTAGTTTATTAACAAAATAATACATGTATTATAGTTGTATAATTGGAGATGACTTCTTTATGATTTCTATTATCATTTATTTTGTTAAAATCTTACATTCCAAATGAACTTAATATCCAGAACGTTTTTGTTTTTTTCTATTATTTCTTGAATTTGAGACTTCTATAGTGTAACTTTTGACATCCAGACACCAATTGAATTAGGCAAAAGGTTTGGATTATGGTAGTGTGAAAATTCAGAATTATTGAAACCAATACAAATGTGAAACATTAATTATTTATATTACAGTATAACATTAAGATATGATGAAATATGAAGATGATGATATTTTATAAAGTGTCATAATTTGATCCTTTGTCATGTCTCATGTAAGACCAGCTGTTAAACTGTTTTCACTTTTTCAAACATTGAACTTCTAAGGTTCTTAATTTTCACATTTCATTTGACATACTTGACATGCTTGACAATTAATGATTCTAATATAATTATACGAAAAAAGGGTTCCTACTAAATATGAGTTACAGATATTTTGCAGGTTTTACAATTTCTTCACAATCTTACCATTTTCTGGATTTTGGAAATATATTATAATTGATTTAACAAAAATTTTACCAGAAAATCTCACTTAATTCAGAATTAGAAAGTGAGAATCATGAATAACTTAGAAAAAAACAATACAAAGAAATTTCGGGACCCAGAAAATTGTTTTCAGAAAATACAAAATTTTAGAAGTTCTAGAATTCAGAAGTTACACTGTATTGTTTTTATTTAGAATCACAGATTTTATGACATTGCAGTACATACCTTAAAAAATTTAAGTATTATTAAAACAAATTCCATGAACTGGATAATCCATGTAAATTTCATCCATTAAAAACAAATTTTCTTTGTCTTTACCTTTTGATATTTTTGCAAATGCTAAAATACTTCAATTTCATTTTAACCAAACCAAACAAAGTTTATTTCATAACTTGTTCGAACATAGGTACATCGTGATATACATGTATAACAAACATATTGAAATACTATTTTAGGTCACATACTGTGCAATAAAGAAAAAAACAAACAAATCAAATACAGAGCAATGGGATATTTAATACATACAATATGCAATACTACATTCGTACAAAACTCCATTATTGAGTTAAATTTTAATAACAATCAGTTACTTCTGCAAATGAATAATGAAGTAAACCAAGTACCGCATAAGCTTAATCATGTTTTTCAGAATCAGAATGGTTCTTTTTTCTAAGTAAGTCTCAGTAGGTGGAATATTCAAGCAAAACATTTTAGAATCTTTCTTTCAAAATCACAAGGCCAAGAACATTAAAGGAACTTGAGGTGTATAATTTTATGATGGACTACAACAAAGTTTGTTTAAATGATTATTGTGGTGTGTGATTGGTCACTTCCCTGTTATTGACTAGTTCTACATTACACTCATCAAGTCTTTTTAGTAGCTCTATTGTGATTTGAAGTGTACTGCATTGTCCTATATTCTGTGTTAAAATATTATTATTATGTTAGCACTTTAATAATCAGTGAATAAATCCTGTATCTGTATATAATGCTGTTGTTTTTTATAGTATTCCCATTATCATACCTCCAGCAAACTTCCTGTTATTTTTTGTGTCACCTTGAAAAGGCGACATAAAGGGGTTACTTTTGTCGACAGCATTGGTGGCAGTGTTCCTATAAGGCTTGTCCGGAGCATAACTCAGTCACTATAAGTCAGATTGACTCCAAACTAGGTATGCATGCTTCTTTCAATATCCCAAAGTGCAGTGCTTTAAAATCCTTACTCTGCACTTCTTAATTTTTGAATTATTGCCCTTTGTTAATTTTCATTCTATATTTTTGTCCGGGTCAATTCTCATAAACTTTAACAGAGCTATAGACCTGAAATTTCATAGGATGATAGATCTTCTTAACAAGAAGTGCAGTGCACAAGAACTAGTACTCTGCACTTCTTATTTTTTGAGTTATTGCCCTTTCTTCATTTTCATACTTTATTTTGTCTGGACCATTTCTCCTAAACTATAAAAGCTATGGACTTGAAATTAAATTATTTAAGATAAAGTGCAGCGTTCAAAAACCGGTACTCTGTACTTGATGATTTTTTGAGTTATTGCCCTTTGTTAATTTTCTTACTTTATTTTTGTCTGGGCCATTTCTCCAAAACTATAAAAGCTATAGACTTGAAACTTCATAGATCTTATTGTAAAGAATTGCAGTGCAAAAAAAAAACTGGTACTCTGCACTTCTTATTTTTTGAGTTATTGCCTTTTGTTAGTCCCCTACCGGTTTACCGGAGGGGACTTTAGGTTTACCCTCTGTCCGTCTGTCATGTTTGAAAATATTTTTATGAAACTTGATATATGGATAGATGGCAGTATGGAGATTATGCACATCTTTTTCTTTTCTTCCTATGTTAAAAATTCTGGTTGCTATGGGAACAAATAGGCTGAAAATATGGCAAAATTTACACATAAACTGGATCCAGTGATAACACAAAAAGTACTGGAAATATTTTTATGAAACTTGAAATATGGGTAGATGGCAGTCTGGAGATTATGCACGTCTTTTTCTTTTCTTCAAGTGTTGAAAATTCTGGTTGCTATGGCAACAAATAGACTGAAAATATGGCAAATTTTACACATAAACTGAATCCAGTGTTAGCTCAAAAAGTAATAGAAATATTTTATGAAACTTGTAATATGGGTAGATTGCAGTCTTGAGATTATGCACGTCTTTTTCTTTTCTTCCTATGTTGAAAATTCTGGTTGCTATGGCAAGACATAGACTGAAAATATGGCAAATTTTACACATAAACTGAATCCAGTGATAACTCAAAAAGTACTGGAAATATTTTTATGAAACTTGACATATGGGTAGATGGCAGTCTTGAGATTATGCATGTCTTATCTGTTCTTCCTATTTTGAAAAATATTGGTTGCCTTGGCAACAAATAGGCTCAAAACATGGCAAATATAACAATATTTGTGATTAGTCAAAAAGAGCTGAAAATGTTTATGAAATTGTATCTTTAATTCAAGAATTATCTCCTCTTTAAGAATTTTGCTTTTAAAAAGGTTATATTTTGGTGACAGGGATGTTTCAAATATTAACTTAGAGTGTCCTTCAGTCCGTCTGTCTGTCTGTTCATAAAAACTGTTTCCTGTGATCACTTTTAAAGAACTTTTCCAACAAATTTACTTAAAATAGAGAAAAATTGAAACATTAGTGAATGGCCAATGGCCCTTCAGAATGTTGATGGGGTTCTAACCGGTAGGGGACTTATGGATTGCTTGCAATACTATGATAATTGCTTGTTAATTTTCATATTTCGTGTTTGTCTGGGCCTTTTCTCTTAAACTATAAAAGCTATGGACATGAAAACTTCATAGGATGATAGATCTCATTGAGATGAAGTGCAGTGCACAAAAACCGGTACTCCATGATTTCTGAGTTATTGACCTTTCTTTATTTTCTTACTTTATTTTTATCCTGGCCATTTCACCTAAACTATAAAACCGGACTTGAATCTTCAAAGGATGATAGATCTCATTGAGTGAGAAGAAGTGCAGTGCACAAGAACCGGTACTCTGTACTTCATGATTTTAGAGTTATTGCCCTTTGTTAATTATAATACTTTATTTTTGTCCAGGCCAATTCTCCTACACTTAAAAAGCTATTGTCTTGAAACTTCAGAGGATGATAGATCTCACTGAGAAGAAGTGCAGTGCACAAGAACTTGTAATCTGCACTTCTTGGTTTTTGAGTTACTGTCTTTTGTTAATTTTCTTACTTAATAGGCTTGTCCAGAGCTATAAGTTTGATTGACTCCAAATTTGGTATGTAAGCTTTTTTCATTGACCTGAAGTGCAGTGCTTAAGAATCCATCACAGAGTGCTCCATTTGGTCTATCAGTGTTGCAATTTTATTTTTGATAATCTAACAGTTTTATTAATCCTGATGTAACATTGTTACAATCAGTTCAAATGCCACTAAAATTCAAGGTACATGTACATTGTAAGAGCAGTGTTTATAAATAACCAAAGAAGAAAATACATAAGTGACAGCTATACTGTTCACAAGGTGACACATAAGACTAGTTTGCTTGTTCTATTTTGAAGAAAGAGTCATGCTATTATGATTGCTGCATCATTGTCTTGCAAAAACTTAATATAGCTCATCATTCAAATGGCTTCAACATGAAACATGGAATACTTATAAGACAAGTGGCATAATTCTAAAAGCAATATTTTTTGAGGTTTGCCCTTTTAAACTTGAAATTATTTAACAGATGAACATTAACACCATATGCAGTACTCTTGTTTGTTCTTAAGCCTCCAAGCATATAGTATTTGAACTGTCTGTTTGCCTGTCTTAACATCTGTCCATATGGTTAACATAGTTGAATATACATGTATCAAAGTTCTACCTTTACAGCTATGTAATGGCTTAATAATTTACACACTTACTTATCAATACAAAGTACATAATCTCGGCTAGTTACATAACTGCAGCTTTAATTTTTTCCAAGCTATTTCCCTTTTTAGCACTTTGAAAAAAGATATGGTTAAACTTAACCGACATGTTGGATATATCTTAAGTTCTACTAATTTACTAATGGCTTCATAATAGACTTTAAGATGTAATCACAGTGATATAAGCCAATAGTCTAATTGTGTTATTTAATTATAATACAATGCATCTTGCACAAGATTGTCTGAAAAAAAAAAAATTTCAATATGAGTATTACTTTTAATATTGCAAAAAAGTTAAAAAGAGTTGCTTAAAATCAGGATTAAAGAAAAAAATTAAAAACAGGACTGGAAAACTAGGTTGAGACATGTTCAATGCAAGCTATGGCTGCACTCAACTGCTCTGGGGTATGGAGTAGGGCTACTACAGGGGGTAGGTGGTTCCAGTGGTTTACTGTCCTAAGAAAAAAGGAGAATTTATAATAGATTGAAGTTGCTGTGAATAACCTATAACACAGGGGATGGCCATGGCGTGATGATCGGTAGAGGGAGATTTGTCTGTAATTATGTGTTTCAAAAGTTATTGGATTTGTCCTAAAGTAACTGTGGACTATAGCTGAACATATGTCAACAAACTAGAAGTGAAGAGCAATGAACCATCACAGTTATCATGGAGCTTATATAGAAATACAGAGTTTATATATCTGTGGAGTTATTCTATTTCTGTATCTTTGACTCTTAAATTGCATAGTTAATCATGGTCCATTGGTCCATTATCCTACTATTTTGTTCCCAGCACTTGGCTGAGCTGTCAATATTTTTTTTTTATTTAAGTATGAGGAAAGTTGACATTCAGTTGGTTTGGTTCGTCATAAAGTTCTAACCTGTTAGCAATAATGATATTAATTAGTACCACAGCTTTAATAACATAAAGCCGTTTTAGTAAAAACAGACTTTATAGGGGTGTTCAGCCTATTGACAGCTGCCACTATTAGTAACTTTCACGATTATTAATTAATACGCATGCGCAGTGACTTTGTTGACAGTGGATGCAAGCTTTCGAACTGCTGCAAAGATGGGAAAGAAAAACAATGATCTTGTAAGTAGAAAAATATGGAGAAAAACGCAATATTAATATAAATTTATGATTATTCATAGCATCTTTGAAATGCATGATCATGTATAAAAGAAGACTATAGATTATTCAAAGAATATGTCTTTATAACGACCAACTTGAATCTGTTCAAGCACTGGCATGTTGATAAATCTGTTTGAAAATAATTTTAAATTTTATGTATAGTCAATTAGAGAAATCTACTGACAACTTTGGGTATAGTTGTAATTGACAGTTTTAGGGAAATTGATGACAGTTTGGCAGATAATATGAGGATGTGTTCACAGACCTGGGCTTTGGCCTGCCTGGATAATAACACAGTGATTTTTTTTCAATTTTCAAAACTCTTAAGGGGAAATATACCTATTTTGAGCTAGGGGAAACAGCCTTTATTCGGCTGTAAAATACAGGGAAAAAAATCACTGGACATAGACTACACATCTTAGATTTCTGTACCTATCGGTGAAATATTCAGTGTTGGGTCTCCCTAATTACCGACAAGAACCGACAAGAACCGACAAGAACCGACAAGAGCCTATATATTACAAATAAACAAATACAAATGTGTTTTTATGATTAATAAACATGCAGGGCATATATATTTTTTATATTTGATAAGTTTTTTCTTGTATCTTTATAGAAAATTAAATATATGCGTACCGACAAGAAAAATTCGAGTGCAGCGCGTACTGTTACTGTTACGTTGACACCGACAAGAAAGATTTGTTATTTCCAATATAATATAAATAATATAATCAGTTGCAAAAGTTGTGGTCAGAATATCTTATAAACATGTTTCAACCTTATCTGTAGTCATAAAATTGTTTTTCATGACATTGCATGAATGTATATGCAACCGACAAGAAAAAAACAGGGATCATGCGTAATGAAGATTTACCGACAAGAAATTGAGAACGAGCTGTAGTGTAGATGTAGAACATGTATATAATCTTTTTTTTGTAATTAAATAACTTTTAAGACTTTTAACTTTCATATTTTAATGCATATAAGAAAAAATATTTGTGTTTATTCCATTTAGTTTTAAAATATATTTTAACAAATCGATTACCGACAAGAAAAAAACAGGGATCATGCGTAATGAAGATTTACCGACAAGAAATTGAGAACGAGCTGTAGTGTAGATGTAGAACATGTATATAATCTTTTTTTTGTAATTAAATAACTTTTAAGACTTTAAACTTTCATATTTTAATGCATATAAGAAAAAATATTTGTGTTTATTCCATTTAGTTTTAAAATACATTTTAACAAATCGATTACCGACAAGAAAAAAAACAGGGATCATGCGTAATGAAGATTTACCGACAAGAAATTGAGAACGAGCTGTACTGTAGTGTAGATGTAGAACATGTATATAATCCTTTTTTTGTAATTAAATAACTTTTAAGACTTTAAACTTTCATATTTTAATGCATATAAGAAAAAATATTTGTGTTTATTCCATTAAGTTTTAAAATATATTTTAACAAATCGATTACCGACAAGAAAAAAACAGGGATCATGCGTAATGAAGATTTACCGACAAGAAATTGAGAACGAGCTGTAGTGTAGAAAGAACATATAATCTTTCTTTTGTACTTTTTTTCAGTTTTTGAAGAAATTGATGATGACTTAATTCTCACCACTGAGAAGAAAAGACGGACATCATGACGTACAAAGATGTGATGTTATGCATTATACGCTTGTATTTGTTTAATGAAAAAAAAACATTGAAACCTATTTTGACCAAAAGGTCTCATCAGGTTGTGGTTCATTTCTCCACTAGAAGTAAAGAAATAAACAGAGATATCCCCACTATGGGTTTTAATATTTTATTATCATAAAACTTACGGGCAGTTACGCCACGCCTGAGGTTGCAGAAATTTTTAACTTTTTTTTTTAATTTAAAATTATTTACATAAGTTACAGCACTGAAATGTATTGTAGCTTAAATTGATAATGTTTGGTAAAGATAGGCCAATTATTGTGTATTATATATATGTATTCATATGCTTTTTAAGTAATTTCGTATCTCAAATTGAACATTCTCACATCACATAAACCATTATTTTATAATATAATTCATGTCATGTGTCATCTATGTATTATATGTTGTATTTGTATATTTAATATGGTGATAAGCTTTTTATGCTTAAACCAAGTAATAAAGTTTCTGTTCTGTTCTGTTCAATGTACGAATTATCTCTTCTTTCACAGCTGTTCATTTCGAAATTGTTTTCGCACCTTTTCACCCTTAAAGTTTTCACAGCTTTGATTAAATTAAATCGCTCAAAGCTAACTGAGTGAGAAACACACGCGCACAAGCTTTAATTGAGTAATATCAATCAATTTTGTTTGAGCAATCAATTTTGAAATTTGTACTTGAAAAACCGAAAAAAAAAAATTTTTGGGCCCTGAATATGTTATATGTATATATGCTAATACAATAATTGAATTGAATTTATGTTTTCGTCCATTATTTTATTTTATTTCTATATCCTTATTGTATGCTTTACCGATGTATTTGTGTAAAAATTGTAAATGGATTATAATTGGATAATTTAAATGGCAGGTATGTAACTTTATATATGAAATATATTTTGATACAGTTATGAAATACTATTATTTTAAACAACTATAACTAACTGATCACTTTCATTAAATATGTTATATCATGCCAACACATAATGTCTCTTTAAAGAAAACATGATCATGAAGCATAATAATTATTTCTTGTCGGTACTGTAGGCATGAAAACATTTCTTGTCGGTAGACATGAACACATTTCTTGTCGGTACAGAAATATTCTTGTCGGTAATTAGGGAGACCGTTCAGTGTTATTTCTAGTTGGGCGCAGCCATTTTGAAATTTAAATAATCGTTTCTTTGTGGACGGAACAGTCAAAACTTTTCTGCTTGATAATAATCGTTGATACATTTTAGTGTTCTGTGTGGAAAAGGAATTGTTGCATGAAATACATGTACTGAACAGCTGAATGACACCTGTAAAATAGAAATGTAAAATAAAATATGAACAATTATTTTAACCGACTTCTTGGAGTACTAGGGATACTCACTGGAATACCCACTGGAGTACTAGGACTACTCAATGATATAACTGCAATATCCACTGGAGTACAAGGGATACTCACTGGCAGGGATAAAAAATTCCACTCGTTTGTTTCTATTTACAAGAGATCAATGCAGGGCGAGTACAAAATTGTAGTATGCTTGTCCAGTGGGACAAGATGAATTTGCTAATGTAATAGAAAGCTAGAATTCTAATAATCGGTTTGTTTACATTTAACAATTGAAAACCAGAAACAAAGCTGGTGTTATAGGCTATGTATAAAAAGCACAATTTATAAAGCTCTTAACACATTCAGGGTGTCCGTTTGACCCTTGAAATGACTCTTTGACCCTTCAAATCGTAAGGCCTGATTTGACCCTCGTGATTTTAACTAAAGGGTCAAATTTTGTTAAAATCTGGGGGATTTGACCTTGTAGTTGATAAAACTTAGTCAAAATGACCCTCAGGATTTCATGGCAAGTGAACACCCTGACATTGTTAATTGAATACAGATGTGACTGGAATGTGCCTGACAATGCTCTATAAAGTGAGCGATTTATACATAACTTAAAACACAAGCTTTGTTTCCGGTGTTGGTTTGTTAAATTTATGTAAACAAACTGATTTTGAAACTTTCTGAAAATCATGCCCAAAATGCAGGATGAGTGGCATAGGCATGCAGGACGAGTAGAAATTTGAAGCTACTCATCCTGCAAGATAAGTACATGTAGCTCTGAACAATAATTTTGATACCTAACTGGACTCTCCTCTGTATAATGTAAACACTTAATGATTCAAAAGAACTACAAAAAATGTCTATTATCTTGCCTTTAAGCTTTAATCAATAGTTTATCACATATTTGTTCAATGGCATGTACAATCACCACTAAAAACACTTGAACAGTTTATTTATGGATTATAGATAAAATATAACAGATAAAATATGATTTTGGCTATATGCATTGTGTTTTGTTTAATGCTTAATAAGATTCATATGCATATTAGCAAAAAATTTGTTCAACAATATTTCTTTTGTTAAATGCTTGCAACCAATAAAATAACATCAGTAAAGGAATTAATTTCAATTAAACATTGTTGGCTAATTGGTTGTCACTTGGATGCCAACATAACACTGCTTATCTAGTGGGAAACTTGCTTATTCTGTTATATTATGTTGATTACAACTAACTGTAATAACAGTACAGTACTATTAAGTGGAGATATTGAGTTTTTTTAGTCCCCTACCGGTTTACCGGAGGGGACTTTAGGTTTACCCTCCGTCCATCTGTCCGTTGCTATGGCAACACATAGACTGAAAATATGGCAAATTTTACACATAAACTGAATCCAGTGATAACTCAAAAAGTACTGGAAATATTTTTATGAAACTTGACATGTGGGTAGATGGCAGTCTTGAGATTATGCATGTCTTATCTGTTCTTCCTATTTTGAAAAAATATTGGTTGCCATGGCAACAAATAGGCTGAAATTTTTTATGAATTTGCATCTTTAATTCCAGAGTTATCCCCTCTTTAAGAATTTTGCTTTTTAAAAATGTTATATTTTGGTAACAGGGATGTTTCAAATATTAACTTTAGAGTGTCCTTCAGTCCGTCTGTCTGTCTGTTCATAAAAACTTTTTCCTGTGATCACTTTTAAAGAACATTTCCAACAAATTTACTTAAAATAGAGAAAAATTTAAACAATAGTGAATGGCCAATGGCCCTTCAGAATGCTGATGGGGTTCTAACCGGTAGGGGACTTATGGATTGCTTGCAATTCTATGATAATTGCATGTTTATTATAAACATTGTATGATTAATTTGCAGCCCTTACAAGATTCTGACCAAAACAAAAAGACTAAAAAGTACTGTACATGTTCTTGTTATGTTGAAAATCCAAACACTTGAAGTAACTTTTTAGCTCACCTGAGCATATGCTAAGGGTGAGCTATTAGGATCACTCTTCGTCCGTCGTACTTCGTCCGTTCACACTTTTAAAACGACATCTCCTCTGAAACAATAAGGCAGATCATAATGAAACTTCACAGGGATGTTCCTTGTGTGAAGCCTTAACAAAGTTGTTCAAAGAATTCCATTCCATGCAGAACTCTGGTTGCCATGGCAACCGAAAGAAAAAACTTAAAAAATCTTCTTTCAAAAACCCAAAGAGCTAGAGCTTAGATATTTGGCATGAAACATCTTTTAGTGAGTGTCTACCAAGTTTGTTCAAATAAAAGCCCTGGGGTCAAAATTGGCCCCGTCCTAGGGGGTCATTGATTTTCCCTATATGCATATAGTAAAAACTTAAAAATCTTCTTTTAAAGAACCCAAAGAACTAGAGCTAAGATATTTAGCATGAAACATCTTCTATTGAGTGTCTACCAAGTTTGTTCAAATAAAAGCCCTGGGGTCAAAATTGGCCCTGCCCCAGGGGGTCATTGATTTTCCCTATATGCATATAGTAAAAACTTAAAAAATCTTCTTTTAAAGAACTCAAAGAGCTAGAGCTAAGATATTTAGCATGAAACATGTTCTTATGGGTGTAAACTAAGTTTGTTCAATTAAAAGCCCTTGGGTCAAAATTGGCCCCGCCCCATGGTGTCATTGATTTTCCTTATATTTGTATAGCAAAAACTTAAAAAAATCTTCTTTGAAAAAACCCAAATACATGTAGGTAGAGTTTAGATATTAAGCATGAAACATCTTCTAGTGAGTGTCTACAAAGTTTGTTCAAATAAAAGCCCTGGGGAATTGGCCCCGTCCCGGGGGTCATTGATTTTCCTTATATGTGTATAGCAAAAACTTAAAAATCTTCTTTGAAAAAAGCCAAATAGCTAGAGTTTAGATATTAAGCATGAAACATCTTCTAGTAAGTGTCTACAAAGTTTGTTCAAATAAAAGCCCTGGGGTCAAAACTGGTCCCACCCCAGGGGTGTCATTGTATTTAACTATATGTGTATAGTAAAAACTTAAAAAATCTTCTTTTAAAAAACCCAATGAGCTAGAGCTAGATGTTTAGCATGAAACATCTTCTTATGGGTGTCTAACAAGTTTTTTCAAATAAAAGCCCTTGGATTAAAATTGGCCTGGTGGGGGTGGAAAGGTCATTGTTTTTCATTATATGTGTGTAGTAAAAACTTAACATCATAAAACATCTTCTAATGGGTGTCTTCCAAGTTTGTTCAAATAAAAGCCCTGGGGTTTAAACTGGCCCCGCTCCGGGGGCCTATATACAGGTGAGCGACCTCAGGGCCATCATGGCCCTCTTGTTTTACTTGTCAGTCAATGTTTATTTATTATTGGAATATATATATAAAACATGTAAAATTACTCAAATACATGTACATGTGTCATATAAATATTCTTATACTCATTCACACAGGATGATGTTTCTGTAAAAAGTTAAAAATAATATATCCTCTAATGTCCTTGATTTAACACTATTTTTGTTTATGTCAAAGAGTCTTGCGAGTAATTTGTTACATGAAAATACAAGATTTTTTTTAAACATTTATAAATTATCCACAAATTTCTTATGGCCTCACTTCAGTAAATTGAAGCCTGCAAAACATGTTCCCTTAAGTCTGCCCAGTCAGATTTATGAGGGCTTTTATCCTTCATTAATAGCACTTAACAAGTACTATGACAACACTTGTAAAAACACAATATAGTATATTACTGTTTCCTTAAACTTGTTTTGGTTGTATATTGCCTTTTATATACTGTTCTCTTATTAAACATAAATATGTTTCATTGCAGACAACCATAAATCCCGCTCTTGTTCCATCAGCAGCCTTTACTGTTGTTCCAAGAACACCTGCTCCAGAACATATTAATGCCACAGCATTAGGAGGTTCTGCAGAAGTTCTAAGTTCATCTTTGCTAGGGAGACCTGCAGTTCCAGGACCAACTCATGATGATGAACCATTTAGTGACCCAGAAAGTAGTCTTTATGACTACCAGGTCATGGAGGATGCTGGGTAAGTATGTGACTACATGTGAATGGGGGCAGGGGACATATTCGAATGATGGTCCTGGTCAAATTTATTCATTACTCAGACATGGTGTTTTTAAGGTACTGAACACTTTTTTTATTTCTCTGTCATTGTAATTTTTCATATTTGTGTGTAGGAAATGAGCAGTATTGTTTGGGTTTTTACCCAAAAGTCAGCATTTTGGTAGCTTGGTTTGTATTTTTGACTCCGAATGGAGATCAAAATTTAAAAACAAGTTTTGACAGTTGGCACCAAACAAGTAAAAAACATTGAGTAAATTTTGTGAAAAATCAAAACATATGACAGAAACTTTATTGGTCATTTTTGAAAATGCCACTGATTGCACTGTGTGTTTGTGGTAATTTTTAAAGGAATCGGGCGAATTCTGGAGTATGCTACACCTTCATGAAGATTGCTTATATTGTTATATTTAAGGTGTGATTTTTGTTTGGCGGGGTAAATATAAATTGCTGTCAGTCATTATTTTTAAGAGCAATGCATGCAAACTATGTCATATATCCTTAAATAATGCCGTGCAATTGGTTATCTGCCTGTGAAACAGATTTTGAAATATTTGGAATTGTTTTTCTGGTCACACTGAAATACAAAATTGTTCATTTTTAGGTCCCCTGCCCCCTGAAGTTTCAATGTTAGATTTAAGATGAGACATCAATGGTTGAATTTCTGTTTAAAGGCATATAAGACATGTAACAGATTGAAAGCTGCATAATAGAATGTTCATGTATTGAAAGTTTGCATGATCTTAGAATATGATAACAGAAGAAACATTTAAGTGAATAAAAAGTGTCACCAACCTTATTTTTGAGTTATCTGCTTTTGTTATTTTAGGTGATTTCAATAATTTAGGGCAAACCATATAACTATTGGGTTATGCTTTAAGCTCACCATAGCTAAAGTTGATCTTTTGTGATAACCCAATGACCATCCTTAGTCATCACTGATCAGTTGTTTACTTTTTTACTTAATTAAACAACATATCCTCCTAAAGCACTTGGTGATGAAAATATACAAGAATGATCCATTAGTGATTCCCTATGAAAATTGCTCAAGTGGTTCCGGTCCACTGAAAAAGTTGGACGTCAAAACTAGAAGATGGCTGCCATTCAGGATTACTTGATAAGTATATATGATATTTTTCAGATACTCATCAGTGGAGATGTTAGCAATTTCTAGACAACGACGTGGCACAGGTCGTGCACCAGCAGGAGTTCCTCCAGGTCAGGAACATGATATTTATGAACATCAGCAAGGTATATTTACACTGTAATTCTCTTTAAGCTTGTTCAAACATTGTGGTCCTATGGTCAAAACAATATAAAATGTATGTAAGTTGAAAATTTCCAATTCAGGAACACAAGGACATAGATACCTGGTGTGTATTAGTACATGTATAAGAACATATACCGAATTTGTATAAAACAAAGTCCTGGGTTTAAAATTGACCTTAAACAAGGGACAAAAATAAGTGTTTCACTTCATATTTTCTCTGCTGAAATTATAGTCAGAATGCATAATCTACTATCATTCTCAGGGATAGCTCAGAATACAAAAGTATTTTTCTCACATTCTTATAAATGTTACATGTACAAACATTGACTGACATTTGGTATGTATGTACACGGACATCAAAGCTTGGTTTGGGATTCAAGGTCACATACATGTATAATGTAGGTCAAGAATACCAAAGCTCAAAAAGATTTTCTTAATTTTTGCCGAACATATATTCTTGAATTTGTTATAGCTTGAACAGAGATTAAAGTTCAGCAATCATGAGCAGTAAAGGATCTTCATGGCTAGACTTGTTAGTTATATATTCTAGCTCATAGCCATTCTGTTATTGGAATTAACTACCTCTAGGCCAATTTGTTATTGAAATATACTACCTTGAAATTAATTATCTCCTGGTCATATTTGGTAATATATTTCATATTTGTTACTTATAAAATTAAAATAAGAAATGCTTACATCGCATTACTGACTTAAATAAAAGCAATCTATTTGTAAACAAAAAATAAAATCTCTGAAATTGATTCTACTTTTCTGTTTACATCTTGATATGCTAACTAAAAGAGAATTGATTAAAGATCTTGAACTACTTTGAATAGAGCTGTTATTTTTGTGAAGTTGTTTGATTGATTTGACATCATATGATGAGTAAGCATTTCTTTTTATGCCATACATATAACATATAATAATGCAATTTGACTGCCCAGTATGTTTAATAATAGAATAATGTTAAGCATGATAGAATTATAACAAATCTTATCCATGTAATGGAAAAATATTGAAAATGAGTAAACCTATTATATCACATTTAGTTCAGGATCTTGATTCACCAACAATACAGCAGAATCCCGAGGCATTGTATTCCATGCCTCTTAAACGAGGACAGAGGGTACAATCTTCCAATACAATGCAGACTACACAGGAAGTTCGAGATGCCATGCAACAAGTTCATGATCTGTCTTCAGATGAAGAAGCAGGACCATCTAACAAGGTAAGTTATAATAACAGTCTTACTTTACATGCCAGAAATAGTAAATAAAGAGTGTAGGGTTTTTGTTTGATTCCCATTTTGTAATAATTTGTAGAAAAAATCTTAATTGATAAAAATCAAATACATGTAACAAAAAATTGTACAGTTAATTTTATTCTTTATTTTCAAAAATTTGTATAGCATGAAGTGCACAAAAGTTAATTTGTTTGCACAAAATGCTCAGAGATGATTTCACGTAACTACACAATGTCTGTTGTTTATCATGTGTTGTTATCTGTAAACTCTTTAAACAACATCCCCAAAACCATTAGATAGATTTTGACTAAATTAAACATGGATTATTCTACAGTGGCTCTCTACAAAATTCAAAATAACATAAAAATTATAGAAATCTTTAACAATGGGTCAAAATTATTCTAAACCTGGGGGGTAACTTAGTTTACATAGTCTTCTTTTGGAAACATATTTTAAAGATCCCATTTAAAAATACAATGCAGAGAGTTTAGATGTTTGGCATTTAGCATCACATATTGGCACATATTAAACATTGGCAAAATTACACAGCATAAAACTGCGGACACAAGGTCATTTGTAACATTTGGCATGTATAGAAAATGTACATTCTAGAGCTAAAATATTTGTATTGATCATTACATTGTGATCTCCTATAAAAATGTAAAAATCATGAACATTGCCTCACCCTTTTGATTCATTACTTCTGCATTTGCTTCCTTTAATGTGTTAAACATTAGATGACTAGATATGACCCTGTTAACACCTACATTTTTATGTTGAAAAAGTATGTATTTTATCATGCAATAGTTTCATTTTTTGTAGAGGGCCTCCACTATAATATACTTGTTGACCTAGAGTATGAATTATTAACTTCATAAGAATGTTTTGTTTTATGCTAGTTTTCTTTGAAGATGAAATATTAACATAACCAACCACTTTTATATGTACAGTCAAACGTGTATTAAGCGACCGGGCAAGGGAAACACCAAAAACGGTCGCTTAATGAAACGGTCTCTTAAGACAGTCAGCATGATATAAAAGTCAAAATTTATAAATGACATTTTTTTTATTCGATGGGATTGTTTTTCAACTTCATTTTTATATAAATGTTGAATAATAAGTACGCTCCGATAATCTAAACGGATGCAAATGTAAAAATAACGTTCTGATATTTATTGACAAAACAGTTTTGATCCATTACGTACATGTTTGACATTTTTTCCAGGATTTTTTATTTTCTCCGTTGTTTTTCCTTGTCTCCAACACGAAAACCCTAGTAGTGAAGATGTTTTCTGTTGTGCATTTTTTCATTTGAAATAAACAAACTACATCTATTTGTTACGATTAATTTAATGGCTGATCAAGTTCAAGGTCAATTCAATGCAGTCTAAATGTCAACAAGCGAAGCGTATACACCAGCTCAGTATGGGCGGAGCGTTGCATTGTTTATCCGATATTATTGGATAATACACGTCACGCGTATACTTAACTTCATTTGCATACGCTAAAACGGTATGGGAAATAGAGTTTTTCACACGTTTATTGTTGTGTTTTGATTGCTGACACATGTGACATAACGAGGTGGCGTTCTCTAAAAACACAATTACTTGACAGGTAAAAGTGGTCGGTTAATGAAAAGATTGATGTCAATTAGGTGACTAATTAGCGGTCGCTGGTCGCGTTGAGCAAAAGTCGCTTAATACATTAAAGATATAGAGAGAAAATGATCGGGGGGAATTTAAAGTGGTCGTTTAAGACAAAAGTCGCTTAATACACGTGGTCGCATGGGCAAGTTAGACTGTATATTATCTCACAGCTTATTGTCACCAAAATAGTGTCAAGTTCATTTTATATTCTAGAGACAAAGTAGTCGACCAAGAAAACGGGTATTGCTTAATTGCATGCACATAATCATCTAGTGTGATGTGCCCACATATTCACCACAAAGCAGTGTGATTTAATAATGAACTATGTAATATGAAGCATTTCCTGTTAACCTGACCTTACGATCCTGATTACAGTATAAATCTTGAATCAACATCAGAACTTCACTTAAATAATCCTTACATGCTGTCCAACTTCTAGGATGCATCACTGTCAAGATGACGCACTGTCTGGATGCTCAACTGTCTGGATATTCCACTGTCTGAATGCCCAACTGTCTGGATGACCCACTGTCTGTATGCTCAACTGTCTGGATGCCCCACTGTCTTGATGCCCCACTGTTTGAATGCCCAACTGTCTGAATGCCCAAATGTCTGGATGACCCACTGTCTGGATGACACACTGTCTGAATGCCAAACTGTCTGGATGCCCCACTGTCTGGATGCCCCACTGTCTGAATGCCCAACTGTCTGAATGACCCACTGTCTGGATGCTCCACTGTCTGAATGCCCAACTGTCTGGATGACCTACTTTTTGGTAGCCCCACTGTCTGGATGCCCCACTGTCTGAATGTCCAACTGTCCGAATGCCCAACTGTCTGGATGACCCACTGTCTGGATGCCCAAATATCTGGATGACCCATTGTCTGAATGCCCCACTGTCTGGATGACCCACTGTCTAAATGCCCCACTGTTGGGATGTCCCATTGTCTAAATGCCTCACTGTCTGGATGACCCACTGTCTGAATGCCCAACTATCTGAATGCCCAACTGTCTGGATGACCCACTGTCTAAATGACCCACTGTCTGGATGACCAACTGTCTGGATGCCTCACTGTCTTGATGCCCTACTGTCTTGATGCTCAACTGTCTGAATGCCAAACTGTCTGGGTGCCCCACTGTCTGAATGTCCAACTGTCTGGATGCCCCACTGTCAGGGTGACCTACTATCTGGATGACCGACTGTCAAAATACCCCACTGTCAAAATGCCCCACTGTCTGGATGCCCCACTGTCTAGATGACCCACTGTCAAAATGCCCCACTGTCAAAATGCCCCTCTTTATTGATGACCCACTGTTTGGGTTTCTCCATGTCAGGAAGCCCAACTGTTTGGATGTCCCATTGTCTTGATGTCCACTGTCTGAATGCCCCACAGTATTGATTCCTCACTGTCTTTATTTCTGAATGTATGGATGTCCCATTGTCTTGATGCCCCACTATCTGAATGCCCAAATGTCTTGATGCCTCAATGTCTTGATGTCCCATTGTATGGATGCCCCATTGTCTTGATGCACCACTTTCTGAATGCCCCACTGTCTGAATTCCTCACTGTCTTAATGTCCCAATGTATGGATGCCCCTATGTCTTGATGCTCCAATGTTTGGATGCCCCACTGTCTGAATGCCCCACAGTATTATGTCCCAATTTATAGATGACCACTGTCTTGATTTCTCGATGTATAGATAGCAAACTGTCTTGATGCCCCACTGCCTACATAATTATCCCATTGTCTAGATACCCAGGCACTGAGGCTTCAAGGCATTGCAGTAAACAGACTAGATTATTTTAAGAATTCCATTCTTTTCAGGTATATCTGTAACAGTCTTTTTCTCAATATTGGTGATCAGATATTGATAAAATTTTACAGAATCAATCCTGTGTTTTCTTCTATAAACCTCACTTCGAAAATATACAGTTTATCTTGGTTCCTCATAAAATCTGCCTGCTGCCACCATGAATGATGAGAGTTCTTGGACCTAAATTGGCCAAAGTTCAATTACTTCGCAATTTTGCAATAAAAAGTCATTTTAAGGTTCCACTGAAGAAACAATGTCGGCATAGTTTAACCTTTTTTGTAAAGTTTTTGTTTATGGTCATAAATTTCAATACTAATAAAGCCATAACATTGAAACTTCATATGTTGATACACTTTAATAACTTTTACCTTTCACACTGATTTAAGGTCAAATGTCAAGGTCACTGTGGCCTTAAATAGATAATAGAGTATTATAGGATAAGGTCAATTTTCTCAGCAAGTACCAAAGCTATTCACTTTACATTTATATATTTTGCAAAGTTATGCAACTTTTTTTCTAAGGTTAATTACTCAAAAACAATCAAATATATTTACTTGGAATACTTGTTCACTATAAAAATTGGAAAGCATTTCTAAAGGACAGATAACCTGGAAGGGTATTTTTTCTCAATTATTTTCCTTTAATTTATTATTATCATAATTTTCTTAAAATCCATAACAGATATTCACTGCAGACTTGAAATACTGGCAAAAATTTATTAGAATTATACTCTGTTTTCCACTTTGCTTTCATCATACCATCAAGCACTGAGAAAAATTGATAACGCTGCTCCTTGGACAGCTCTTGTAAAATTGATTGAAATAAACTTGCACTCAAATTGTAATTCTGGGTTACATAACTTTAACTGGCTTGATGACAACCATGCATAACTTCTTTTTTTCTATATTTGCAGTATCTAGCTTATATGCTTAGTTCAAATTACAAATGTATATTCATTTTGATCTAATTTTAATACTCTTGATAGAACCTGATTTAAGAAGTATTTCTGTTTTTAACTTGCTGTTTTTTCTTGATATTTTTCTTTTTGTTTTTCTTGTCTTCTTTTGTTTAAGATAATGTTGAATTTGTGTAAACATTTTGATATTTTTACGACATTGTATATCTTATTTTAAACAAAAGTTGTTTTAAACTTTGAATAGTTGTAGTTAATTTAATCTTTATTGTAGTTAATTTAATCTTTATATACAAACATGACAGTTAGTTTAAAAAGTGTTTCATTGTGGATAGGTTTGCAATGGGCACATTTTCTACAATAAGTATTTCAAAAACTGATAAATACTATAGAAATGTATCATTTGGACATTCTAATGCAATATTGCATGGAAAAAAATGACAATGCATTTCTATGTGATTACAGGATGAATAATAATATTATGCTCTACAACACTTTACTATCAGCTATATAAATATTTGTAATATCGAATCATGTACACTTGCCAACAAAATCCCCAACAAATTCATATAGATCTATAGTGGTTTGTTGTTATATCTAATACTGAATACCATCAACATAATTATTTATTGTATAACAAACCTTCCGTTATAAACCAATTCACTGTAATATAATTATCAGTTCATAAACATGTATGTTCTTCATAATGCATAACTTAAGGAAATATTGTCATAAATTACAGCCTATGAGAAAATCAGAGAAACAAAATAGTGCAAGGAGTGCTAGAAGTTTACATTTTCCAGTAGAACATGAAGTTCCTGTTCAAGGTACTACTTTTTATTGTTAGCTACTTACTACAAAGTTTTTGTGATAACTTTGAGTTGTGGTTGTGAGTGGTGTGTTGTGTGTCATTATCCACCATTGATTAATCACTGTAAGGCATAAAAAAAAAATTGATGTGTTTCTGGTGGCTAGGCCAAAAAAAGTAGGGTCGGTAGGTCGGATTTTTTTTTTTTTCAGTCAATCAACGATTGTAGATATGTCAGATACGGATTATATGGACTTTAAATTATATTCTATAGCATATAAAAGTACTTAAAAATGTTAGACTACCAAACCTAGTCTTCAATCTTATATTTTGAAATAAATTTTACCAATGGCATGACTGTACTTTCGTTTTCATTTTTTTTATTCTTACCGAACAACTGGCTTCAATTTTAATATTATCACTCTTAAAATGACCATGCACGTCCGAAAAATGTTTTGAGCTGTTTTGCTGTGGTCAATTAATTTGATTTCCTGTTTTGCCAAACTATGATCGTATTTTGAAAGAAAATCGCCAGCAGTGACACTTCGGCTGCTTGTTGTGCCACCATATTTGCCGGTGCGCGTTAATACGTAATTTGAACACAAATCGTCTGTGCCTCACATCGTTGTCGACTCGCAATACTAAAATCCGTCGTCTGTACGGGCGCCATTTTTTTTTTTGTACATCGATAAAAAACCTTTGGGTCGGCGCTAAAAAATAGGGTCGGTCGGGCCACCGGAAACACAACATTTTTTTTTTAGGCCTAATAATCTTTTGGTGAACCTCTTGTTATACAAGGCATATTAATGGTTTTAGTCTAATAGACAAGTATGTAAAAGGTGTTGAGAATAAACTTTAAATAAAAATTAAATCAGTCATGAATTGGTTTTCCTCAGAATAAAATGAAAACATTTGGTAATATAATGAACCAAACCTTGTTTCGATATTATTTTGATATGAATTAAGAGAATGTAACATGCTTATACTATGAAGAAAGCAGCATTGAAAGTGAAATCATTTGGCATAATTTTACAAACAAAATACTTAATCACTATAACTGTAATAAAATGTCAAAAAAAATTTGAGCTTTTGAGGAATGAGTTTTATAGCATTTTAAGGCTTAATTGGCCTTTTATAATCTTTACATTAGAAATGATGACCAACAGTAGACAGGTTTTCACACCTAAACAAGTTTACACACTGAAACATATAGTCACATCATGATGCCTCTATGTTAAAGCAAGTTATCAATGTACATGTGTCATATGAGAGAGTCCCATTATATACTTTGTCTATATTTTAGATTTGAAAAAGCACAATTTTTTACCTTTATTCAAAGTTTGATAAATATAAAACGAAAGGCTACTTATATAATTCTAAAATGTTATCATATATTGTTTGTATGATATTAAGTCCATATATTGATTATATCTCTTCTTTAAATATGTGTCCACAGGTTTTATTTTTTATGCAAGTTTCTTTTGAAATCTTGACTTATTTCATTTATTACTGATTTTTGGACCTTTTGCTTCAGAAATTATTGTGCACCATTCTGTAAGCACTCCAGTACAAACACCAAAAACACCAAAAGCACATGCACATATGGTGGAAGATAAAATAGTAAAGGAAAATATGGAACCAGTAAGGTCAAGTCACAATAGATATCACAGCAGCAGCCCAGGTAAAGTTACACCCATTGTCTACATTCTTTCTATTCATTCTATATTATTTTTATAAATGTGTGTATGAGGGAGATTGTCGGTTCTATTACATATAAGGTAAAAATTCTTTGAAAAATTCCAGGCATATACTCTATAATTAATTAAATAGGGCTACCTATAGTACATGTAGTAGTAAAAGGGGTAAATAAAATAGTGTATACAACCTGGCATTAGAAAACAGTGCCACAGAATGATAATGACATGACATGCAACAACACACAAAATTATTCTTTAAAAGATACTCTTTTAGTGTTTTCAATAGTGGTTAATCCACTGTATACACATGTCATTTATAGCACTGTGCAGTGAATAGTTTTGCAATATTAGTTGTTCACGTAATAATGTCTAAATAACTTGGCACAAATGTTTGTTATAATAAGACGATGTGTTATGCACCACAACCAGACCCGTACCTCCAGGGTCAAGGTCGCACTTGCTCATTCAAGGTCAACATTGTCTATTTGAGGGTATATGTTGTGTCCGGTCCATAACTTTCTTATTTTTGAAGGGATTTTGTAAATACTTGCCACAATTGTTAACAATAATGAGATAATGTGTCATGCACAACAACCGGTCACCTACTTCCAAGGTCAAGGTCACACTTGGAGGTCAAAGATAAACATAGTCTGTTATAGGGTATATTTTGTGTCCGGTCCATAACTTTTTCATAGATCAAAGGATTTTGCAAATATTTGGCACAATTAGCAACTATAATAAGACGATGTGTCATGTGCAACAGCTGCATCCCTACCTCCAAGGTCAAGGTCACACTTAGAGGTCAAAAATTAACATAGTCTGTTATAAGGTATATCTTGTGTCCGATCTAGAACTTCTTCATAGTTCAAGGGATTTTGAAATAACTTGGCACAAATAGTCACTATAATAAGATGATGTGTCATGCGCAATACCTGCATTCCTACCTCCAAGATCAAGGTCACACTTAAAGGTGAAAAATGAACATAGTCTGTTATAGGGTATATTTTGTGTCCGATCTGTAACTTTTTCATTGTTCAAGGGATTTTGAAAATACTTGGCACAAATAGTTACAATAATAAGACAATATGTCATGCACAACACCTGCACCCTTACCTCCAAGGTCAAGGTCATACTTAGAGGTCAAAGTTTAACATGATAGATTTTCATTTTATTTCTTAAATAAATTTATTGTTGCATTTGCAGATCTAGCATTGATCATAATTTTGGACTAAAAGTCCCAGTATCCATAGCACAATTTTATGCTTCATAATTATAAAACTTCCCTGAGGCGGGGGACGTTGGTAACTCTGTTACAAATTCTTGTTTATTCTACTTTGGTTTTAAATAACTTATTACATCTTATGATTGTTTTTTATTCTCCTTCGGTTTTAGATGACTTATTACACCTTATATTGACAGGTCCATTAAGTGCCAGGTCAGGACAACAGTCAGCACGTAGTGTAACTATGGCTGATGATCGTATGAGATCTCTAGAGGCTGAAAGGGAGCATCTGACAACATTAACACATCAGCTAGAGAATGAGGTGCAAACATACAGAGAAGTTGTCTCAACATATGAAAGTGGAGGTAATTTTGGTAGCTCTTATTTTGAAAATTAAAAATTTGGTGAATATTTTTGTTAAGTGCTTGCCTAAGTGCTTTTGTGTTCAAGAACAGGTTATGTCTGAGAATTTTGTATTCACCAATGAATGTCTTCATTAACAATATATATATTTAAACAGTTACATGCAAGCTCTGTAAGATTATTTTCTTTATTGCATTTGACATTATTTTTCAACTTTTTTACTTAGTAAATATTTTCTAAAAGTTAAATTGATTTGAATTTCTCTGAAACTAGAACATGTATCTACAAGCAAGCTCAACAGGTTGATATGCCCAACTTAGCCAAATAAAGACATTTTCTAAAAATATATCAACATGTTTGGACATTCATATCATATAGGAATGTAAAATAAGGTAAAATTCTTACATTTTATTTGGTGTATTCATGTTTAGATTATTGTTTATATTTCAGACAGTGAAACGGCACAATCCCTGTTGACAAAGAAACAGATCAATGACCTTAAATTGGAGAATGAGTCGTTAAAGAGTTCTATACAAAGACTGAATGTAGAACTGAGTGCATACCAGGCTAAATATAGACCAGTCAATGATCAACAGGTATATACATTACTAATGTCTCATATGTTTATTATACATTATTTACTTTATAATCATATTAAGAGTATAGAACTTTTATAAATTTTTCAGTTTAATATTTGAAATATTTTCAAAGATTTGTTTTGCACAAGTCAGTTTTTACTCTGCCAAGCCCCCGATCCTTGGGATTTTCAAATACTGTAATAAATAACATAGAAGATGCTATAATAGCTGGGTATATCATGGTTTATATATTCCTGTCAGTCTGCACCTAGACCTATGTATCCTGTACTGATGAAATCAGAATTCAAATGGCATTGTCTGTCAGAAGATTGTGGCTCATTTGTTTTCTTATTTTAGCTGTTCACAGAATTTTTCTTCTGCAAATTAACATGTTATATTGATGCATGTATACTTTAATATTGTGTATTTTTCCAGGGAAACATGATGGGAATGCCGTCTAATGGACCACCACCTTCTTGGCTGGTAGGCATATTGATAATTTTTTCTCTTTTCTCTTTTTAACTGATTAGTAGTTATAGAAAGGATAATTGGAAAAATAATAACAAAGACCATTATCTGTGCTTCAAGTGAGATTTTTGACTGCTTGGAGTTTGTCTGTCTGTGAACAGATTATTGTCTGCATGATTAATTTTAAATGTATTTATTTAAGCTTGGTTATGATGATAGATTAAAGCTTTTTTGAACTATGTTCTGCTCAACTTTACTAGAAGCTCTCTCAATTTAACAACAATTTTATTAAACTGATTTAGCATAAACAAACTAAAATACATCTGGTGAAAATGTAAAGTATTGTATATTAGTGGGAGTGATGGTTAAGTTAAAACAAGAATTATCCATCACACAGAATATAAATGAAGATCCTCATACAGATCATCCTATTATAAGGGAAGTAAGTATGTGTGCAACATGCTCTTTTGCTGTGTGCATTACTTTTTCATGGTGTGTGGAAACATGTATTTATTTTGCAGTATATAATATTAGTGTATGGCTTTTTGACAATTTATCTCACCAGAGAACAATAATGTGGTGAGTTATTGTGATACCCAAATGTCTGTCGTCTGAAACAACATCTAAACAATAGTTATGAAACTATAATGATCCTTGGGTAGTTTTTATATAAAAATTGCTCCAATTGATCTGATCAGCTGAACCAGATGGCTACCAGAGCTAAAGATAAAAAAGACTTTAACAACACGTTCTTATCAACAACTTTTTGTAGATTTTGATGAAACTATACAGGAATGGTGTTTAGGTGGTCTTGACAAAAATTGCTCAAATAGTTCCAATCCGCTGAACAAGATTTTGCAAGAGCTAACATAGTAAAACCTTTTAAAACATCTCCTCAAGCCCTTAGTACATTTGAATGAAACTATACAGAAATGATCCTTAGGTGGTACTCTATAAAAATTGCTCAAATGATTCCAGTGTGCTGAACATGATAGCCGCCAGAACTAAAAATAGATAAACCTTTTAACAACATCTGCTCCTCAACCACTAGGTAGATTTTGATGACATTATATGTTTATGATCCTTAAGTGGTCCATCGTAAAACTTAATCAAAAGGTTCCAGTCTGTTGCACAAGATAACCACCAGAGCTAGAATTAAATGACATCTACCCCTCAGTCTCTTGGGGGAAAAGTGATTAAACTGATGTCAAAAAGCCAGAAAACAAAAAATTTGTAATTTGTAATTGGATCAAACAAACTGCTTAAAATTGAAAAAGTCTGTTAAAGATACCAAAGAAATATATTCGAGGTTAAATTGAAAATAAGAAGGTAGTGCAATTCTTAGCCCGAGTTGAGAAAACAAATGAGGTGAGGGAATAATCTGAAAATTTGCACTAAAGTTTTTTAAGACCTAATAGTTCGTTTGTAAATCTTAGAAAAAATATTTTCAGTTCGGCAATGACAATGAGCCTCTGGGGGTCCCTTTGGGAGGTATTTTAATGGTTCTAGTCTGCTTCACAAAGTGGCCACCAGAGCTTAAAGTAGATAAACCATTAATAACATCCCCTCCTGAACCACATGGTAGTTTTCATTGAAACTCAACAGAAATGATCATAGGTAGTCCTGTAAAAAAACTACTGAAATTGTTCCTGTCAGTTGAACAAGGACTATCCTTGTCCATGTAGACCATATCCATTGGTGAGTGATTAAGGGTCATCATGGCCATCTTGTTTTTCTAATTGAGCATGGCTTTTAATTCTTTGATCCATGTTTATTATAGTTTCTCAGTATTTATTTTAAATGGTTATAATGGAATTTGAGTTTGGTGAATTTGGCTATGTTTCTAAATTTTGAGACTTTCAATACAAGATAAAAAATTAGGTTATTTATTTTAGATATAAAAGCTTATATTAGTTATGAATGCTAGAAGTAACTGATTCATTTTGTTACGGTTTCATGGCTAGAAGGCATTATTCTAATTTCATACACTTTTCTTCTTCATTATCTAACTGATGCTTGTTAATCACTTAAATTCACAGATCATCACAAAACTATGTTGTTATATTTTTGTCTTTCTATATAATTAACATGCAACAACTAAATAAACATACAAGCTACTGGTGTATTTGAATGGCTTGATAACTTCTTATGTTATACATGTTCTTATGGTATTATATGATATTTTTATGAGTTAATCTTTTAAAAGGGTTTGACTGACATTTAACAACTATGATAGTTATTTGATTGACTTGTACAGAAAACTTACCTAAAATCTTCCATGATGAAACTTTATTGCTCAGAGCCTAGATTCTTGGTATGAGGAAAACACCTTTGCCTACAATCACTTTAATTTCCTAAGATTACATTTTTTTATGTCTAAATTTTATTAATTATTCAGTTTCAATGGCTGGCAGTAGAGAGAATGTGTAAGAAGCACAAACAATTTATTTCCATAATGTCCATTTCCCTATACACCCCTACCTGTGAAGTCAATAAATGAACATAAATGATTTACTGGTAATGTTTTACTTGTAGAAAGTACTTAATGTTTATATAAATTGGAAGTTATTTTTTGTTTTTCAGTTTAACATACGCTACCTCAATCCTTTATTTTTGGCATATGATGATCGTATAAAGGAAAGAGAAGAAACTATAAGGAAATGTCAGGCAAGTTATTATGTTAAATATCATTTGAAAAAAATTAGTTAGCCTTTTAGCTGGTGATATTTAGCACACCTAGCACAAAGTGCTATAGACAACTATTGGAACTTCACTCATTCAGACATCCATATAGTATGTCCTCTTTATCTATAGATTATTTTTAGCTTGTTTGTTTTTAGCTCACCTGAGCATATGCTCAGGGTGAGCTATTAGGATCACTCTTCGTCCGTCGTCCGTTGTCCGTTCACACTTTTAGAACGACATCTCCTCTGAAACCATAAGGCAGATCATAATGAAACTTCACAGGGATGTTCCTTGTGTGAAGCCTTAACAAAGTTGTTCAAAGAATTCCATTCCATGCAGAACTCTGGTTGCCATGGCAACCGAAAGAAAAAACTATAAATATCTTCTTTTAAAAAACCCAAAGAGCTAGAGCTTATATATTTGGCATGAAACATCTTCTAGTGCGTTTCTACCAAGTTTATTCAAATAAAAGCCCTGGGGTCAAAATTGGCCCCGCCCCAGGGGGTCATTGATTTTCCCTATATGCATATAGTAAAAAAACTTAAAAAATCATCTTTTAAAGAACCCAAAGAGCTAGAGCTAAGATATTTAGCATGGATCATCAATGAGTGTCTACCAAGTTTGTTCCCATAAAAGCCCTGGGGTCAAAATTGGCCCAGCCCCAGGGGGTCATTGATTTTTCCCTATATGCATATAGTAAAAACTTTAAAAATCTTCTTTTAAAGAACCCAAAGAGCTAGAGCTAAGATATTTAGAATGAAACATCTTCTAATGAGTGTCTACCAAGTTTGTTCAAATAAAAGTCCTGGGGTCAAATTGGCCCCACCCTGGGGGTCATTGATTTTCCTTATATGTGTATAGCAAAAACTTTTTAAAAAAATCTTCTTTGAAAAAACCTAAATAGCTAGAGTTTAGATATTAAGCATGAATCATCTTCTAGTGAGTGTCTACAAAGTTTATTCAAATAAAAGCCCTGGGGTCAAAATTTGCCCCGTCCCGGGGGCCATTGATTTTCCTTATATGTGTATAGCGAAAACTTAAAAATCTTCTTTGAAAAAACCCAAATAGCTAGAGTTTAGATATTAAGCATGAAACATCTTCTAGTAAGTGTCTACAAAGTTGGTTCAAATAAAAGCCCTTGGGTCAAAACTGGCCCCGCCCCAGGGGTGTCATTGTTTTTAACTATATGTGTATAGTAAAAACTTAAAACATCTTCTTTTAAAAAACCCAATGAGCTAGAGGTTAGATGTTTAGCATGAAATCTTCTTGCGGGTGTCTACCAAGTTTGTTCAAATAAAAGCCCTTGGGCTAAAATTGGCCCTGCGGGGGGGGGGGGGGGGGGATCATTGTTTTTCATTATATGTGTATAGTAAAAACTTAACATCATGAAACATCTTCTAATGGGTGTCTTCCAAGTTTGTTCAAATAAAAGCCCTGGGGTTTAAACTGGCCCCGCTCCAGGGGGCCTATATACAGGTGAGTGACCTCAGGGCCATCATGGCCCTCTTGTTTATCAGTATCTTGTTTCTATGATATTGTAAGCTACATGAATGATAACATTTGTGAATTAACTCTTAACCTCTTGTATTCCTTAAATGAATTCTTTAAATGCCCAGCTTCCATTTTTGGAACTGTCCATTATCAGTTTTATGATACCAAGGTGAAGATAAAAAGTTAGTCAACAGTATAGAGCCTAGTCAGACTGTACAAATATGAAGGTTGGTCTGACTTTATACTGGTGGAAATGTGTAACTACTTTAGTACCAGTGAGTTGAATAAAGATATATTCTTTATTAACAGAGTGAGTTAGAGGCATTACAGGCAAGATGTGAAGCTGTAGTAAAAGAGAATGATAGATTACATGCTAGATTACAACAAAGTGGAACTGGGCATGTAGATTATCTAGAATGGTGAGTACATGTAACTGTTGTTATAGAACTAGACATGCTTTCTTATACAATGAAGCTGTTTGGAACACTCAATTATCTAAAGTATAAATATGTGTAGTATTGTAAAAATATCAACATACATACAGACCTTCCATTATAGACTATTTCAGCTTTATAGGAATACTACTAGGGTAGTTTTTCACAAATTTACTAAAGTTGTTCCTCTCCATTAACAAAGAGGATGCAAGAGTTAAAAATAGAATTGAACTTTAAATGACATAGCTTCGGAAACAATTGTTCAGATGATGGCCAGAGCTGAAATTACAAATTACCATTTGAAGGCATCTCCCTAACCACAGATCAGATTTTAATGAAGTGAGCTTCTGTACCTTATATACTTATAATTCTATATATATTCTGGAATGATAGGGAACAAATGAAGGAGAATGCAAGGTTGGTTTTAGAAGAGAACCAGAATTTACTGGAACAAGTGAGTGTTAAAGACCAGAAAACTCATGATGTACACCAGGCTCATCTGCGAGAAGGTATACTCATTAGTTTAGCTGTATTAGTCAGAGACTAATCATTCAATGATCATTGTGTGTTATATACATGTATATATACATTAACTCTTGTACAACCTTGAAACTTGTTTGAAATCATTGTTTTAAATTTATGTTGTAAAATTACTTAACCTTTTCCCTTATATAAGCGTGTTTCGACGGCTTTTTGAGGCCTCAAACAGTGAAAAAATGTCCTATGTAGACCACAAACACTGTTTTTCGTTTGAGAAATGTTGTTAAAAAAAGTGACCATTTTTTCGGCGCCGTCCCCCATCCAAATAATACATCAGGGGGTTGCCAGAAGGGGGATGTGCCCCCTTCTGTTTGGGGGGTTTGAAGGGGGGCGGAGTCCCCCTCATCGCCAAGAAAATTTTGGACTTGTGAGAGGCTTAAAATGACCCCAGGTTGATCATAAGGTAACGTGTAACCAACGCTGAAAAGCCTTTGACTCTATCTCAATCCCTTGAGAAGTTGCAGCATTTTGAAGTTAATTTTGATGGAAAAAATCGAGGCAAAAAAGTGATTTTTGGCAATTTTGAGAGATGTCCCCTCGTTGCCATGGTAACAGGAAATTTAAGACTGAGCATGTCGTTACAAAGGCAATGGTCCAGTCAACATTTGTGCCAAGTTTGATCAGAATTGAAGCATTTTTCATAGTTTCATAGCAGTTTGAACTTGTAAGAGGAGGCTTTTCAGTGAAAATGGCCATTTTTCACAATATGCTCATGGGGGAAAGGGTTAAATTTGTTGATTAAAACTAAATTTTCTTACATCTTTATTCACAGTTAATATTAAAAAAGATGAGAATACATAATGGAATTTTGTTATTTTACAGTAAACAAGTTATGTAAATCATTGGTGCAAGTTAAAGCTGAGAAAGCTGATTTGGAGACAGAAATTGAGGAATTAAGACAATCTTATAAAGACATTAAACAGAAATATGATAAAATGGTGCTTCAAAATCAGGGTCTTATTACACAAGAACAACATATTCAGGAAATATCGGAGCTTAAACAGTAAGAACCAGATTTTGTTATCAATACAGCATGTTTAAGCCTGAAAATTAGTCTTTAAAACAAATTCCATCAACAATGAAATGGCTATTATTTGCATGGGCATTAGAGAGGCATAAAGTTGTGTTACCTGAAAAAGCAATGTGCATATTTGCATTTTTGGCTAATTAGCAACTTTAATTTTTAATTGTTTGAAAACTTGTAGCACTATCAATCTAAGTTTCTGTATTTAAATAGTTTATGATTTGTTAAATGTTATCCCCAATGAAAGACAAAGAAACAGTAGAACTTAAGAAAGTTGAAGTTGAAAGGAAAAATTTGACACATCAGGACATTGACACATATTTTGGGCAAAATTTACTGACAAAATTTCAAGCTGTTGATGTTTGGTAGTGACTTACAAAAGGCATAACATAAGAAAAGGGCTATAACTAAACCAACTTACAGTTAATACATCCTGTGTGATATCACTCAACACAGAGTCATGAAACTTATTTGTAATGTTGATTCTCATATCATTCCACTGTGTTTAGAATTATAATATTGAAATAATATTGTGGCACATAGGAACACATACAAAGACTGATAGAACACAAGTCTGTGATGTTTACATCTATTAGACAAGTTGATTGACAATTATTATAACGGCTAGAAAAGGTATTAAAAATATCTCAGGCTCGAAGGTTTTTTAATAAAATGTTTTTGAATTATTTTATACTGACCACATAAAGACATTTTACATATTGAAAAAAATTGACATGTAAAAATTTGACTCGTATATAGGTTTTAAATATAGTATTGACTAATCAAAGTTGAATACATACAAGTTATACATGTACTGCATTTTGATTTTTTTATGCTGGAAATATAGCGTGGTTTTAAAGGGACAAGATCTCATTTTCCATTCATTTAGGTTCAACCAAACTTTCCTTAACATGTTCTGTCAAGGATTCCAGAATTCCTTTTAAGTAGTAGCTTAAAATAGGTGTATTTATGTGCATATGTTATGCGTTTTACATATGTTTTCTATAAACATGTCAGGTGTATATGCATTTATTTAAACATCAAATAATTATGTTAAAATTAGAATATTGTAACTGTGTTTTAGGAAACTTAGTGATGTAACAGAACAGCATAGACAGGAAGTAGACAGCATTAATAACAAATTACATGCATCTCAAGTTGAAAGGAAAACACTTGGTGCTCAGGTTTTAGAATTAACTTCAGAGAACAGAAGACATCAGATGGAGGCCAGACTAATGCATAAATCAGTCAGGTATAGTTCTTATTTATTCTTTTATTAAAATTGTTCTATTGTTTTAATCAGTTAAAATATTCTTTAAGACAGTTGATTTTAATTCATCATATTTTAAAAATACCACAGCTATTTCATATTTTCACTTTGCCCAGAGGTGAGTTTTTGGATTTACATTGTGTCTTACATGAGTCATCGTGATTCATTCTTTGTGATCCATGTTGTAATTTCTTTATTATGGTACATTTTGACCAAACTTCTTATAATGATCCTAACTTGCTATATAAATGGTCACAGTCTGATACACAGAGGAGATAAAAAAAGGCTTACTCAGAAATTACAATGTCTAGAGTTTTTGATAGTTGATATCTACATTGTGGTCCTGTACAAAATTGTGGTAAAGGGACATATATAGACTTATATAGGATAACACATATATAGACTTATATAGGAAAATGCTTGCAAATAAATGACCAAGATATTTTGGATGTAGCATTGCTTGCCTAGTCAATGTCTACAAAAGTTCTATCAATTATGTCTCTGGGGTCTATGAAAGCTGACACAGGTTTTTAACTGACATGTAGCCCCACCACATAGATATGGGGGAGGTATACTGGAATCAGTTTGTAGTATCAATCCATTGTTCAATCTATAAGTTCTCCCTGTTCTATGAAACTTTTACCTATGTGCAGAACATATGCCAACCTTGTGTCACCTCAAGGTCAAAGTCACACTTGAAGGTCAGATGTCAAACCATTTGTCTCTGCTCAATAAATCCTATACAACTCGAAGGCTTTTCTTCAAACATGGCTTAAATCCTCACCTCTAGAAGGTGGTGCGCAGAAGTTTAGAATTCATGCTGCTGCTGTTTCACTTCAAGGTCAAGGTCAGCTTTGAAGGTTAAATGTCAGACAATTTTATGTGCCTCTACAATTTTTTCCTCTACCCTTTAAATGATTTTCTTCAAACTTGGTTAAAATGTTAACATCAACAAAGTGATATGGAGAACTGATGTCCCCATTGTGCTGCCACAATGTCAAGGTCACATGTGATGGGCAAATGTCAGACAATTGTGTCTGCTATGTAAATCCAATACCCATTGAAGGATTTGCTTTGGTAGTTTAGCGCGGAGGAAGGTAGTCTAGTACTGGTGTAACTCTCCAGGGATGATGGTTAGGAAACTACTCGCCTAAATGACTGAAATACTGTTGGGAAAAGGCGTAAAATGAAACAAACAAATCTTCCAACTCAAAATAAATGCTCATCTCAACAAGGGCTGTTCAGAACTTCAACTGTCTGATCAATATCACCCTTGAAGGTCAAATGTTGAACAATTTTCTGTCTGTACTGTAAGTTCTTGAAGGCATTCAAACTTTGCTTAAATATTCACCTTCAAAATTATTGAATTATGATCCAAATTCTTTGTCCTAGAGATGGTGGTGATATATCTCACTTTTTGACAGCTTTAACTTAAAATCCTCACTTTATTAAATTTCAGGTGATATATCAAGGACTATCAAGACCTTCTTAAATTGTTCTTAGTTTCTTTCTAATTATTGTGAAATAAGACAGGTAAGTGGAACTTTGCTGCCATATTGATAGTGACCAGCTAAAGTAGATGTGTGTATTTTCAGGAAAGCGCAGCAAAAGATGATGTTTTTACAACAAGCAATAGAGCAATCAGAGAACAAGGAAATGTCAGTACAGGAATATATGTCCTCATTAATTAAAGTTGTAAGTGTCATATAACTTCAATCTAATAAATTCTGTAATTTTTTGTGTGCATTCTTTTAACTTTTTTGTCTTCTTTATCTAATAATTGGCTTACTTCAAACTTCAGATATATCTATGTTCCTTATCATCATTCACATCAAAAGGAGGTTCATAACTCTTGCAGTAGCACCCAAAAAATTATTTCCAATTATTACTTTGAATTTTGCTTCATTAAAATGTTAATTTTTACTCTTCTTTGTTTTTGAAAGGATTTACATCAGACTTTTAAGTACTTTAAAGGAAACAACATTTCTGTTCATAAGTAAACTTTATAAGCCTCAGTTTTCAAACTTCATAGGCTGATTAATGTTTTGAGTTTGAAATGAGTGCTCACAAGTCATAAATTGGTTAGGAAACAGTATAGAGTCTGGTCAGGTGTGCAGTGTAATCTGTTGCTATACAACCAGCAAAGACCAATTACTTTTTTGTCGGGCCAGGTTAATGTCAATTATGTAATGAAATAAAATATATATAACAAAGATGCATAGCATATCTACTGTATACATGTATGTGTACAAATTGCAGTCTGTCTGACAGCTCTATTTTTGTTTAACAGCAATACTTATTACTTACTTACAGATAAATTTTGTGTAATAAATGATTACTGTTTCTGTATTCTAGGCTGAAAAAAGTGCATTTGAACGAGACACTTATGAGAAAGTTGTAAGTTGACATCTTTAAATTTTTGCAATTTCTTTTAAAATAAGATTAAAATCATATATATTTTTGGTCACTGCCTGAATAGTTAAGTTGTTGTAACAGATGTATAAATAAAATGGAAATAAAGTCATACAAAATGTTGTGTAACATTATTAGAGGTTGCAGTCATGTTATAGTTATGGACAAATTCTTTTTTTCTTTTAGACTACAGTAGTTTCAATTAAAAAAATCATCTGCTGTAAGCTTTTGTGATCATCCAAGGACTATTATGGGTCATCAACTTTTAAGATTTCCTCAGAAACCAAATATCTCAATTAACTATTAATATGCCTGTTACTATAAATCATAACAAATTTGACCAAAACTTAATTTGTAATGAGGGTCATGTGACCAATTAAGAGTTTGCAGCATCGAAAAATCATAATCATAATCTGCCAGCTGAACATAAGTACATGTGAAAATGCATTGTCAAGTAATATTTGACATGATCAAAACAAGCAAAGTGAAAGCCAGGTTTTGGTATGAAATGATTGATTTTATGATTAAAATTTAAGCCTTACTTAAACACACAGTTTTTGACTGAAATATAAGTTATTGAAAATACTATTTAATTTCATCGGTAAGTATATTAAAGACATTAATACCATCATATATTGGAGGGAAAGTTATAGTTCGCCCTTGATAAATTATGGTCCTTGGGCTGACCCAATTTGACCATTACTCATTTAGCAGGCCGATTATCACCTTATCACCATGTTTAAAACTTTTATTACCATGCTGGATGTCTTAAATGGATTGACTCATCTTTTTAAATAAAGTCAAAACCATTCATCATTTTTAGAGAGAATTTTAAAATATGTACTGACTGAATAGTGAAGAGTGCAAACCATGACCAGACTGCGAGGTTGTGATGGCTGATCTTGATATGGACTCTGTTTACATGATAAAATATCCTTGTCCAAGGCATATCTGCACCAAAATATTTGAAATAAAGATTTTGAAAGTGAAAAATTAAAAAGAAATGTTTCAGTATCTGAAAGGCCTGGAGTTTAGAATTTAGCATGTTAAGATAGGATTCAAATCCACAGCAGTAAGGGGCAAGTGATTTGAAGCCAACAACATTTTACACTCAGGCTTAATTCATTAAATTACAAAAATACTTGAAATTTTAGAAAAGTTTCTGAATTTCTTTTCAAGCATTTAGCCATTAAAAGTTGATGTAAATTTTGATCCTGACCTGTCTAGTGATCTTTTAATTGAGTCATATTTTAATCCCTTTCCGCATAGCAGAAATGGGATTATAGAAATGGCCTCTGTCTGTCAGTCCATCTGTCTGTCCGTTCGTAACACTTTTGTGTCTGCTCCATAACTTTTAAACTGCTGAAAATTTTTTGAAATGACTTGGCACAAGTGATCACCATTATGAGACGATGTGCAGAGCGCAATAATCGGGTTGCTCCACCCCAAGGTCAAGGTCACACTTAAAGATCAAATGTTAAAAAGTCTTCATTTCATTATAAAAAGTCTACATTTCGTGTCCGCTCCATAACTTTAAAACTGCTTAAAAAATTTTAATATTACTTGGCACAAATGATCACCATAATGAGACGATGTGCAGAGCGCAAATGATTAGGTTGCTACCCCCAGGATCAAGGTCACACTTAAAGGTCATATGTTAAAAAGTCTACATTTCGTGTCCACTCCATAACTTTTTAACTGCTGAAAACTTTTAAATAGCTTGGCACAAGTGATCACCATTATGGATTGATGTGCAGAGCACAATCACTGAATTGCTACCTCCAAGGTCAAGGTCACACAGGTCAAATGTTAGAAAGTCCACATTTATGTCTGTCCAAAACATTTATACCGCTGCAATGTTTTTAAGATAACTTGGCAGAAATAATCACCATTATGACTACATTGGCAGAGCACATTTATCAAGTCAAAACCCTGAAGGTCAGGGTCACACTCAAAGGTCCAATTTAAAAACATCTCTTTTTTATGTTCGCTCTATAACTTATTGACAATTCAAAGGTTTTAAAATTACTTGGCACAAATGATCCCAACCATGACACAATCTGCAAAGCTCAACATCTGGGTTGCTACACCCAAGGTCAAGGTTATAAGTTCTCAATAACTTTATGGAAGATTTTAAATAACTTGGCACAAATAATCACCATCATGAAACTATGTGCTTATGATATGTATGACACAATATCAAGGTCATTGTTGGTAAAAGGTCAAGAAGTACACATTCATGTTCACTGCGGAAGGGGATTTAGCTGTCCTTCAGACTGCCTTGTTTATATTTATTATTGTAATTTGTATTGTAATTTATGAATTTTATCAAAAATGAGCTAATTTTATTGCAACTCAGCAGTTATTTTACATTTAGAATTCATTTCTGAGAATATGGTACTTATAATCAACATTATTCCACAAAAAACGTGATCATTTGATCATGCAGATTTTATATTGATAACAAATCATAACAAGTCACTGATCATAAACTTATCTTTGTAATTTAATACAAAAATGATGAATGCTAACAATTTGCAAAATGTATTAATGTGCACCTTTCTTGTTGATTTTCAGGCCAAAGAACATGAAATAGAATCAAAGAAAGCAATGAAAAGATTATTACAGGGCACGATTACTGTTGGAAAAATGGAGGAAAAATTAAAAGTATGAATTGTTTGTTATACCCCTGCACAACAAAAGTTATGTGGGGTACACTCATTTTAGATTAGTTTAAACATATTTATTTAAGCTCTATGGGGAAACAAGTTCTTGTATCTTATATTAATCACTTTAAAATCCACTTAAAGACGTTTTCGGTAGTTTTCTGTGCGCATCGTTATGCGCTTCCAAGAAAGATAATCACGGATAATTACTCTTCAAATGAAGGTCAAGTTGAATAGTATTCGGATAAGTGTTTAAATTTCGGCTATAAGCAAATAATGAGTAAATAATACAGAATAGATATTTCTAAGTGTTCAAAAGGAGATCGGTTCAAAAGAATAAGAGGTCGTTTAGACAACATCACATAAAGGATTTCTCCAAGCATTAGTACGACAGCATTGATGATAATTCTGCGCGCGTTACCCCACCCACTTGTGGTATAGTGACGAAAGTGCGTCGCGACTTGATTACTGGCAGACAACTGGGCAAAGAAGTTTAAAATGATATATTTTAAACGTGTTGAATAAAAAAAAACAAAATTAATATCTAAGAAATGTTCCGAATTTCATTATTTTCTTTGTAAATTTCTGAATACTTGCTTACTGTTCGGGTATGTTAGTCGAGTGAAAAAAATAATATGGCCCTAGATATGTTTTAAAAAGATATTCAGTATCATTTACTTAATATAACATCAAAAGAAAAAGAAATTTTTATAACAACATGTTTTTGTTGACAATACATTTAGTATAACACTGATATTTCTTAAGAAAGTGTGGTAATTTTGACAGTTGGCATATACGGTAACCATGGAAACTGCCCGTTTACAAAAAACTAACACGTCAACATATATTTTATTTCTATTTTTGAATCAACCATCAAATGTTACTTGATATATCAATAATGTAGAAAATTCTATGAAAGAAATTTCTTGATAGCTTTAATTTTTTACAGAATTCATGTTTTTTTTCTCATTTTTTGTTTAGTTAAAAAGCATGAAAACTTATTTTTTAAAGAAATATGTTCCAATTATCGTTTGTTTTATACAGAACCCTAAGATAAAGCAAGCTTTGTATAAAATTATGTTTATTGTGAGTGTAATAAGCTATTTTATACATTTTCTATAACACAGTTTGGCTATTTTGACAATTTTGAGATATACGGTTACCATGGAAACTGCCATTTAAAAAAAAATCCAACACGCCAACATATATTTTTCTTTTTCTTTTTGAATTTGTCATTAAATTTTACACAACATACAAAAGAATTAGAAAATCCTATGAAACACTTTTTTCAATATCTCTAATTATTCTCAGAATTCATGTTTATTTTTCTCATTTTTTGTTTGGTTGAGGAACATGGAAAACTCATTTTTTAAAGAAATATGTTCATATTATCATTTGTTTCATACAGAATCATTAGATAAGATTATCTTTGCATAAAACAATGCTCGTTGTGTGTTTTAAGCTATCTTATACATTTTCTATTCATTATAACACAGTTAGGCTATTTTGACAGATTTTAGATAAACGGTTACCATGGAAACTGCCATTTTACAAGAAATCCATCACGTCAACATATATTTTTCTTTTTATTTTTAAATTCGTCATTAAATTTTACTCATCATACAAAAAATTTAGAAAATTCTATGAAAGGATTAATTTTTCATAAAACTGTAGAAAATGTCTTTCACAGTACTTTTGTCATATGAAGAAACATGGTTAAGATCTCTTGTATGAGAGGCAGACACCTTAACCACTAGGCCACCGCTCACTTTAATCATTTTATAGATTTTGACCAAACTTAACAAGATCAATTTTTAAGTGGTTTTATGTGACTTTCTGTGAAAGTTATATAAATGGTTTTAGTCCTTTTTTTCTTTAAATGTTTTGATGAAATAGCATGAAATGAATTGTTTATATGCTCTATTTACAGTTATACAAAATGAAGGCAGCAGCAAGAATAAGCACTGTAGCTGAAAGGTGTGTCATTAATGTTGTTCATACTTTTTTTGAATATGTCTTACACAATTTAATGATGGAAATGAATAATTGTATATGATTTTCAGATTCAAATATTTGTTTTGTGTGCTCTTTATTTTAGAGGTGAGATAATGAGATGGATGACCTTGAGTGTGTGATCTGATTGAAGAAAATAATGACTTGTTATATCATGGTATCACTTGTGACCTACCTAGAATCATGATTGTCTTTACACTACATTTACATTTGTTAAAAACATTTTATATTTTACTTTTATAGGTTAAAAGAACAGGAAGAAATGTTTAACTTACAAAAGAAAGAATATGAAAGAGAAATCAAACATCTGAGAATGTTGATTAAAGAAAAGGAAGATTATATACAAGAAGTTATAGTTGAAAAAAGGTATAGTTACTTTTTTGTTTTGAAAGGAGTAAAGAATTTATAAAAGATTGTCTTCATACTTGGCACAACATCTCTAAACTCTTCAATATGGTTTGATAAAACTTTACCATGAATTTTATTTGACCTTGCCATTCAAGGTCAAGTTAATTTCACTTAAATTGGCTATTTATTTTGGGATTTCATTCAAACTTTAATGAAACAATACATGTGGCTATACCAACCAAAATAACTCAAATGTGACATTGACATTTAATAAGCTTGACCATCAAGATCAAATCAATAATTTTGCTAAAATTATTATAATTTTGATATTTGGTGATGGATATGATTCATATTATTGTGGCCATATCAACAAATAAATAATTTAGATATGATCTTGACCTTTAAATGACCTTGATCAGACAAAGATAGGATGACATTGAGTTCTTGGTCTGTACTGGTTTCATGCTCGCTAGCAGGCTAGGGATAATCAAGTTCAGTCAACTCGTTGAAAATTCTATACACCATAGAAATATGAAAAGTTTTTATAATTTGTTAAAGTAACCATTGTGATCCTCCAACATGGAAACCAACTTTTTTCTGATGGAGACTTTTGAGCTGAAACATTGTAATTTTATGAATAAAATTTGATTGGAGTCCATAATTATATTATCAGTTGTATATTATGTATTAAAATATTTTCAAAAACATGTTAACATTAACTTCTTATATTTCAGAGATATAGAAGAACAAATGGAGGCAGTTTGGCAGTCAGCCAATTCAGAAAATGTTAGAATTAAAGATGAATTAAAAAGGAATGTAACACAGTTAAGAAAACACCCTGGTTTATCAGAGGCATTAGATGAACAGAATAGACTAAATACAATAGATATATCTTCTGATGATAATGCTGTCATAAAGGTCACTGATGATTGAAAACATCGTGTTAACATTCAAATATACTCCTCATAACACTTATACTGTATTGTTAGGAGAAGTCAACAGACATTAAATTAACACTGGAGAACATTTGAGCTCATAGTGTTTACTTGTGAGCTTTTGTGATAACGTGATATCAGTACTGTGATTTTGTAATGTACAGTTTCATACAGAATACATTGCTTAGGAACCAAATAGTATATGTATTACCTAACTTCACAAGAATGATCGTTAGGTGGTATTCTACAAAAATTATATAGTTTCAGTCTGGTGTTTAAGTAACAGTTGAAAATAAGAAACTCTGAAACTTAGATGTTACTACCATAAAACTTTTGTCAGTTATACTCCACCCTGGTGGTGACCTAGTTTATATAAATATATTTAAATTGTCTTCTGTGGCGCTGCATTGTATCTTTTATCATAAGTTCATTATATTAAGAAAGATAAAGTTATCATCAATTCTTCACATGCATGCATGTATTGTATGTTGAGTGTATATTAGCAAATATTTGCATTTGTAGTTCAACACTGCCAGCAGTTTTATCATATTCACAAAGATGTGTAGACAATTTTGTCTAAACTATGTGTTAAAAATGTTCCTGATTGTACAGGTGTGATTTTATCTTTGCTTATCAAATTCAGTAAATTATATTTTCCATGCTATAAGAATATATAGCACTATAAGTGAACTACAACAGTGTCATCTGTTTGGCTGAAATATTGCATAATTTTACTTTAAGAAATAATATAATTAAACATTAACATTGTTTATTGTAAGCAAAGAAGTAAAGAATTCCAATATTTTATGAACTTTAAATGTATACCAAAACTTCATATTTTCTTTATTAGAATGTTAACAATGACTGAAATATGAAACCACTCTGAGGTTACTACTTATTGCACAAAGGGGGGAGGGGGGCTAGGAATAAATGTTTTGAAATTTATTATTAGTATTCTATAGGAAATTAAGATAAAATACATATTTGATGTAACAAGCTTTATAAGGTTATAACTACATGTTTTTATGCTAGTAATTTAAACATTTAGTGTGCTAGTTTAGACTGACATAGTTCTGTTCAAACAGAAACAATTAAGCTGGCATTTTGTTAGATTAAAAGGTGCTGATGTTTTTAGTAGTTTACATTTCCAATATTGTGTTTTAGGAAATGCATTAAGATAGAATATCTTTATTTAAAAGGTAGACACGAGTACAATATTGGTTTGCAATACTAGGATTTAGTTGGCCATATATATTGATGTATATATTAATTATTGTTTATTTATTTACTTGTTTCAAGTATTTTTACTGACATTGTGATCACACTTTATAGCCCATTTATTTATTTCTATTAGATTTATATGTATAACCAAATATGTGTAACTAAATAAAAATTAAAAGATAATAAAATTCTGTTGTACTGACTCCATGTTGTCTACCAGATTAGTATATGCAGTTGTACTAGTATTACATACAATGATTATAATAATGTCATAATGTTAAATTATGATTAAATAAAGGTAATTGTGCAAGTACTAATTATCCCAGTACATCAACATTATATTATAACTCCAAAATCCAATTATAATGCTCACACCTCATATTCCGGTATTTAACAAAACCTGTCCATGATACTAATGTAATAATACTGCATATTTGTAACATCGTTTTTTATTGGATAATCGTGATCATTATATATACACAGGTGCTGTCGATTTAAGAATTTTTCTTTAATAAAATTTTCAGTATTATAAATTCGTTGTAAATATTCTAGATGTGTTATATGGCTGTATGTAATCGGTTAGTGGCAACATAACCTGAGACGTAAACCTCGCCTTAGTCTTGTATATTCAAACAACCGTTTATATAAGGCCATATAACCTATCAAAAGTCTTTACAACACATGTCTTGATGCTTTTTGTATCGCTAAATTTTAGTGTTAAACCTTTCAGTACTAGGTTTTTTATATAGCCTTTTTGCGATATCACCGAGTTTTCAAGTTGGGTAAAGTTATGTCTGAATGTTGCTTTACATTGTTGGTTGATATTTTTTTTTATTTAAAGATTTCAGTCTTTTCAGATAATCATTCTGAATTGTATTAAAACCTGTAAAAAAGCCTTCCCCCCCAGGAGATGTGATCTCTATAAGCATATTTTTAATATCCGACTGTAAAAAAAATGAAATTATATCGGCAGCATAATGTTTATTAATTCATTTACTTATAATTTATAACATGATATTTCACAAACAAAAATCTCATTCTCAACAACCCTTGAATATGAAAAATGTTTTAAAACATAAATGAACGCAGAGATATAATGTATATATTTATACCAAAATTAGAAAATAATAAATAGTGTAATTCTAAAACAAATATTGAGAACTATTAAACATATACATTTTTAAGAGTAACTGAAGTATTTTATCGAGTTATCTGTCCGCTGTACTATTTATTGTTTTATATTGAATATATTCCGTGTCTCGTCTGCTGCATCCTCTAATCCCAGTACCCGCCATAAAAATCGTCATTTCCGCCGTACATGTCTGAAATGTTTAAAAAATAATAAGATTTGAAGATAATTTTCTATCTCTCCAATGAGAAATCAAGTAATGACCGGGTGGTCAAGATTAACTAGAGTTAATTAAGAGTATCTTGCCAGCGATCATTCAGGTTAGAAGGCTATCCAGGGCAGTGCTGGAATGTCTAGTTTAACGAAGAGTAATAATATACTTTAAAAGATTAGAAGATTGGACATTAATACAAGAAAATAAATTCCAATCTTTACAAGAGCAGACATGGCTGAATATGCAATGATTGTCTTATGTATAGAAATTGTCTTATGTATAGTGATTTAACTCTATATGAAAACAGTCTAGGTACCATTTACCAGTACCATTTTCTGTACATCTTCATTTATAGCATTTTGTGTGGTTTATCATCTCGCGATATTAGAAAATCAAATTAAAGTCAGTGAATGATATAATAACTGTACTTACTGCTGTTGCTACCATAAAATGAGTATCTAGGATATGGCCTGTACTGATAGCGTCTGTAAAAGTAGGGCGTGGCTTCAATCAACGCACACAGACAGGCGACAGCAAACACTAGCAGTAACAACTTTCCGAGCATATTTGACTTTGGTTTATTCGCTGAAAATATATAATTTAAATAATTAATATTAACATTTTTTTTTTTTTTTTTTTTTTTTTTTTTTTTTTTTTTTTTTTTTTTTTTTTTTTTTTTTTTTTTTTTTTTTTATTTTTTGTGGTGTTTCAATGTAGAGTTAAAATATTATACTTATTTTGAATATTTACGTTTTGAAAATAAAAGGGGAAAAATTTAAATAATTTTTTTAAATGTTTTATATACGGGAAGGGATTTTCCGCTGAAATAAAAAGTTTGTGTTTTCCCCAAATTTTATAAATTTTGAGGTAATAATTGATATAATATTTAAATTGAACATTGTTAAAATTTAATGACATTTTAAAACATTTTTTTTTTATTTAATTACAGATAAATAAACTTTTAACTATGCTAAAAAAGAAACAGGGAAATGTTCAAATTAAAATTTTTTAAAAAGGGATAAGTATACTTAAAATAGTTTTATCAATACCCGTCATTTAAATTAAAATTTTTAGTTGGCAATTGTGTATACGATTCAATAGAAACCCCTTCAAATGCCAGACATTTTATTGCAGCCAGGAATAATTCACGGCATAAAGATTTAAACAAGATAAAATGTAATGATGCATTTAATGAATTCATTATCTTTAAGTGGAATTATCTATATACATATTACATACCGTAGTGGTATATAAAGGTCTATATGCAGAAAAAAAAGTTTTTAGTAGTTATATCCCCCTGCAATGCACAACTTATTATTCTTGTAATTTCTTAATGAATCTACAAATTTCCACTTTTAAAATAAATACTCAGTGCTTATCATCGACACTTCTTATTATGTCTTTCTTTTTTAAATACATTGTAATCAAAAATAAAACTAAATGATACTGAAATTAGTTTATGGTTCTTTTTATCAGTTAAAAGTGACATTACTTTGAAATTTGGAACATTTATATTATTTGTCCAGTAAGGTTTCATCTTTAATGGTAAATTTTTTTCAAATGTGTTTTAAACTGTTATTGTCTGCGCACAACTTTCTTTTAAGACAGCTCCATTTAATAATAAAAGAATATTGAAGAAACGAATTCATAAAACGAATTTCTTCATTGCACGAGCTTACTAGTATGTAATGAGTAATTCAAATGTGACCCATGGGAGATTTGATCTCTTCAAACGCATTGCATTTCATTTAAAATAAAATTTGAGATGATAAGATTAAATAGTCCTATCTGAGCAAACAATGGCGAACTAAAAATATCCTATAACGTACCAAGAAATAAGATGACTGATTCTGAAAAATGTTAAGATTAAATAATAACTACACGTATCTTAATTTATATTAATAACTAAAAGAATTTCTAAAGAAAATTAGACGAATGCCTCAGAAACAAACTAGTAAAAAAGTCACTTACGGTTGAGAATTTGCGATGTTGTCCACCACTATTATGGAAACACTAGTACTAACATGGTGTTCTGAAACAGGTTATATATAGGTCCGAGTATGACGTGTACTTTGTAATTACCTCAATAAGAAATTATTGTTTTACGTAATTTACCATTTGAAAAGTCATAACCTATCACTAGTGTTGACAAGTTATTAATTAGAATGTTTTGTTTTACAAAGTAATTGCGTGCAGTCGTTACAGTGTAGGCGCCGTCAACGTAAACCCTATATCAAAACTGGCAACAATTCAAATGTCAAAATCAAGAGGAAAAACCATGAAAAAAGAACGAAATGAAAGTTTATATTTCTTTTTACATATGATTTGTCACGTATTTATTATTTAGTTTAGTTGATTTTGCATCATTCCATGCCTTGACAAACGCCTCACACTATAAAACGAGTGATACTCTGCTTCTGTAATCCCACACATGTGGTTGGGTATTTTTGTAAAATAAATGTCATCATAGGATAAAATTTACAATACAATTAATATGATTCTTGTTAGCTAAAGATCTGACTCTATCCTCATGTAATATTAAACTGTTGTGTGTGTGGGGCAAAGCTAATGCAAAATACGTATCAAGCCATATATTCAATTATATGATATTTAATTACATATAGGATAAAGTAAGGTTACTCCTGAAACATATATCAGTTATCACCGGTGCTTCAAAGTCGGCATTATTTATTTATGCTTAGTTGTTTAGTTGAATCAGGCTATTTCAAAGTCTAACCTTGGACAAACATTTTTCATGTTTTAATCTGCGTTCACCTCGATTGCCACAAACATCTATTTATTATTAACATGGTTCCAATGATGCGACAAAGCGCCGGATAACACAGTATTAAGGACGATGTCATCAAAATTACACTGTTTTCTAAATAAATTGTACTTTAAAATATAAGATTTTTTTAGCGTTATGTAAAACATGGTGTGACGAAACTTAAATAATTCTGTCATGTTTTTGTTTACAAGCTTCTTATGTTAATTTGTTAATTGTGATCATCTTTCAGGATATGATCTACAGGTGTGGCAACTGACCAATAGTTGTTCATAAATGCAATAGGATTTCGAAACAAGGACAAGTTGAGTAAATTATAAGGTGTCCGAGAAATGCACAACAATTCAGCTATATTATTTAATTTATAAAAAAAAGAGAGTAAATATGACGATTAGACAAAAGGCAAATCTTTAGTTTATAATACCACATGCAGTAATTCGGTATTAGACAAATGACAACATGAACCAAACAAAATTTTGTATTAGAAAGCCTATTTGTATTTAGAAAGTTTTATCACAATCGCCATATAGACACATGTTTGACCATTGACAGCTGAGACGGTTGTAAGTATATTACATGTAATCATTAATATAGCTGACATTTACATATGTTAACATTAATTTTATCATTAACATTGTCACTCCTAATGGACATTTTTCAAAACGAAAAAGTATGTGGTGTATTGATAGGGTATCAGGGTACAAACATTAATTATCCAACTAAGCAGAGTTATAAAATCGACATATGCAATTATATATCTTCTGTTGGTAATGTATTAAACTAATGCCTAAGTTTTTGCATAAGGAATTGATTTAAATGCTTAATGCTAATGCAATGCATTTACTTGGTTTTTTTGTTAGGTTTGCATTGGATTTATTTTGCATTTACTTTTCCCTAGGAATGCAATTCATTTATATCACACAGATAAATGGTTTCTAGATCAACTATTTAGCTTACAACTCAATTTTATTAAACCAAACTTGCAATATCACTGGATACCACTTCCGGTGAAGTGTGTTGAAATCAAAAACATTTAGTATTAATGTGGTTAAGTATTTAGTATTCATACTAAAAGAATGAATAAACTATGTATATGAAGCTGCGTTCCATATTACAAGGCCAAATAAAGCTGGTCTTTTCTTAATGACACTACATTTAACAAATCTTATAAGTGTGCATGTATAAATGGTCACATATGTGTCAATTTTGGTATGATCGTGCTGAAATTTTCAATGAATAAACTAAAGACATGATATAACATTTCATTTATTAAATTTCATAAGAAACACATATTGAATAAGCATGCCCAATAACTGTGATAGTGCATTGTAAGCCAATGTTGCAAAATAAATTATTCCAATATCGTATCGTACCCTGACTGTTGATTTCAGCCTGCAGCATTGTTGCATAGTTTTTCATAATATTGGCTTAGATTTCTTCACTATTGGACAATTTTCGCATATTCGTAGGCAATGATTTGTGGTTTTGTACCAAAACTTCATTTGAGGCGGTTCATTTCACCCCGTGTATATAGCTTCTATCACCTTTCCATGAAGCTTCTATCACATTACAGTCTAGAGATTTTGGTGATATTCAATTACGTTGATGTTGTTTATAAATGTTCAGAGGTTATTGGCGCTGTGGAAATATGCCTGTGCATTAAAAGAAAATGTTTTATTTGACTAAATAGAAAATGACTCGCTAAATGCCAAAAATAACAGATAAATGTTGACTTAAATTTGTCAATAACGCGTATGCCCACCATTTCTGTTTATGCAAGCCTAAATTCTTCTCCTCATGGGGTGAACGTAACGTCTCATGAAGTCATTTGGAATTGCCTGACACTCAACCAGCAAAGCCTGTCTGTTGCCGTTGTTTACCGTGGTTTGCCCTTGCTCTGCGTCCGAGTTCATCCCAGATGTGCCTCTATAGGGTGCAGATCTTGGGAGATTGCAGGCCAGAGCAGGATGTTGACGTTGTTTTGAGCTAAGAACTGTGTGGTTATTCGGGCAGTACGAGGCCAAGCATTGTCATCTTCCCATGAATAATTACCAGTGCTGTCTTTTAGCCACCACCAAACCTATCTCTCTCCCTGATACAACATTGGGCAAATATCTCGTTTCTACGTCGGGAAATCCTAACTACCATCCGCACAACTGACCCTGAAACGTGATTCGTCCGAAAAAAAAACATTATTCCACTGGTTCCGCCTCCAGTGCTGATGATGCATTGACCATGCCAACCTGGCGGCCCTGTGAGGTGCCGTTAAAATCTGCCCAGTGTAAGGTCTCCTGACACGGAGAGGACAGTTTCACCGCCTTAAACGGCGTCGGATGGTCTTTGCAGAAATCCCAAGATGTCGTGCAGTTACGGTGATCACGTAAATGAGCTAACGTTATGGTGCGGTCGTCTCTACGAGACGTCGCACGTTCTCTACCTGGCCTTTGGCGATCATTGACGGAGCCAGTATTTGCATTGCGGTTTGCAAGGTTATGGATGGTCTGTCGAGAGCGCCCAAAGTGATGTGCAACGTTAAGTATCAGCATGCAGCATGCCTGATTTCCCTGATTTTCAGAAAGCCGTGGCATGATTTTCAGAGAGCCATGGCATTCCTGAGAATCGTCTAAATTACTCAACAAATTGTTTTTTCTTGGTTTTGATCAATAATAAGCAATTCCCGCTCAGATTGAACAGCGATATTCAAACACGTGGGAAGTGTTGGAAACCGGAAATCGACAATATCGTGCAGATCGGGCGAGGCACACGTGAGCCAGAGGCTCGATTTAAAGAATCAGCCAGTGTTATGTAGGTTTATGCGCTGATTTATAAATCCGTGGTTTATGTAAGATTGTCTATATTCGTATGATTAAGATATTTAGTGCATAAAGTTTGTGACTGAGTATATATGCATCTGTAGTATGGGTTGTGTGTACAAATAACGAAAAAAATGCGGTAGGTAAAGTACAAAAATAAAATGGACCATTTAGATAAATTTCATCTATACTTCCAGCACATTTTCAAATAATCAGGCTCTAACGAATACAGGAAGATAGAACAACAAGAACTTCCGAAAGCGAAAGGCTGATCAGGAGGCACATAACAGACTAACTTTTAAAGTTAAAATAGTTAAACTAAATTTGCATCTTATATACTTACTTATATACTTGTGGGTAATTCTTAATTTGGCCAATTTCTTATAATTAAAAGAACTTAATAAGGCGATGACCCTAAATCGGTCACCTGAAATCATTGCTAGGAAAGATCATAGTTTCTTATTGCACAAATATGTACACTATTCTATCCTACTCGGGCGAGGCTATTTTAGGCCCCAAAACCACGATTCATATTAATATGTAGATTCCCTCTAGGTAATAAAACGTTTTGAATTTATAAAATTTTTAGAGGACCGCTGGGAAATGCTATAGGTCAGATAACTAAACTCTAGGACATGCAGTTCCAGAGAAGGGATTTAAATACAATTTACTACGTAAATTGAAGGATGAGCATATTTTTTATTATGGGACCTGGTATATAACGTTTTAAGAGGTGATGCTACATAACAAATATCGAAGCCATGGACATTATAGTTTTAAAGGAATACATCTGTCTATCAAGTGGTTAAGGAGATGGTGTTTAAATAAATTGTGGATGAAGACTGCATGAGGACAACACACATCATGTTACCATAAGAGCTCACCTCTAAGGATTTTGTGCTTTGGGGAGAAAGAAGCCCTTTTTCCTGAAAGTCCAACTTTTCTGAAGAATCATTTATACAGAATTACATTACATAAATATCACAAACTGTGTTTAAGTATCAATGATTGTCAGTTCAATTTATTTATTTCTGTAAGTTTATATAACATGACAACCTGAAGTATAACATGTATTGTTTTATAGATGAGGTAACAATATACAAGTATACTATACACTGTATACAGATTAATTATCATTATATTGAGTTATAACATACATTGCACAACAAGTATTGTATATTCCAGAGATGACAACTTTACAGTTTAAACTAACCAATAAAGTTCACACATTAAGTCATATATACATAAACATAATAAAATCACATGTAAAAAAAATGAGAAATAATATCTTTTACATAATTACATTTTGTAAAAATAGAGAAGTAATAGCCATTACAACATCTTTCACAAAGAGCACAGTTTTTTTTAGTTGTTTTATATTCTATTCAATAAACAAAGTTTTCCTAAATTGTTGACAATCAAATAATAATAGAATGTACCATCATATATATTACATACAGTACACAATATAAATCTATAATCCACTGTATTACATACAGTATTACATACAGTACACAATATAAATCTATAATCCACTGTATTCCAGCTTCCATCCTCTGGTTTCTGGTTGAACAGTTTTGGTGGTGTTTTTATAAAATATTCTTCACACTGTTTGATACACAAGAATATTAGTTGTTTAATAACAAGCCCAATCACTTATGCTCAATAAAAAAATAATGAAATACATTAAAAATATAAATTAACAATATTTTCAAAACATTCAAACAAAAATGCTAGAACAAGATGTGTATGCTTGAAGTGACATAACATTTTGATATTTAACAAACTATGTAACAAATTGTTTTATCATGAAATAAGTCTGAGATATGCTAAAATAGCAGTTGCCGCCGACAACACTAATCCTGAAAGAAAACAGAAAGGTAATTAAGTTACAATTTATCAAATAAACAATTTTATGTGGTTTATAAGAAGATCTAATATAAAGAATATGTTAACAGTCAGGAGGACAAATATATCACGATAAGCTATCACTGTAGGTGTGATATATACAATATACATCTCTGTAAAAATTCTATCAAAAATATGTAATGTGGAATAAGTTCATCTAAACTAAATGACTGTCTGTCAGAATATGTTTAAAATAATTGTGTATCCATTTATAAAATATTTCTAATCATTCACTTTTTAGTTATTTGTAACTGTTAGAATATCTGTGAAACAGTTACATACCTATGAGGTATTTAAAGACGTCATTTCTGTTTTTCTCATTCTGGGTTCTAAGATTTGACACAGATACTTCTATTTTGTTTTCCAGTGCATTAAGGTTTTTTTCAGTTGTTGCATGCTGTAAATACACATTGACAAAAATGCTGGTAACATTGATTGATGTATGGAAACAAATGCTGTTATTTTTAGTAAAATAGAAATATAAAAAAATGTTGAATTGATATATATGAATCCCATAATTTAAACGACTTGGCTACCTTTACTTAAATTTTATGCATCAACTGTCAAATTAATTAAATCAAACAAGATCAGGAATCAATATAATTCAAATAGTCAAACAAGAGCAACGCTAGGCTGAGCATTATATGCCCGAAAGTACTTTTTCTTTTAGTAAGGATGAAGCCTTTGTAAGACATGGGAATTAAATACAGTATTACCTCCTTCAAAAAGCAATCCTCATTATAGCTGAAGAACATTAATGTATATATACAGTAGCTGTTTTCAAAGCACCACCATCAAGTTGTTATCTTGTAAGTAAAAATGCTACAACGGATAGACGAAAAGACGTCAGGGGTATAAAGCTGTTAATCCTATAAAAATTTTACAGCTGTAGGTTGATTAATGCTTGAGTTATTTAGCAAAAAATGTTTCCAGTTTTACAGTGATAGTAACCTTGATCTTTGACCTTGTGACCCCAAAATCAATAGGGGTCTTCTACCCAATATGAACAATCATCCTATGAAGTTTGAATACTGTGGGCCAAATGGAACTTAAGTTATGCTCCAGAAACCATTTTCAGTATTAAGCTAATAGTGACCTTGACCTTGTGAGCCCAAAATCAAGAGGAGTCTTCTACCCAATATGGGCAATCATCCTATGAAGTTGGAATACTGTGGGCCAAATGGAACTTAAGTTATGCTGCGGAAACCATTTTCAGCTTTACGGTAATAGTGACCTTTGACCTTGTGACCCCAAAATCAATAGGGGTCTTCTACCCAATATTGGCAATCATCCTATGAAGTTTGAATACTATGGGTCAAATGGAACTTAAGTTATGCTGCGGAAACCATTTTCAGTTTTACGGTAATAGTTACCTAGACCTTTGACCTTGTGACCCCAAAATCAATAGGGGTCTTCTACCTAATATGGACAATCATCCTATGAAGTTTGAAAACTGTGGGCCAAATGGAACTTAAGTTATGCTCAGGAAGCCATTTTCAGTTTTGCGGTAATAGTGACCTTGACCTTTGACCTTGTGACCCCAAAATCGATAGGGGTTTTCTACCTAATATGGGCAATCATCCTATGAAGTTTGAATACTGTGGGCCAAATGGAACTTAAGTTATGCTCCGGAAACCAAACTGCTAACTAACGGACGGACAGATGCACGCCAGGGGGTATAACATAATATGCCCGAAATTCTTTCGGGCATATAAAAACTGATTGACCTGGCAATGCTAATGTAATTGTAAAGTGCAACTTTATTATGTTTTGATTAAATGTAAGGTATAAACACACTAAAACTGATCCATTTGCAAAGGCACATTGGTTAAGACAGGAAAAAGGGCTAAATTTGATCTCTTTGGTATATGAAGAATTTTGTAACATATGTGTTGTTATCTGTAACGTTTAACTACACTACCCTACTGGTTGGACAAACAGATTCCTACATAATCCACTCCCTAACTAAAATTTATTACAGAGAAATAATCAGGGTTTTACAGACTGAGAAGTGGTAACCAATAAAATCATTTTGTGTGGATATATGTTACCCATTGACGACTGTTTGCCCGATACATAGGGAATATATTTGTTTGGTTTGAGTGAATATAATATTATACATGTATAAACACACTGAGCAGTGAGACAATTAGAGTATTTATACAAGCGTGTAGGGCAACGAAAAAAAACGTGGATATTTCTTACTTCAATGTGTGAAATATATAGCATACTGAAGAAAAACTAACAAATATTCATTTTATTTTATGGCTAATAAGTATTATAACAGCAATTTTTAACTGTTTTCATAGTAGCTCACTAGCACTGGAAAAAGACACACATAAAGAAGATGATGTCAGATGTTAAACAGCTAAGTGAATGCTGCGCACACAAACATTGGTAGTAATTCTTACTGGGTAACTATTTACTGAGTCACGATTTTAGAGAAAAAGTAAATTTATATTTGATTCGAGAAATATGACATTTAGAACAAAAAATAACAATAACTTTTATGTAAATTTATTAACATACTGAAACATAAGCCAAGTATACTGTTGGTAATATGGATTTTTATTACATGGCCAAAAAGTATTTTACTGGTTAGCATAAAATTTCAGCATTAAATTATAATACAAACCTCTACTTCCATTTTGTTTATTAATGTCTGAAGCTGTTTCTCATTCAGTGCATGCTGAAATATAAAGCAAATCATATATGTTTTATTTTCATATAATTATAGAAATGTTTTTAATAATTCTCGACTGAAGTCACCGCCCTTCCATCCCCATGAACCTTGCTTATATTTTTATGTTTAAGCCCTAAGATTAATGCCCAAGTCTGCAGAGTCAGTCAGATGGTAAAAATCCCCACTTAAAGCTCAACACTGCCATTTTGACTTATCCTTGGCAATCATGAAGTCAAAAAATGACCAAGGTTAAAAATGTTTTATTTTCTTTTACCTTCCTAGTGGTGAGTGGATCATTACTTTTAACAGGTATAACTAAGACTTTAAACGGGTACAAATTTTATACATGTGTCTCTGCAGATGTATAACGAACAGGTACCAGAGTACCATGCAGTTTTTATTTTGAAATTTTGTAATGTTACATTTCTTCTTTCATCCTGGCATTTGCATTTTGTATAAAAAAACGGCAATAAAATAAGCATTAATGTTGAATCTTCCTAAAATGTAGTGACTTTGCTTGTGGTGATATTCTGAACTTTCAATTGAACACAGTAACCATGAACTTTTAAATTTCATATTTTATTTTTGCTGACAATTGTTTGAACTAGAGATGTTAACACATAAATAAATCATACTTAAATCATTACTTTAAAAAGTTATAACTTTATCTTAAGTGTATGTTTGTAACTGAATGTTATACTAACAGCTTCTACAGCTCTAGATTTTTCCAGGTTGATATCCAACTTTACTTGACCCTCCAGTTTCTTGATGCCATCTGCAAGTTGTGCCTCTAAATGCTTAATCAAAATTCCTTGTTTCTGAAAATATCAAATCAATAATGCATTATTTATCTCATCTGACCACAATGGACTCAAAAGGATAGCTTTTATCCATGTCAATCAGAATTTTCACTTTGAATAGCATTCCCTTCTAAACCATAGCCTCAAAGTTGAAAAAAAAACTTCCCAAGGTTGTATGTCTTTAAGAACTGTACTGAAACAAATTTGTTGAATTGATAGCCCTTGCCATGTGATACAAATTACTTTAAGCTCCTAAGTATCATATATATAAAAAAAAAAATTTGGTTTGAATATTAAAACATTAGTATTACATATGTAATTTAATGTCTCTTGGTAATTCATTTTAAGTAAGTTGCTAAGAATTCAAATTTAAGGGTTCAAGTGTAGTAAAGAATAAAAATTTATGATACAAGAGCTGTTGGTAGGACAGCAACGCTCAACTATTCTTAGTGCTTGATAGTAAAAAAAAAATGCTTGATACAGTTACCTCCTCCAGTTTACAGGTTGGGGTGATGATGGTGAACAAGTGTGCAAAGTTTCAAAGCCATATGTCAATGGACTTTGAAAATATTTGAGGTATTACAGAAACTTTAACGTAAATTCTAAGTCGAAAAAGGGGCATAATTCTGTCAAAATGCTTGATAGAGTTACCTCCTCATGTCTACAGGTTGGGGTCATAATGGTGAACAAGTGTGCAAAGTTTCAAAGCCATAAATCTATGGACTTTGAAAATATTTGAACTATTATAAAACCTTTAACGTAAATTCTAAGTATAAAAAGGGGCATAATTCTGTCAAAATGCTTGATAGAGTTACCTCCTCCTGTCTACAGGTTGGGGTCATGATGGTGAACAAGTGTGCAAAGTTTCAAAGCCATATATCAATGGACTTTGAAAATATTTGAGGTATTACAAAAATTTTAACGTAAATTCTAAGTCGAAAAAAGGGGCATAATTCTGTCAAAATGCTTGATACAGTTCCCTCCTCCTGTCTACAGGTTGGGGTCATGATGGTGAACAAGTGTGCAAAGTTTCAAAGCCATATGTCAATGGACTTTGAAAATATTTGAACTATTACAAAAACTTTAACGTTAATTCTAAGTCGAAAAAGGGGCATAATTCTGTCAAAATGCTTGATAGAGTTACCTCCTCCTTTCTACAGGTTGGGGTTATGATGGTGAACAAGTGTGCAAAGTTTCAAAGCCATATGTCAATGGACTTTGAAAATATTTGAACTATTACAAAAACTTTAACATAAGTGGTTACGCCGACGCAGACGCCGACGGGTGACTACAATAGCTCTACTTATTCTTATCGAATAGTCGAGCTAAAAATCATTAAACCATAGAACAATTGATTTAATTGAACAACATCCATATTGTTATAACTTAAAGCTACACTAAATAAATATGTAAAAATATTTTGCCGTCGGCCTAAAAACCAAGCATTCTACAGATTAATTAACCTTTTTAACAGTATTGTTGTAAATCTTATCAAATATTGTTCATAAATAAGGATTTTAAACGGAAAACCCCACGGTAACACTAAAGTTCGTATACGAATTTTAACATGCAAATGAAGATTATAATCAGCTTATGTATGCGCTACGTCACAGTATTATAACTGCTATCCGGAACACAACAAATATGAGATTTTCTTGTGCAAATACATTATAACTGTTTAACTTCATGGTGCACTAGGCCTGAGGTTCAGTAAAAAGTAATCATCTCATAAACAAGAGCTGTCGGTAGGACAGCATGCTCGACTATTCTAAGTGCTTGATAGTAAAAGAGCCTTGATAATGTTAAATTTTTTAAGTTCACAAAAGGGCTAATTTTTTTTATAAATTCATGTTATAGGTCTTAGAGACAGTCTAATTATACAGTATTGGCTTGACTATTCGGAAGGTAATGTCACAAGGGTGTTTTATTGAGTATAATAATACTAATTACCTATGAATACATAAATTTGACAGAAAAGGTACAAAGGCTTGTTATTAAGATGTTTTATCAAGTAAATCACTGCTTTATTATTATGAATGCATAAAATTGTCCCAAAAAAGGCACAAACCCTTCAGTAGTTATTGAGATAACAGCTTACAAGCAAAACTTTACCACGAATTTTTAAGTTGAAAAAGGGGAGAAAAATCAGACTAAATGCAAGATAGAATTATGGATCTTTGTCAGTGACCTACAATTATGACCCTAAATGCATATGTGAAGTTTTAAATAAATATCTTGAATAGTTATTGAGATATGTAAAACTTGCATGTAAACATTAACCAAGAGACTAAGTAGAATCAGCCTTAGTGCAAGATAGAGTTATGGAACTTGGTCAGTGACACAATTATGACCCTCCAATTATGACCCTAAGTGCATGTGTAAAGTTTCAAGTAAATATCTTTGAAGACCTTTAACCTTTAACCAAAATTTCTAAGTTTCAAAGGGGCAAATAATTCTGCAAATATTGCAGGCAGAGTTATGCAATTTTGCAAACTGATGTACATTGTTACTATAAAAAAGTAATTTAAATTGAATATCTCAAGCAATAATTGAGATATTTGACTTTACAAAAAAACTTTAACCAAAATTTCTAAGTTAAAAAGGGGCATAATTCTGTCAATATTGTAGGCAGAGTTATCCAACTTGTCAATCTGATGTACCTTGTTACTATAAATAAGTATTGTAAGTTTCAATTGAATATCTCAAGTAATAATTGAGATATTTGACTTTACAAAAAACTTTAACCAACGCAGACGCCGACGCGGACGCTGACGCCGACGCCGGGGCGACTACAATAGCTCTCATATTCTTCGAATAGTCGAGCTAAAAAAGATTAAATTTGTATGAAAACATCCGTTACAATGCGGAAATATACCGTTAAATTAGGACGGCTACTTATAGTCATGTTTGTTGATTTAATGTTGATGTACGGATGATCAGAAGGCGGAGTTTCTCATGCTAACAGATATTGTACTTCCGATTTCGCAACAATGAGGTTATCCATTTTTTATGCTTATAAAACTCATTTTGGTTGTCTGGACAACAAAATAAGATCTGGAGTCGATATGAAACCCAATTTATTAATGAAATGTCGCTATTTCTGTTTTAATGAAATTTATTTAATGTAACTTTAAGGATAGTTTCATATTTATTAATTAAATTACATTTTACACTACAAAGTTGAAGTAAGTTACCTCAGTATCATTTCTTATCATAGTAAATTCACTTTTTTCTAGAATAACCATATCTTTCTTCACTGAGGCTATCTGAGCAAGTAATTGCTGAACCATTATTTCCTGAAAAATACATACATTGTATGGTAGAAATTAAGATGTCATTGTATCTTATCAATTTATTCAGGGAAATATACATAAATTTATAGTCATGAATTTAATAAGCTGTATACAACCTTCATGTATATACATATAATATCTCACACCAACATCTTCTAGTCAGTTCACAAAAGTCAATAATTTTAGCATACAACATAATTATGATCTTTTTGACAAGAGTTAATAAAGAGTGTCTGTGATAAATTGTCTGCCACTGCTTATTCACCAATCAAGTGGCATAAGTAGTCGATCACTTGTGAAGAAGTGAGTTAACCAGTAAACCCAGGGGGCAAAAACTATATAAATTTTATAGAGAACCATAAGGCACCATCTGGTTAGCTCAATAGGTAGATCATTGGACTGTGAATGAGGCCGTCTGGGTCCAATTCCCGGACGGCCAAGGTCACTTTCGTTGTAATTGATCATGAAATCCTTTCAACAGTCATTTGCACTGTACCTCTGCTCTGGCATGTAATAATTTTTTATTAGAAGTGATCAGTTCTTTGTGATAGTGTTCAAGGCAACTAGTACTGGTAAACTACTTGACAGCCTGCCCAGGAAGGATGCAGTGGCTTAATTGTGATCTGGTAAGTTCAAGAAATCAATAAATAATATTTTTATACCTGTTGTAATTTCGTGACCATTATTCTTGTTTGTTGGTCAACCACCATGGTAATTACATCAGACAAAACTTCTGTCATAGCCTCAGCCTCTCCTCTTTGAAACCCTAAAAAATTATATACAACTGTTTTACAATTTATGGAATACATGTACATATGTTTGATGTACACATTAGTTTATAAAACCATCCCATAACTGAATGTGCATGGTTTAATTTAGCAGAGGACAACTTGACAACACTCACAGTAATTCAAGTTCAAGTTTTTTTTTTATATTTTTGATGTAAAAGTTTACTCAAATTATAATGATGAATGGAGGTGAATATTTCAAAATTACTTAACTAAACCAGGATAAAGGTCATCCATGGTCAAAAGTTAATTCTATGTAATATACAAAACTGTACATGAATGTCTTATATTAAAAAATCAAAAACAAGTCACAAGGTGAAGTCCACAACCATACTTTACCTTTATCTATCAATCTTTTGGAGACTGCAAGTGTATCTAAATAGAAAGGTGATGAAGCTTGTTTGTTTGCTACAGGATCTATATTCCTCATCTCACCTGTTTTCTCAGTCACATGACACATATACTTGCATCTTATATCTGAAAATAATAAGACATAAAGTAATACTGGTAAATATCACCTACAATTCTATTCAATTTGAAACAACTAAGTACAATGTTTGTGCAGATCACAGTACACATATTGTACAATGGAATTATTTTCTGAAAAAAAACAACAACTTTTATTCACAGGGTTATCTCTGTCCAGTTTATTATGTTTATCATAAAATGTCATCACACAATATCCAAATTTTGCTACTTAAATAATAAACAAGAGCTATCCCTGAAAATTGACTTATGCCCCAAAAGGAAGCTTTGACATAAATTCCAAATCATATGCCAAAATACTGGTAATACTACCCCTGACTGCCTTTGATAAATATCATTCCATTAAAAGAGTAGGAGAAATAGTCTGAAAAAAATTTACTAAAAAAATTCATCATCAAGGGCCCATAACTGTCGTAAAAAATCATGCACAAAATCATGGCACTATGCAAACAATTTTATAAATGTTCACTGAAATTACCCAAGAGGTTTTGGAGATGAAAGATGGACATGTAGTTAATTTACTAAATAATCAAGGTACTATGCACAAGGCTTGGTGACAAACAATCCTGTGAAGTTTCACTGAAATCCTCTCAACAGTTTTGGTGATGAAGCGCTGACAGGCTTATTTTACTCAAAAATTGACCAATAAGGAGCCATAACTGTGCCAAAGAAAATTAAGCAGAATATCAAGAGAGTGAACACAACTAGGTTTAGAGACAAGCAATCCAGTGAAGATTCACTGAAATCCCCTATCAGTTTTGGTGATGAAGCACGGACAAGCTTATTTTACTAAAAAAATGACCATTGCTGGCATAACTGTGCCAAAAAAATTCAAGCATAAAATAAAGATACTACCACAACTGGGCATGGTGACAAACAATCCTGTCAAGTTTCAGTGAAATACCCCCCAGCAGTTTTGGAGATGAAGTGAAGACAAGCTTATTTTACTGAAAAATTGACCATTAAGGGGCCATTACTGTACCAAAAAGACTAAAGTGGGAAATAAAGACACTATATACTCTTATTTCAGGCTTAAGCTGCTAATAGTTTTATATGCTTTTATTTTCAGAACTGTGATATGTTAGTAAATATGTTTTATGACTTTGTTATTGTCGGTAAATAGCTTATTAGCTAATGTTTCTTGTAATATGTAAACCGACTAAAAATAAAGTTTCTTGTATCTTGTATCTTTTATCTTGTATGTACAACTAGGAATGGAGAAAAAAATCCTGTGAAGTTTTGATGAAGAGCTAACAAGCTATTTTACTAAAAATTTGACCATTAAGGGGTCATAACTGTGCAAAAAAAATCAAGAGCGGAAAATCAAGACACTATGCACAAGGCATTGTTACAAACAATCTTGTGAAGTTTCACTGAAATTTCCCCAACGGTTTTGGAGATGAAGCCTGAACAAGATTATCGGACGGATGGATGGAAGGACGGACAAACGGGAGGACAGTGTGATTACTACATGCCGCCCTTCAGGGGCATAATTAAAAGAAAACAAGCAAATTTATTAAATTTAATATTTCTTGACATCAGACACAACCCAGCAAACACATGATGTTGTATCAATGTTGGATTCTAATGTTGGATTCCAACACTGGAATCCAACGTCTAACCAACTTTGGAATCCAATGTCTAACCAACATTGGAACCCAACGTCTAACTAATGTTTTTGCTGGTTTGTGTCTGATGACAAGAGGTATCAAATTTATTATTGAATTTTTGTTTAGATGTTGGATTCAAATGTTGCATAGACTCTGGATTTTAGTTGTATATGAAAATTTTTTAGACGTCAGAGGCCGACGTCAATCCAACATCATTAACATCATTAATGACATAAATCTAACATCTTTTCAATGTATACACAACTACATGTACTTTCCAACCAATCCCATTTTTCATTTGAACTCGAATTTGTGCATTGATATCTCTTTCCTAATCAAATTATAATTCAAACACTTGTATTATGTCTTGGATTGTGCTTTATAATAACGCTAGTATGATAATTTAACGGCCAAGTTGACCCGTACAAATTTGTACATGGATGAAATGTTTTGAGGACGAGTGTTTAGGGCCGAGTTGGCCCTGATTTTACTTTAGCGATCATACCAGTTTTACAAGATTACTGCACTTTCTGGATATTTACCAAACAAATGACGAAACATATTTCGATTCCGGAAAGTTAAACGACTCATCCTAATCATTTACACAGTGACAGATTGCAGAAATAATGTATGTTCGCGTCTAACTGTTTCTACTTTCACTTTTGGACCGATTCGGAACATCTCGGTGATTACGCCTTGGTTTAGCAGTTGTCATCTTCCAGCAAAACTTGTATGTATTTAACATGTTAATCAAGAATCATCTTTGAAACCAATCTTTTAAATGTGTTTTTTTAACCAAGTACTATATCATACATCACCAATTCTTCAACTTGAATTCTACCAGATCATCGATGGAGCAGGGGCAATACCCCACCCATCCTATATTATATTATACTGTTATAGTCATAAAATTATTTTTTTCATAAAATTTGTTTTTGTCAAAAATTGTTATGTATTGTGTTTCAAATGTCAGACGTGAATTAAAGCCTTTTCTTATTGTATTGTTTTATAAAATTTTACCCTCTTATTATTTAACAATAACATGTAATATCCCAATAATTGGTCAATTATCACCTGCATAATGTCCAACTCGATGCTGTTTTTAATAATTTCATTTAAGGTGATTCCGCTTTGTCAGCCATGTTTGTTTTCACAAAGTCTGTCCAAAGTGAAAGTAGGCCAAAATTCATATAACAACAAAGCTCTTATTTTAAAATGATGAACCATTTGAAAGTACACTTCCAGGTTTATATCTTAAGGGCAATTATAAACAAAAATAAAAATGATAACAATAAGAATATTTACCTTGAATGTGCTACATTTCTGAAGACCAAAAACATTCTGTTGCAAAGTTTTATGCACATTTCATGAATGGCAAAATCCTTTTTTAAGTCTGTTTTAGTGCCTACAAAAGCTATTTTTTGCAGCAAATACAAAAATCTTTCAAAACTTAACTCCAAATAAATCCATATCTCGTGTCCTTCTAAGCACATGGCCTCCATTATTTTTTGTAAAAAAGTAGTGCAAGAAAACAATCATCATTTATAGCCTTATGAACTACAATTAAAATGAAAACACAATCAAACTTTAAAATCTAACCTTTTTTATGTGTAACAGTGAAGTGTGTCTGTTTGTCATGTACACAAGAGATAGATAAATGATGTTTATTTTCATGGTACTACTTTTTTACACATGTCATGGTGGCCATGTTTTTTCAAGGTCAGATAAACTACTTTCCTAAGGTTTATATTTTTTAAAGTTTTTTGTATTTTCTGCAAAAAGTAGCTTTTGTAGGCACTAAAACAGACTTAAAAAAGGATTTTGCCATTCATGAAATGTGCATAAAACTTTGCAACAGAATGTTTTTGGTCTTCAGAAATGTAGCACATTCAAGGTAATTTTTCTTATTGTTATCATTTTTATTTTTGTTTAAAATAGTCTTTAAAACATAGAACTGGAAGTGTACTTGCAAATGGCTCATCATACAACAATGTGAGCTTTGTTGTTATATGAATTTTGGCCTACTTTCACTTTGGACCCACATAGTGAAAACAAACATGGCTGACAAAGCAGAATCACCTTAAGGTAGACCATGGGTAATGGGTACCATAAGGAACTGTAAAATTGACAACATAGGACAGTTATATGTCTTCAAGGCCACCTGTATGCAAAATTTAAATAAAATTTACCGTGTGGTTTATGAGTTATGGATATATTTCTGAACTAAGACTTTGTCATTAGAAGGGCTTATTTTCAGAAATGTGGAAACTTTAAATAATCTGTAATATCATCATTATAAAAAATGTTTTTTTTTTGTTCATTTTTAAGAAACAAATAATAACATTCAGGTAACAAAATACACAAGCAAAAGGTTTGTTTCTAAACAAAATGTTCTAAATATGTATAAAAATGTTACCCTACCCCACCCACTTTAACCACTAATTTTACCATTTCCTTATCTAAAATGCCTCATTCAAAATATCCCTAAAATTTACCATAATGAGGGGCTGTTTTCAAAGTTTGCCTAAATTTTCTTAAAGGTATATTGGTTTATCATGCGAAATATAAAATACTTTTACCGTGTAGTTTTTATTTTATTAAACTTTGAAAATATCTGGTATCATATTTGCTATAAATGTTGGCATTATTTAGCAAATACATACCTACAAAAATTATATAATTTAAACCAAACCTTTTTTTCTTCGATAGGGGATCAGATAGATACATAAATAATGTTAAAAAGAAAAAAAGGAGAAAAAAAAAGTTGCCCCTTCTGGGGTTTGAACCCACGCCCCTCAAATTCAATGTAGTTGGCAAGTGATTCTAGCCTATTTGAATACTCTTCAAAGTGGAGGTAATGCGTTACCCATGGTCTACCTTAACAAATTTATTATATGTACTGGGGACCACCAAAACCGGACAACCACCAAACCCGGACGGCCCTGAAAATGCTTGATTTAGAATTTTCTTTGTTCAGTGGTTGTCAGTCACTTTTTTATCAACAATATAAATGCATGTTTCTTCTATAATTAAGTAAATAAATTTATTTCAACCTCCGTAAATGGTAATATTTTAAAGGGACTCCACTGAGGTTTAAAAGTCTAAAAACATAACATTTGAATTTCTTACATAAATGAGCTGTGGCACTTTAAACAGTAATATATGCAAAGATAGTTAAGAAATATACTTTGAAATAAATTGAAAATAGTATTTTTATGCTTTTCTTAGCCTAATTTGAGTGAACAGCGTTTAAACGTTTTTCAGTTTGGGTCAGTTTTTTACAATTTGAATAATTATTCTGGAAAAATGGTGTGCGAGAATGATCTGAAATTTTGCACAAAGATTAGTGGTCTTAACTTACATCAAATGGTACAATTATCTGGAAAAAATATTTTCAGTCCCATCATGTAAAAAAAAACCTCAGTTGAGTCCCTTTAATGTCTACTTCAAGAATGTTGATGTTGAAATTTGGGGGTCAAGAAAGCAATGCCTGACCTCATATAACTGCAATAATTATTTGCAAAGTAAACAATAGAATATCCAAAACTTCAGCATTTGCTGCTGAAATATTGTGTGTCATGTTAAAAAAAAAAAAAAAAAGAACACCGAAGCTTTTATCTGAATTAAATCACGGTTATTACATATCTTTCCGGACACATGGTACTGTAGTATGTACAATTTAGGTAATTTTGATACCCTCCTTGACGGGCCTCGGATATAAGTGTCAACATAATCAGAACTAAACAAACTAGTTTGTTAGTTAGGAGAAAATCCACAAAATACAGAATTTGACAGTGAAAGCTGAGTCAGTAAGAAGATTCGGTGTTGGATTTACTATTTAACAATGACTTATTTATCTATTTTCAGATACATATAAATGGCTCGTCAGATAAGTACCTCAGTTTCAGACCTGATCCTGGCTTGTTCAGCACTTTATGTAACTTTGTCATTGTTCCAAGATGGCTACGTATTTGCTGCTTCCGGTTTACTGATACAAGGGACAGCTGCAGGTGTTGGCGTGGTTAGATTTGCCATGAGGCGTCCAGAATCTAGCCCTGTTTTTAGAGCTCATAAACTTTTATCATGGTTAGCTGCGACAGCTGGAATGGGACTTATTGCTTACCAGTTTTGTACAAGTTATCAAGTTCTTCTGATGAGCTATATCATTATATCATTTTCTGGACTAGTCACTTTAACTTCACAATTTATGGATGCTAAAAATAAGCAGCTGTTTGTTCAAGCTAGTAGTGGACTGGCATTGCTAACTGTTTTAATTTTATCATTGCTAGAATGGAATGTGTATGGAATATCAGCTGCATTGACATACATTATATCTGGGGCTGTTTTTGGAAGTGATGGCGTTATATTTGGAGTTCAAAGAGTAGATTTACTGCATTATGGACTGGTAGCCGGAAATATATTCTTTTTGTTTTCATTAAGTTGAAGAAAAAAATGAAGCCACAAAACACTAAGTGCTTGATGATTATAATGTTGTAAATAAAAGTACATCTACAGCTAGTTTTCACAGTATCTAGATTTATGATCTTTTTCCATATTTGAAAAATAGGTATTTCATCATTGTCTTGGAAAATTACATCAAGATGAATATAATGATACAATCAATTAATTCCGAAGTTCAACTTTTTGGGGTATTTTACATGCATGATGGGATTTCAAAAGAAACTGGTACAAGTGACTATCATAAGAAGAATGTACAGGTGTCAAGTGCAAGACCTGCATGTATTTTTAGCTCACCCGTCACATAGTGACATGGTTCAGCTTTTGTGATCGCTTTTCATCTGGCGTCTGCTTTTCGTCTGTCGTCTGTACGTAAACTTTAACTTCTAATGACATCTTCTTATAAACCACTAAGCCAATTTCATCCTAACTTCACAAGAATGTTCCTTTGGTGGTCACCTTTAAAAATTGCTCAAAGAATTTAATCCCATGCAGAATGAAAAAAACCCTTAAAATATCATCCTTTAAAAAAGCATAGAGCTAGAGCTAAGATATTTGGCATGAAACATCTTCTTGTGAGTGTCTTCCAAGTTTGTTCAAATAAAAGCCCTGGGATCAAAATTAGCCCTACCCTTGGGGTTCATTGCTTTTCCTTAATGTATATATGAAAAACTTAAAAAATCTTTTAAAAAACCAAAGAACTAGAGCGTAGATATTTAGTATGAAACATTTTCTAATGGGTGTTTACCAATTTTGTTCTAATAAAAGCCCTGGGGTCAAAATTGGTCCCCCCCCCCCGCCAGGGGGTCATTGATTTTCCTTTTATGTATTTAGTAAACAAAAATAAATCTTCTTTTAAAAAACCCATGGAGCTAGAGCTTAGATTAATAGCATGAAACATCTTCTTGTGGGTGTCTACAAAGTTTATTCAAATAAAAGCCCTGGGGGTTAAATTGGCCGCTCCACGGGCAAATCAATTACCCCCTTTCCTCATATGTACATGTTAAAAACATAAAAATCTTTTTTTTTAAAAAAACCTTGCAAGCTAGAGGTTAGATATTAAGCATTAAAAATCTTCTTATTTGTGTCTACCAAGTTTTTTAAAGGAAGATTAAAGGAAAAGCCCTGGGGTCAAAATTGGAATCACCCAAGGGGGTTATTGATTTTCCTTAATATATGTATACATCTTTTGGAACTGTTGTTTTCCCTCAGCAGAAGCAACCAGTAATGTTTTTACACATGCATATTGCAGATACAAAATGAGCTTTGTGATATCAGTTTCAGATTTTATATCTGCTTTTGCTTATATTACAATATTACTTGTTCCTTGTCATGTAGAGTAAGCAATTTAAGAGCCATCATGGCCCTCTTGTTCATGTACATGTAGTCTGAAGTGCTCTTGGCAGATACTTGTCCATGCATAATGGGATTTTAGTTTAATATACAGTACTTACCACCATAAAAAGATGATGTGCCACATGGAAGACTCAAAGGTCAGCTGGAGATTGTGTCCCATCTAGAACTTCTGCATGCATGATGGCATTTCGAAAGAATGATCACCATAAAAACAACAACAATGTGTTGTGTGCAAGATTCACAGATATTTTGGTTAAAAATGTAACTTCTGGCAAGGTTTTTGAGTCACCTGCTACAGAGTTATTGTGACATAAAGGAATCATTTCTCCATCATCTATCTGCCTGTTCATCTGTCACAAAATTTGTCCGTGTTATAGTCCTTTATTTTGAAGTTTCATTGTTTGTCCAGGCTTCTCTTATACCACTTACATAGTTTAAATGAAACTTTATAGGATTGATCAGTACCTTAAGTGCGCATATTACATGGGTTTTCAGGTTGAATGATTTTTGACTGAGTTGTGGCCCTTGAATAAAAAAGACATTTTGGTCAATAAATGATTTTTGTATCACCTGCTACACAGTAGCTTATACATGCTACAAAGCAGGCAGGGACTTGTCCCATCTACTCCTTAAAAAATTGTGGTGTAAATTCAAGCAAACTGTATGATCTGTACCAAGTTTAGTTGAGCATATTGTCAGAATCTTTCAGTTCAATGCTTTATGTCAGAGTGACAGCCAATTACTATTTTTATTATGGCCCCCTTCGAAGAAGAAGGGGTAAATTGTTTTGCTAATATCAGTTGTTCATCTGTCTGTCTGTCTGGTAGACAACATTGTTTCTGCCGCTCATCTTAAAAACTATCACAGTCTTCATATTTCACATACTGAATCCTCATAACTAGTAGTAGTAGATGACCCCTTATGATTTTGGGATCTCTAGGTCAAAGGTCAAGGTCACAGGCCTTAAATGTCAGAGTGATTTCTGATCATTATCATGAAAATATATATACCAAAGTCTTCATATTTCACATACTTATTAGTCATTAGTAGCAGATGACCCTTATTGATTTGGGGTGGCTAGGTCAAAGGTCAAGGGCCTTGAATGTCAGAATGGTTTTCGCACTTTATCTGCTGATTATCTTAAAAACTACCCACCACAAAGTCTTCATATTTCACATAAAGATGACCTTTGTTGACTTTAGGGTCACTAGGTCAAAGGTCAAGATCACAGTAACCTCAAAGTGGTTTCTGATAAATAACTATTGAATGGCCAGTCTTACAAATGTCATAGTTGGTATGATCATTAGGCATGACCAGTACATGGCCTTTATAGATAAAAGGTTACTTGGTCAAGAAAGGTCAAGGTCACAGTGACATTATTTGTCAAAATTGTTTCTGCTTGTTATCTTGAAAACTATTTGTCATCAAGTCTTCTTATTTCTTATTTTACATTTTGCTGGGTCACGACAAGTATTTTGGGTACACTTGGTTTAAGGTCAAGGTCACTTCCATGTACCCATTTATGGCATGTTTCTATAACAAATTACCTATAGTATGAATCAAGGGCTTGAAAAGGGGGGCATATGTGTCATTTGACATTTCTTGTGTTTTTTTAAGGTTTTGTCTTGAATACTTCTCTTATGCTACTAATGCAATTTGAGTCAACTTTACAGGATTGATTAGTAATGTGCATATTTTACAAGATTTATTGTTTGTTGGTTTAAACATATTTATTCAACATAACATGTGAACAATATTTATAAAATACACTTTGGGATTTGGCAGAAATCTATAAAGCTTATGAGTGTCCACTCCCAAATTTTCTTATTGAATTATGACCCTTCAATAAAAAGCGTTTTAAGCCTGTTAATGATTTTTGTTTGGCCTGCTACATTGTAGTTGTAACATGCTACAAAGTAGCTGCTACATAAACGGAACATAAACTTTCCAATCACCACTCATTGGCTATTATCACCTACTATGATCGTTCGTGTTGCATTTTCGGGCTGTGCAAACTTAACCTGTGTTTTCATATAAAATACTTACATACCAAATATAAACAAAATAATTGGAGTCCTTCAATAGATATTCTACAGGAACCAATTGTCTACGGACAGCACCACACCATAATACATTCCGAAGTTTATCTGGCATAAAAATGAAATCTTTTATAAAACATCTTCTGTTGTCAATAGAAGTAATCGAAATCATGCCTGGCCCAGGCTTTAAGTCTGGTATTAGAAATTACATTTCATTCCACTTTGTGTGCTTCTACAATACCCGTAGAACATAGATATTTGGTATTGTATACCTTTACAACAGAGTATATAAATCATAAAACTTGTATCATATTAGATCCTGCCCTGGGAGTCACTTAGCTTATATAGTTAACCATGTCTTTAAAATCTTCTCCAAAACCCATGACATAAATATTTGGCATGTACATGTTGCATCATGTGGTCCTCTACAAATGTTACTAAGTTTATCCCCCTGGGGTCACTTTTGGTTCCACCTTTGTAGTCACTTAGTGTATCAAGACTTGCATAGGAAAACACGCTTATGACTCCTTGTGTGAAAATATAATGTTTAGCATGTAACATGGCTTGTTGGACATTTAGTCATTTACACATGCAAATGGGGTCAAAAATGGTCTGCATCTAGGTCACCATATATAGCATAAAAATTCTGCTCCTCTGATTGTTGCAGTTCCTGGTTTTGATATTGTTTCATGACAAATATGAATAAGTCTAGTGGTACACTTTGTGTAGATGATATCAGACAGACAAGGCTGAGCACTTCCACATACTTGGGTGAGTTTTACTCTCCTGTTTCTGAAGTTTTACATTCACCTTTTTACTACAAACTCCACTATATTATCCAATCAATCATCAGCACTGATTTCAAATACAAGACAAGACAAATGTTGTATACACTTTTTTATCCTTTATTGATATCTTAATTTATCAGAAGTATCACTTAATGTGACTTATACCCCACAAATGTTTTTACAGAATCGGCCTGGACAGGTGTAAAAGAACTTTTGGGACAATAAAGAACATTGTCTCTCCCGAAAAGAAAAGCTGGTTTAATTATAATGAATCGACTTTAATTAAAAAATTGAAAAACATGGCCTGCTAAGATTTTAAGACTTTATTTATATAATGCACATACACCTATTTTTATATATACTTGCACTTATTTTAGAGACATTAATCTAAATTTCAGGACATCTTCTAAGTTAAAAGAGGACATGCCAAAAATTAAGTGTTGTAAAACTTAGCCACTGACATTCCTGGTAATTTAATTTCCAAATAAATGCCTTTACTTCTCTCAGAGATACTCAAATTATTTAATTTTCAGGACATTTCAAGGTTCAAAATGGGCCACAGCTTGTCAAAATCTAATGAAACTTTGTCTACTGAGCATTCTTCAGACCCTTCATATTTATGTCAAATTTTAAATAAACATCTGCACTCAATGAAAAATAAAATAAAAAAAATAAACAAAGAGAACATGACGAGACAAATTGATTCCTATATATCCCCCTCCAAACTATGTTCAGTGGGGGTATAAAAATAGTAAATCTGTAAATATAGGAAAGAATATGTGATCAGTAAACAACAATGAGTACAAATATAAAACATACTGCAAAACAACTGATTAAAATGTAAAGAAAAAATAAAACATAAACATGTTTATTGTGATCCAACGTGTGTACAAGATCTGACATGTATCCACTGTTGTCATTTAAACACATAATGTTATCAATGACATTTTATCTATAAAACCTACTTTAAATTTCAATTTCGCATTAAAAACTTTGTTTATATAAGCTTTTTCACATTAGTCACAGAAACCAGCGTTATTATGAAAATACAACAATTTTTGACCTTTGACCTATAAGGTTGACCTTAATTTTGGAGCAAAACTTGTCTCAATGATAAACGTTTCTGGCAAGAAGGGACACTCAAGTCTGAACTGGCATATCATTTGAAATTTCTTTACATTCTAGGAATGATAAAATTATATATATATAAATATACCCTATTTTTGACCTTTGATCTGTAAAGAAATCTTGTTTATTCAATTTAATTGTTAAGTCTTCTACTCACATTAGTATAATTATACATAAACAGATAAATACATACTGTATAAATAATACATTATAAATAAAATAGTACACTTATAAAAATAATGCAAAGCGCCTTAAAAATACATAATGGAGTTAAAAGTGAATATTTACAAATATTAGAAACAAAAGTGAAACAATTGTGTTCCTGATTTACCTACATGTATTTTGAGTTAAAATTTTCAGAATAAAATTACTGTAATATATTTATAACTCCTAGGTCCAAAACATTTGTAGTTGTTGTCAATAGTGTGTGTAAAGTATGACAAGTTGAAATGTTGGAGGCTTGAAGCAATACTATTGCCTTCCTTTCTGATGAAAGCTGCACATGTTAGATTTATTTATAACTAGGAAATGTTGAATAAAAGTAAACATACTGTCAAGTTTACAAGGAAGTAGAAATTAAATGCTTTTGGCTACTTTACATTACCTTACTACTGCTTAAAATTAGTAAAATTATCGCACAAAAATAGCCAAAACTTTGTAATATTAACACAGCAGAAATATGGTAATAAAAAGAGAAAACGTAGTCTTATTTTGCTAATGAATATTAATACATTTCTGAAACTGTACGGCTATTTTCCTTAAATGTTTTTTTCAAGAAGATTTGATCACTCATTAAGATATAAACTGAATGTAATCATTTTAAACTAAAATTTAATTTGTTTTGTTGTAACTTTTTTATCTTAGAAGTAAACAAAACATAAAAAGTTAATATTTTTGAGCAAGTCTACACTTAAAGACACTTCAAATGCAACATTATTTACTTAGGTATCTTGCAAATATTTCACTGTAACTCGTTTAACAAATTTTGTCGGTATGTTACTGACAAAATGAATGAAGTGTTGATTTACAATATGTACCACTATTTTTTAAAGTAACTATTCCCTAATAAAGTATAGATAGTGTTGCATTAGAAATATAGTTCTGTGTCCATATTAAAATGTCATAAATAAAGTAAAATTTTAACAAATTATCAATAAAAGAGTTCATTAAAATAACAAAAATACCTTTCACACATCAGAATTTCATACATCGTGTACTTCTATAAAATCATTTTATTGTCTCTTTTAAATTGTTTATCATTTTATTTTAAAATTATTTTATATACATAAGACTTAAATAATCTCAAAATCAAACAAAATAGTTAACCATTCCCACACTAACTAAGTACAGTCTAGTAAAGTTGCTTTAAATGCACATACAAATCTATATAACATCAAAAAGACATGAACTTTAATCTACAAAAATTTAATAAATGCCCATTGACTTGTTTGACAAGCTTTAAATGACTTAGAGGTAATACAAACACTTTGACCTGAGTGTTATAATAATATTAAGGTGTTTTATAATATTAAGGAACAAATTGAAATTAAAAAGTATGTTGCAAAATATTGTTAGTGAGGAAAATTTAAACCAACAGAACAAAGAGCAAAATTTAATGTTGGAATTATATCACTCACCTCAGAAAATGATTATGTAGAAAAGATCAAGCACTGGACTACTCATAGACCTTTATTTTTCAAGGTCCAGTACAAAAAGCTGAATACAAAATATCTTGGCCTTTGGGCACGGTTTTTTTTCAAAGTATTTTTCTCTAGATAAGTGCAAGGAACAAAATTTAACTCCATGACAAGCATGAAATACCTGGGTATATATTATTGGTAAAGCTTTCTTAACAAGTGTATGTAACAAAAGAGACCACAGGGAAGCTATTTTTGACAACTGAAAAGCTATTTTTGACAACTGAAAAGCTATTTTTGACAAGAGGGACAGTTGTAAAAGGCAATCATGCAAATTTTGACTCTACAGCATTTTTATTGTTAGTCTATGTTGAATAACTTACATCATTTTTGTAACAATAAAATTAATACAAATATCTGTAAGCTTTATAGCTTTAGAGATGCTCTTACAAAACCAATTTTAGCTCCTTTGACCTACTCTTGCATTTTACTTAACCATTTATATAGTTTTTGAAGAGGACCAACAAAGGACTAGCCTGTAAAGTTTGATGTAAATCTATAAAATAGTCAAAGAAGGAAATTTTGTTTAACAAGAGACAATTTACAAAACATAAAGTAATAGTAATGTTGCCTACAAAAGCTGTTGAACTAAACAGTGTTTTGTTGTTTAAATTTAGTTGGTTCTAAAGATAATGGGAATTGCGTAACAATGAGTTACTTGCATGTACTGGATTTTAGTAACTACCTCAAAATACTGTGATATCTTTGCAATATAATGTATTGACAAATTCATCTGATGTAAAAAAAAAAATATTTGATATCCTCATTTGACACTAATTTAGTATAGTACACTATATGCATAATTCTATAACAAAATCTCATATATTGTACAATGCTGAGAAAAGGCTGGAAAATTTTTTCTTTGGGAAAATAACACGATAGACCTACATCATTTATATACTTAAGCTAAAATCATCAAGTACTGAACAGGAAACTGTAAAGTTTTAACATTGCTGTGACAGCAATTCGATTGCAAAATACTTGATGCCTTCAAGCAATTATCATAGCTGAATATAAAAGGGAATATTTTTTATTTTTTCCAGCAGAAATGAAAAAGTTTACAAAGCAAAAAATATAATGTCTTCCCTTTCTTAAAAGAGGGTCCACAAAAAGCTCTTACAAAAAAAGTATTTCAATTAAAAATATCTGTTAATATAACATGCCTATCAATCCCCTTTGAATATAACAGGGGATTAATATATCAGAAAAAAAATCTCTTTCAATAGATAGGATTAAGATAATCTTGCTAAAATACAAAGCAGCTAAAAATGCATGTTGAGTGTTTATCTTATCACACAGTTACTTTGTCAAGCAAAAATAGTAATATTTACATTTTTATGCTGGGACTTGAAACATTAATAGTCTCATGTTGATAGTTTTTGAAGCCAGAAGTTTGTTACATTCAATAGTGTCAATTACAGGCAGTTCTTTGTGGCATGTTTCTTGGCTATCATTTGAAAACTCATGTTTATAAATGGCAGGTTTCACTTTCATTTCTCCATATGGACCTTTGAGAACCATGTAGTGAAGATTTAATGGTTGACTTATTTTACTTTTTAAAACAAGCTGGTAGGTCAAAGATCTTTGTGAGGAGTGGGAAGCATCCTTCTGGTCATGAACAACTTTAGCCCTAATAACCCACTGGTTGTTGAACGCAGAAAATCTACTTGTTTCATAGAACAGCTTTGTGATAAAGTCATCGGTGCGGTATGGTTTCAACTGGAGATCTAAAATAAAACATCAGCATATAAATATCCAACAAATATATAATTTAAACAGATAATTGATCATAGATTTTGCAAATACTAATAAAAGGGACATAAATATGAGAAGGGTAAGTGTATATATATATACAGATTAAAGGCTTCATGTCAGAAGAATTGGTCTAACTTTTATTATGCATTATCACTATCATAAGGACTAAAGATACATGCAAGTAGTACCCCAAATATGGTACCCAAATTATCATCGTCATGATTGATAATTAAAAACAATCGTCGTGTTTGATAATTAAAAACAAAGACATTACTGGAAATATTTTTTTTAAAAGTTTCAATGTATTTTCATTTGACTTACTAACAAGAAACATGGCAATGCCACGAAACCAGGTTTTCAATTATCACCATTGTAGATAAATATGTTGTATTTGAAATACAAATACAAGCAACAAACAATGTAACTATGTGCGATGTAAAACATGAATAATGTAGGAGGAATTGCCACAGAAGAAGTGTATAAGGAAAAAAAACAAAGGGCCATAATTAGGTCAAAAATTATCCAATCACAAAACCCCGACAACTAGCGCCAGGGCACTTGTTGACAAAGCTTCTGTGAAGGTTTGAACAAAATCCGTTGAGAAATGTAGGACGAGTTCAGCACAGAAGAATTTGTTCACTATATATTGATAATTCTGTAAAAGGAAAAAAAAGGCCATAATTAGGTCAAATATTATCCAATCACAAAACCCCAACAATATATGCGCCAGGGCACTTGATAACAAAGCTTCTGTGAAAGTTTGGTCAAAATCCATTGAGAAATGTAGCAGAAGTTGCGCACGCTAGAAATTGTTCACTATATATTCTGTATAAGGAAAAAAAAACAAAGGGCCATAATTAGGTCAAATATTATCCAATCGCAAAACCCCGAAAATATGCCCCAGGGCACTTGATGACAAAGCTTCTGTATAAGTTTGGTCAAAATCCTTTGAGAAATGTAGGAGGAGTTGCGCACAGAAGAAATTGTTCACTATATATTCTATATCAGTAAAAAAAAACAAAGGGCCGTAATTAGTTCAAATATTATCAAATTGCAAAACCCCCACATTATGCCCCAGGGCACTTGATGACAAAGCTTCTGTGAAAGTTTGAACAAAATCCGTTGAGAAATGTAGGACGAGTTGCGCAAAGAAGAAATTGTTCACTATATATTCTATATAGATAAGGAAAAAAACAAAGGGCCATAATTAGGTCAAATATTATCCAATCGCAAAACCCCGACAAAATGCGCCAGGGCACTTGATGACAAAGCTTCTGTGAAAGTTTGGTCAAAATCCGTTGAGAAATGTAGAAGGAGTTGCACACAGAAGAAATTGTTTACGCCCGCCGCCGACATACCTCAATCTAATAACCAGTTTTTTCCTTCGGAAAACCTGGTTAAAAAAGATATTGATTATTTTAATAACTACACTGGTGTCTGGACTTGTTTCTACCATTAATTTTAACAAATAGAGTGTTAAATTTTGCACCAAACATCTGCTTATTTCAGTTTCCTGCTTTACTTGATATACATGTTGTATTTTGTTTTTAACATTAAAGCTATACATGAAGTATATACTATATTAATTACCATTAAAAGTAACTTTCTCAAATGAGAGTAAACCAAATATATCCTTATAGAGTCTCTGTTCCTCTGATTCCTCATCATCCATCTTGTGTAGAGATTCCATTATCTCAAGGCCAGACTTCTGTGGATGGGTGCAGGACTCCTCATGACATGGGGACTCATGGAATGGTCCATGCCATGGGCAACCAATGCGTGCATATTTGCACTTGGAAGGTCTGAATAGGAAAAATCAATAACTATTGTTAAAAAGATGAAGCATTTTAACTAAATCGCTTTCAGAAATTGGTCATGTAGGCTGTTCATTTTAGGAAATAAGGAGACTGTGAAACATTACTTAATTAAGAACTTATTAAAAGTTGTTTTAAAGGTTGAACAGTGTTTAAACTGGAAAAACTATTTTGTTAACTGACTTTCTTTAACCTTGCTATACTCTTACCTGTCTTCAATACTTACCTCAATGAAAAACTTGCCCAATACAAAATTTGATATGCTTAATTTTTCTTTGTCCAAAATTCATTTTTATTTTAAACATAAACGTATAGTACAGAACGAAATTGAATTAGCAATGTTTCACATATAGAATTTTTATTATAAATACAAAAAAATATTTTACTTTGATTTACCACTCTAGTTGGAAATATGAATATTTATATTTTACAAATTTTGAAAAGGTGACATATTGCATGATGAATTCAAATGAGTTCCATTTCAGCTTACATAACCAAAATCATCAAACGTTACACGACCTGAAAAAAATATGCCTGACAAGTTGAAAATCTGCGAAATATTGAAAAAAAAATCCAAAACTGATATCTGGAATATCTGCAACAGCCGCAATATTTTCTCGTGCTGAAAAATAAAAAGATTTTGCTGCAATATCCTCGTAAACAGCCTAGCTTGGTGTCTACATTCTGGAAAGCAAAGATGATTTTTTGAGAAAACAAAATATAGAAGTAAATGTCAACAATCATAATGTAAAATTTTTCTGCAACATAATAATCTGATTTGATTTTCAGAAACATGCATGCACACATTCATTCTTCTTAAATACAAACATACAATGGATTTTGGCAATGTTAGGATGCTTAAAGTTGTAAATTTAGTTTGTCTTCCAAAAATGTAATCTAAATTGTTTATAAATCAAAGCCATTTATAATTCTTGCAATTTAAATCATACCAAAATGTCTGCCAAAATAATCATAAAATATTTAAATCTTCAAAACACTTGTGTGAATTAACAACCAAAATCAGTAGATTCAACATTTTTCTGCAACATGTATGGGTATGTATAATATTAAAAGTTTGACATTGATAATTGGTTATCAATGGCTGCCTATTCCACTCACTGTCCCTCAAATCCTTAATGATTACTGTTAACAGACACCCATGTTATACTTACACAGTACAACTTCTTTATGTCCTACAAATTAACACACCAGAGTCCCTGAATAATTAACAATATATATCTTTGCACAACAAACTACACTTATATCTTAAGACTACATTATAATATTAAAGCAAGCTAATTCTCACTACTGATCAAAGAAAATCCCAGATACATACTATGAAAGAATTCCTTACACTGACCTACACTAAAAATGATACCACAAAAAATAACCTAGACAACTTTTAGCTAAGAAGAATTGTACGGATATCTACATTTACATTATGACATGGCTGTTTCCCTATTTTACAACAATTGAAGGACAGTGAAATGCATTCACCCCATATCATTCATACTTGATTCATCAATGAAATATCAGTATGCAATAGTGTTCACACTTTTAAGTCCTCTTAAAGGTAGTATCTTCAAACATAAATCCTTAATCATGTTTTTAATTGATAACTCCTTAATCATGTTTTTAATTGATAAAGCCACAAAATTAAAAGTACAATTTCCATGTATATTAAAAAAGGAAACAAATTGTTTTATTTAAAAAATTAACTTCAAAGAACTGATGTGTGTTAACTTAAAAGAGTGAGCACTTTAGTTCCTTCTGCAAATAGCTCTTAATTGTTTATTTACAAGAAAGGCTTTATTTGCAGAAGGTCTAAGACAGGCACAAAGCATGCTATATGGGACGACTCAAAAACATAAAATACTTGCCAGTTGAAGTGATTGTAAATTAAGAAGATGACATCTTGTCTCACTATTCTTCCTTTGCTGGCAGTCACAAGATCAGTCTCCTTGACAACGACTGACCAATGTTGCTATTCTTCCTCAATTCGACATGACCCCTTAAAACTTATCCATCCTGTTCTAGTAGAAAAATGGAAGAAAGACATGGCATTTCTTCAATCATCAACAAACTGTGGATATTATCAGTTTAGGAAGATTCCAGGTGTGTCTTAAACCCATAACACACCTGCATCCTTCCCTTACCTTCCACTTCAACAACAAAATAGGGCAGCTAACCTTAACATATCAAGGTCACTTACCCGGAATAAGATGATCTCACCTCTCTTGACATATTTCTCTTTCATGATGTTCCAAAGCATTTCTTGGTAGCTGCATGGAGCAGAACTCACACTGGGATGGCAATTCAGACACAGCTTTTTCCACAGCAAGATTGCGTGTACAGGAGTTCTTGCTTATCTCACAGCGGCAATTTGGGCATGTTGCAGTCTCATCCTTCAATCTAGCATCAGCTAACAAGTGATTGAAACATCCACAACACATCAGATGACCATTAGCACACTGCCAAAATGACAAAGATAAATTGCTTCTATTAATTCAATTGTGTTGATCAGTGTTACTATTTTATAGATTGTTATGAAAATACATCAGACCTATATATGGTATTAATAATATATCTGTCCTATGTAAGGCTACCACGTTTACTACATTTTTTGTAAACGATTACACGATTGCTAAGAACCGAAACGATACCGTTTAAACGGTGGTACCTCTATGTTCCATATACACCATGTATTTGAGTCGGCAAATGATCACTTACTTTCTGTTTTTAATACATGAACAAATAAAGAATGTTCAGGCCATCAGGGCTCATCATGATTGAGTCAGCACACATTTTCTGCATTGTATCCCCATTTTTTACTAAAAATGTTTTATGTCATGAGCAATTTTTGCACGGTTATGCTGTGTGGAGGGTTGTAAACACCCATTTTTCGTTTTTTTACTTTGGAATATACCACTAGAATTGATAAAATCCATGATAAAAGGCAAAGATTAAGAAATTTGGTAAGACAATACGGTCATTTCGATTAAACGGTAAAAATTATGATAAACGTTTACAAATGAAAATCGAAACGAATCTGCTTAAACGTGTAAAAATGGGGGCCATGTTGCAGTTGGGATTATCTGTGACTGTCCAAAGGGGACCCGCCCATTGAGTTGAAACGAGGCTGGCTGAGTAAACGCACATGGATAGGTTCCCGAGGAATGAATATACTGATCCGAATCGCAAACACTCCTGCATGTGTAAAACTATCAGAAAGACCAGTCTGATATGCAAGAAAGTTTATTTCAATGTCAATAGTGAATACTGGTGAATAAGCTATATATAAATATATAGTAGGGCTATCAAGGACAATACAAAGCAGAAACATATAGGAGTTGAGAAGACAAATGCTGAATATATAGATATCTATTTCATATTAAGTATTTACATGCTATAAGTTTTATCAGCTAGATCTAAATCCCCGCGGGGGATGCACAATACGGACGCAAAGGTCATCAAAGTCAAAATGCAAAGTTTTTGCATATTGCATAAAAATGATATAAATTTCGTATAATTTTATATTAAAAAGTTGCAGAAAATAAACATGAATTTATCAACAAATTGTTCAATAAAAGCACAATCTAAACCAAATTCACCTGAAAACAAGTTCTTGGCAAGTCCAAACAAACTGCGCAGCAAAGAATACCACTCAACCGTTCCTCCAGTTTGTAATCTGGCACAATGGCAGGCTGGTCAATTTTTAGCTTTTTCTTCTCTGGTTCAAAGCTGGAGCATTCTTTGTTTTCCTTATCTTCAATAATGTTATCAGTAAATATTTGTTGCAGGGCGGATTCTGAACTCTCAGCCATCTTGTTTGTAAATAAACCGTGGCAGGACAATATTTACGTATTGCTTAAGTCGGGCATGACGTCAAATACAACCAATCAATTTGCCCCTTTAATATCACGTGTGCATTGTTCGGGGATTTCCGTATATCGAAGACAAAATCACGTGACAACTGTCAAAAACCAAAGGTTGAACGCGACTATGTACACTTTCAGTTGAACACAACTATAATTACACTAAATCCACTAAATACCGGGAAGTGTGTAAAACGTAGGAATATGCTATAAATCTAGTTTTTATAAGAAATGCGATAAAAAAGCCAAGCATGCCTTTTTCTTTTCTGTATAAAAATTCAAATTGAACATTTAACTGATTTAGCCAAACTGGTATATTGGCGAATTAAATTTTAAAAAAGAGAGCTGACACATCAAGTATTATATATTAGAATTTGCAGGTTCACCGATAACGATTTTGACCAATACCATGGAAAAGGCTAAATTCTGACCAGTTTTGACCAATGACATAAACTTATTTATTAAGTAACATATCCAGAAAGAGCTTGGGGCCCAAAAGCTTTAGACCATCTCAAAATTGGGGGTTTTTTTATTTTTTTTAAAATTTTTCCCTTTTCCTTGCACCGAAAAAACTTTGTATACCCCAAACCCCAAAAGAAACTGGTTTGAAAAGGGTTTTCAGATAAATTTTTTGTTTTTATTTTTTAAGGTTTTTTTATGTTTTTACTTATTAAAATTCAATTGCAACTTAAATGAAGTTTTTAAAAAAAAAAAATATCTTTAGAGGCGCGTTCATCGAGTAAACGTGGTACGGGTATGTACCAAAATGCCCTAGAGTCCAGAATTAAGACTTTTCTCTTAAATAAAATGAATAAAATATTCCTGAAATCTACATCAGTTTTTTAAAATTTGGGTTTTGGTGCATAAAAAATACAAAATGTACATACTTTGTATTTTTATCCCTATTACAGGGTTGCAAAATGGGGGAAAAAATACAAAGTTTACAGACTGTTTAATCAATCAGCTGGAAATTCTTATATATCGACGGGGGTTATATCCGGGTTTTAGCAAGAAACCCATAAGTTTTTATCATTTTGGTAAATTGTATTATCGTTTCAACAGATCGTTTTGAATTACCAAAAAATGTCACCCAATTTTTAATTTTTTTCCATTAAAAACCCCTTCCCCCGTTCTCGAAAATGTAAAGAATTGAACACGAACTATTTGTTTTATCAGTGCATTTCGTAAGAATATTTTGTGAAATTATAGTTTTATTAACAAAATATATTTACTTTACTGTAACAACACTTTGTATCGATTTCTATTCTTAAACAAATGAAAACAGTTCTATATGACTTATTTATTGTCATAATAAATAATAATTGTATTTTGTTCTATAATTCACAATAGAAAAATAAAATGAGCCGTGTCACGACAAAACCAACATAATGGGTTTGCGACCAGCATGGTTTTCCAGATCCGCGCAGTCTGATCAAGATCCATGCTGTTTGCTTTCAGTTTCCCTACTTGTAATAGGGTTTGTAAGCGAAACAGCATAGATCCTGACCAGACTGCGCAGCTGGTCTGGATCCATGCTGGTCGCAAACACATTATGTTGGTATTGTCGTGACGCGGCTCAAATGGCGTAGTTAAGGATTCTATTGGGATTTCAAATCAGACGACAGTCTCCTCTCGCTCCCGTTTTCCAAGTTATTTATTAAGTTTTTTTTTAGTTAATTTCTTTATTTTCATTTTATTTGTTTAATTTTGTTAAAACATTCAATAATGGTAAATAAAAAGTTATGATAGGAAATTTTACAACAAAATAATATATTCTTAAAAGATTATAAATGAATTTATTATAAGTAACGTGTCACAACAGAAAGAATTAAGAAGAAAGACAGATAAGAAGATTTAAATTGGCCAATCTCGTAATCGTTTCAACTGTATAAGTACGATTTATATTGTACACGTAACAATAGAAGTTTTAGCACTGTCAGTAAACGTGATTTGACAAGAACTAACAGGGTTTTTAGTTTATATTTTTAGTGAGAAATAAACATAGCTTCATATTTTATAAAAATAAAGTTAAATTGGATTGATTGAAAAGTAACTAAGAAAATAATAAATTTAGGTCACATGATTTATATGGAAAATGTTTGGTTGCATATTTAATTTCATACAGTCTCAGGTTATCAATGATCATTCTTTTGACATGCGATACACTCGTATAATTATGAAATGTCATTGGTTGATCTAATAATAATTTGTTTTATTGTGTATATAAAGAAAATTAACAACATTATTCAGGGAGTTTTACAGCGGCTCTTTAGAAAAGTTTAAGGCATATCTGCGGTGCATTTTAGTATGTATATCTAGACAAGTAGAGTTTTTGATGCTAAAGCATCAAGTCGCCGAATAGAAATATGATTGTATTATCATAAATAAAAGAAAATATCAGTTTAATGGTTCAAGTATAAAGAAAAGAGGAACAATAAGTTGAGAAATGTGTATTCATAAACATGTTTTCATGTACTTGCCACAATTATATATTTCTTGCTATAAACTTTGTAAAAGAGTTTTATGCAATAAATTTTTGTTATGTTATAATAAAACATCATATTTGAAGTAAACGTGCTTAGCAATTTTGTCAAGAAACTGTTATCATTATTAACTAATGCCTAGGTCACAAATAAAACGGGCGCCCTCCGATTAAACGATTTTTATAAAATCGGCAGATTTTTTGATGTCGTGGACGCCGGGCGATTTAAATCTGATACCTTGTGTGGTCATGAATGAAACAGTCGTCGGGCGATTTTTGCCGAATGGATTTTACAGAAAGAATTAAACGGATCGGGCGGTCGCCGCCCGATGTCCGTACGGCGCCTGTGCGATTTAAAAGGGAATCGGACGGTTGCCGCGCGGGCGCCGGGCGACAATGACTTTACATTTAATGACATACTTTATAAGTTGTAATTATGGTAGCAAAGAAGTCAGCTGCCAAAGCCAAGGGGAAGGCCAAGGAGATGTTTTGTTGACACCGAGTCACCAACGCCCAGTATCGAGGCCGTTAGAAGGCGAAAATCAATCAAAACATTCTCATGGACATTGAAGAAAAAAAAATCATGTTTACTAGTATTCAAAAGAAATTCACAAATATATTTTTGAGGCAATTTACAACTTCTTCAAGCTGAAATTTACAACAAACATAAGCAGCCCGGTCGCCGGATGACAAAACGATGACCGCCCGGTGCCTGTACATGAATCGTCCGGGTACTGGCAATAATCGTTTGTCTTACTTGTCTCTATTCAGGCACCGGGCGGGTCCCGGCCGATGTCCGCCCGGACGCCTTTTAAATCGGACGGGTTTTAGTAGAACAAGAAATCGCCCGATCAAAAAATCATCGCCCGGTCGCCGCCCGGCGACCGAGCGATGTCCGCTCGATGATATTTATACTCAGTGACCCCAAAAATTATCGTCCGGCCGCCGTTATATAGCTTTTAAGTATTACTTAAAACTCGAAGGCGCCCGCCCGATGAGCAAAATTTTCAGCTGCTGCCGTCCGAAAGTCACTGCCGCCGGACGGACGCCGGCCGATATTGCGATTTTTTGGAGAAACAGACGCCGCCCGGCGGCATTTTCTTATTTGTGACCTAGGCTTAAGCAAGTATTGTTGGCAATATTTACCCGAGACTCATTAATTTTCGGGAGGTGTTTCGTAAGTTTTCATAACTTATTATGATTAATGTTGACGATTTTATTGTAAGTATATAATTACATGTATATAACAATTAATACTGCTCGATGGCCTAGTGGTAAGTTGACGAAGTTGTAACCTAATAGGCGCAAGTTCGAATCTTGGACAAATCCTGTTTGTAGTTTTCATAAATTGATTTTTATTATATCTTTTAACTATATGAAACATAAGTTGATAAATCGTGTGTTTCATTTCTAGCACTTTTTTATTTCATAATTTTGATAAATGGTCATTAAGTTTTGCAAAATACAAAAAAATATCATAAAAGAAAACATAAAAAATCACTTTATCGAACCTATACAGTCTTCAATTTGAAACTAACTGAACATTTAACACCTTGTCATCGAGGCTTGTAACGCAAATGATATGCTTGTAATTCTACTTTTAATTCTTCTTTAGACATACCGTTGTACCATACAGTTTACTTCAGAATCCGATAATTACCGACAAATAATTACCGATCATCGAATATAATTTGCAAAGTGACTATGAAAATGTAGATGCTTAATTATTGCACAAAACAATGCAATTCTACTGTAAAAGTGGTGTCTGAATAAAAAATTATCCTTATGCGCTATCGAAAATATATATAATTTAGTTGAAATCAATATTCCCGTCGTTACATTCGACATAGTTAACGTTTAATGATAAACTATCAGCACAAAGATAGTTTATTAGTTTTCTCTGTGTATCCAATACGATTCCGGCCCCCTACCGTCATACCGAGATTTTGTAGTTATTCATACAAAATTACTTTGATTTGCACTTTATCAGCTTCTATACCTTGTGCCAACCTGTATGTCTGTCTTACCGCCATTTGTTACTATTAATAGATTTTATAACAATAACATACAACGTGTACAAAGAAAAAGGGAGAAATAGTTTTTAACTAAATAAAATAATAAAATAGAATAGGTCTCATAAGATACAAACAACCAGATAATTTAAAGTGTCATTTCAAATATCATGCATAATTTATTTATCATAAAATAGCAACGTCTGACACTTTGGAATAAGTAAAAGTATCCCTAAATTCAATGTCTTATCCATAGGGATCCATCATTAATTCATTTTATAAAAATTGTAATGTTGCTTTTTAAGATGTCAATATTTGAATATTTCATTTCATTGAACAACGTTATTGTATGTTTGAAGTTTTTAGATTGCTGAAAACAATTGTAGTCTTTAATTGTTCAGTAATTGATATGCTTTTATTTTCAGATTTTAAGGCCTTCTCCTACCATAGGTATAATATTACACTGTTACAAATATACTCGCCGGTTTCTACCGGCGACTAATAAGTTCCAAA